TACAGGTACATGCCATTGGCAGCCACTGGCCACATCCCATGTAACTCCCTGTGATGGATGGGGCCACTTGCTGCCAGCCCATGACAGCACCCTGAGTCTAAGAGCTGATACTAGCTCTCCATCCTCTCTGGACACAATTTGCTTTTGCAGTGGGAAATGTAAATGGTGATGGTGATGATGATAAATGATGGTGATGCTCATGGCAGTTGTTTTGTTTCTTTACCTGACTACTTACTTCTGTCTTCTGTTTTGCAGGCTAAGTGTTGAACACAGCAGTCTACACATCTCTATTATTGTGATTGCCCTTAAGCTTACAGGCTTTTTAGAAGGGTGAAGAGCTTCAGGGAAGCTGGCAGCGCTCCTGTCATCAGCTGGTAGTCATAAATGCAATGCTTTAACCACAACATAATGGAGCAGCTTGGACCATAAACAAGCTGTCTGGATACCTACAAGTTTCTCAAAGGAAACTGTTTTCTTCGCAAACTGTGGACAACCTGCTGTTCTTCCAATATTCAGAGCACCAAAATCATGACATTTTCACCAAAACATTCACCAGAATCTGGCTTGAGAAATACAAGGCCTTGCCCCAAAAGGAAGGCCTGTTTCTTTTTCCCTCTACAACACACACTGACCATAAGAACTGCAAAGATTATGGCTTTAGCACATTGCCCCCAAGTCAATGACTACGGGGAGATGAACGAGCTCCTTACTGCTCCAACAAAGAGCCTTATTTCTACCTGTTAAACAACATCTCTACCAGCACAGTGCAGACAGAAGAGCAGACAGACTATATTTAAATCAATCAAAACTTTACTTAAATTGAATTCAGCAAAAATGAAACTATATAGAGGAAGAACTATATACATAAACAAATTTCTACGCTGCCTATTGGCCAAGATCCATCTAGCACTCATAAATAAATGGTATGGTATAGTTCTGGTGTGAGTGCCATTCTGCAGTTTGGGCACATGTAAGAAGCCTCAAGAGCAATAGGGAGGCATCTACTGCAGAAGACATGGCCACATAGGGTTGCCACGAGCTGTCGTCCGCGTTGAATAAACTGGAAGAAAGAAAACCACAACATTTATTGGGAGGAGAGAATTTGATTTTGCTGCTCAACTGGCATCAGGCTCTATTTTGAGCATCTAGAATTAGAATTACGAGGGACCCACAGATCTGCCAGTGCCATCTTGGCAAGGGCTTCTGCCTCTGCATTCACCAAGAAGTGACTTGTGGAGCTTCACAGCAAGGGCTGTGCTTCCAGCCAGCTGCCCACAGCATCCCACATCATCCAACTGACTTGTGCAGCTCCCCCCTTCTGGCTTTCTCCTCCCACAAAGCAGACAGGACAACAACGGGTGGATCCTTACCTCTGAGTAAGACTCCATGCAAATTGGACACCTAATAACAACTCCTTGCTGTGCACTGGAGGAAAGAGAACTAGAAAGAACATGCAGCTGTTAGTATAACCACACTTCGGTGGCTATTGATACATAAAATCTCACATATTCATACAACTGCACTGACTAGCCATGACACATTTCCTTTGAAGAACCCTGCTGTCTTTAAGTCTCTGTTTGCTGCACTTAGTGAGGATTTGGGGTCTCCCTGCCCTGAGGGAAAGGGTGTCCTGGTTTTCACTAGGAGAAAGGTGCAGTCAGTCACCTTGCTCTGGGCTTTGAAGTAGCAGCAGCCTCTAGCACTGGCCAGTTTGTGTATGGCAACCTTGACTTCCAGCAGGTCATCAGTAAGAGCTTTGTAACTACAGCATCAGCTGTCCTCTGGGAATTATTCACCCCACAATATTCATTCCAGGACCCAGTTTTAAACTATAGAGTAATACAGCTCTGGCAAGATCCAGCCCTCCCTGGGAAGGAGGCTTTGGTCAATTTTAAATGCTGCAGCACTGAGCTATTTCAGCCTTAACTAAACAGAGCAGTTACATTCAGTAACCGAAAAGCTTGAGACTGGAGGAACAAAGTATTCCTGTTTTATATTACCCAGGGGCTGGGATTTGTTCACCTACAGACTTAACAACCAAAACTTAAGCATCTACAAATTCATTGGCAAAATGCCCAATTAAGGTTTAGAATCGTAGAAGCCCTTTAGGTGGCATATTTAAGACCTGACACCTAAAAGTTTCACACTCAAGTTGTCTCCTACATTGCCTTTCCAAAAGGCTCAAAGCACACCAGCTTTATTAAAACCTGTGTCTTTCCCCCAACCCCAAAAACACCACTTCGAAAACCTTATACCATAATTCCAATGTTCTTTGTCTTCCCTAGTGTCAAGGACACTTGGTTAAATTGAATCAGTCTAATGAACTGTATCTTTCTTATCCTGATGGAGTGTCCCTACAGCAGGACTTTCCTGTTCCTCTGCAGAATGGGAATTTTACTGTGCAGGCACCCAACTTGAACGGCAAGATTTCCATCACAGAAGCAAGCAAATCAGGGCCTGTGACATCCAGCACTGGCCATAAAAGCATGACCTCCACAACTGCCTGTGTGCAAGTCTACCTTGGGAAGAAGGGCTCCAGCTCCAGGAGAAAGGCAACCAGCTGGCACCATTCCAGCAGGGAATTTTTGTTGGAATTTGCCCAGCTGCTGCCTGCTGGCCCCGTGATGCCAAGCCCCAGTAATTACAATGGAAGCATTTCCATATCTAACATCACTACTACAGCTTGTCAGAAAAAGCAAATGCAATACTGAGCTATGGCCTGTGACCAATCCCCATTCCTTGCCATACTCCCACACTCGTCTCTAAGGCTCTGTGCAAAGATGCACATCTGCTTTGGGCTGCTTTTTTCTCCCAAAATTCAAATGGTATCATGTGATCATCCTGCAACATGGGAGAAGGAGGGAAATGAGTAGAGTAGGGAAGGCGTCAAAGAGAAATCAGGCATAGCACTATTATTAAGTCCTACACAGAAAAGAAAGAAAGGCACAGAATTCTGTGTGTGGTGGGGCATGAGGCATACATACTCTGGATTTTGAGTGTCCTCCTCCTCTGCTCCCTGTTCTTCAGGGGCTGAGTCAGCCACAGGGGCATCATTAGCTCCTGTTCCATTACCAGAGCCATCCACCTGTTCCTGGCTGTTTGATGTAACATTTCTCCTTTCCTGTCCATGCACTGTAATTTAATTTTCAGAAGTTAGATCTATTATTCTCTCTCTCCCCGGAGCTACCTTTGAAACAAGTTATATAAATAGTCAGCAATGGTTCCTATTTTAAATGGACACTATTCAGCTGGGTTTAAAACAATCTCAAACAAACTACTTTCCCAAATACTAAGACTGGACCCTTCCAGACATTGTGACTACTCTGCTACAAAACAACATAAAATATTTGCTCTGTTCAGCCTACACACAGCTAAAAAAGGTGACCTAAGAGATTCTCAAGGAAAGTCCCTGGAAACTATAAAATTACTCGGAGCACTATCCCCTTAGAAATTGCCATCATCATCCTCCTGAATTAAGACAATTTGAAAATGGAGTTATATATTATGCAAAATGTAGACTATGTGAAAGAATTCTTAAGGAAGTATGCTCTTTGTATTGCTATATTTGAGCATTCTATACTTTCAAGCCAAGTCGCCTGGAAGGGAGATTTATTCCATTAAATAGACAGCAACTAACAAACTAGCTCTAACTGGGGAAGAAAAACAACTTCCTTCTTGGTAGAATTGGCTTGTAAAGGTTCAAGGCTTGAAATGCTTGAAGGAGCTCAGATTTGGGGAAGGGTCAACAAAGCTTGAGGAGAAGGATGCCCACTGAGATTGGACACAAAAAATGCAGAATTGAGGGGCCAAAAGGACATCTGGCACAACTCCCAAGATAAGGAAGAAACTAAGAAACCCAACTCTCCTGAAAGCAGCTCTGACTGGTAGAAAATAATTCCTGCAGGGGGAGATTGCAGCCCCCAACTCATGGAGCAATGACTCAAGAAACTCCCCAGCCCAAAAGAAGAAGGAGACTGAGTGGACTAATTAAAGTGAGAAGTAAGACAATCCTTAACCAAAAGAAGACAGAACACGACCTAAGGAGACAACCATGTCACTTGTAATGCTAATTTCTTTCTTTGTTAAAATCTATAAATAATAGAAGTTCTTTTGATAGTGGGTGTGTCTGATTTGTGAAATACCACTGAGCACCCAGACTGGTGAAACACTGAAATAAACAACCAATGTCTCTCTCAAGTGTATGATTATTTACCTGTCACACCCCAGTAACAAATCCAATTTTTGTGGACAACATATTGACCAAATCACAGGGAGAACCATTCTTAATGGCCTGCTCTGTAGCAGCAGAAGGGTCAAGAAATGCTTTTTAACTCTCAGAAACCGCAGGCAGCAAGGACCTCTGCAACTCCAGTGCCCATGTAACACTAATCAATCACCAATCAATCAAAACTGCAGAAAGTGTTACCAAATTAAAGTTCCTTCTGCATAAGTACTCAGCTACAACTTTTATTGCAGGGATTTCCCACTGTGACTGACAGAGGCCACCACACACACATTGCATCCGTTCTCTAAGACACTGGCCAGAGGCTTTAGCCCTGTCCCTTGTCTTTTGCTAAAAGCAGTTTCAATCCCAGCTGCTCGACTTTCTTGGGAAAGTACAACAAAACTAACTATCACATTTTAGATAAAAGTCCATTACCAACCGTAAAACATCATCTCACCTTCAAGAAGCTTCCATCGATGCACATGGGAAGGGAGAGAAAAGAAGATACAATTAGATTTGGTGAGCCCCCCTGGTGCTGCACACAAACCCCAGCTCAGAAAGCAGTTACAGCAGAGGAGGGGAGCAAGGCTAGGCTGTCACCCTCTAAGTTTGCCTAAGAGCATCAAAGCAGTAGCACAAAGAGCCGCTGCCCCGAAAAGCAAAGAAGTGGGTGCTGCTGATTCTGCTCTCATTGCTGCAACAGGGGACAAACAGGGGCAGCTTAGGAACCCCCTGAACACCCTCCTCCCCTGTTCCTGTTCCCTATTTGGATTTGACCTGGCACTGTTTATTTCCCTCATTCTCCCAAAACTGGCAAGTTCTGCTATGATAACCTTAACATTCCCCGTTAGATTAACAACTACTGAAGAGTAAAGAATTCCATTTTTCTGTTCTATTGGCACCAGACAAACTGGACTTGGACTAAGTGCAGTCTGTCACTCAATGCTATATAAAACTATAAGGAACACACAGAGCTGCCAGTGCCATCCCGGCAAGGGCTTCTCCCTCTATGGACACCACCAAGGAAGGACTTGGACCTATGGGCAAGTTGGAGCTTCCCAACAAGGGCTGTGCTTCCAGCCAGCTGCATGTGGCATCCCACCTAAAACAACTGAGTTGTGCAGCTCCCTTCTTGCTGCTTTCCCTTCCACAAATCAGAAATTACAACAACATTTAGATCCTTACCTCTGCATTATCATTCTCCCTGTTTGGAGGACTAGTAATACCACTTGGTGGTTCACTAGAGGGAACAGAACCAGAAGAACATGTAGCTGTCAATTTCACAGAGCACAGAGGTTTGCCAACAAAACATATAATTGAAGAAATTTAAAATAACCCCTTGTTCTGATTTAGTAACATCCCAGCCCAGTAACACAATCAAGTGCAAGAGCTTTTATGTACTTCAAGCATGTCAGTATATCGCAATCCATAATGTAAGAAACATTGAATAATGTCATCCTGACAGAGAGGAAATATTTCTCCTGGATTTTACTTGGTTTTAGTTTGGGGCTGTTTTTGGGTTTGTTTTGTTTTGTTTTTGGGGTTTGGTGGATTTTTTTTTTTGGATACTTCTTATCTAGACAGGCCTATGTGTTTCAAGTCAAAATTCTCCAAACAGAATTAAGTAGAATCCAAAAGTTTGGCAAAAACCTCTGTCTACCATACATCAGAAATTACACTTTGGAGAGACACTTTATCTGTCACGTACAATTCAATATCTCTTGGTTCCTGTTGAAGGTTGCTTGACAGTATTTCGAACAAATTCTCTTCTGACCAGGAATAAATTGGCTGGCTCTCTTCCCAGTCCTGCAGAGGGGTAAAAATGGAGACAGAGTAGGAACTGTTTGAAGCCACTCCGTCCTGCCTCCCTGTTTCAGTTCCCTGACTGGATTTGGGCTAGAACCTTTTCTTTCCCTTGTTAGCCCTATACAATTCATGCTAGATGAACAGCTGCTGAGAAATGGAAACTACAACCACAGGAATTAGGGGCAAAAAAGTTTGCTGCTCTATTGGCACCAGGCAAACTGGACTTCGGGTATCTGCACTCTGTCAGTCAATGCTAGAACTATAAGGAACACACAGATCTGCCAGTGCCGACCTGGCAAGGGCTTCTCCCTCTATGGACACCACCAAGAAAGGACTTGGAGGGATGGGCAAGTTGGAGCTTCCCAACAAGGGCTGTGCTTCCAGCCAGCTGCATGTGGCATTCCCATCTAGGACAACTGAGGACACAGAGTGGCAGCTGAGACAGAGACAGAGCTCCCACTCTGTCTCCTCCCCTCCCACAAAGCAGAAAGGACAAGAACATGTGATAAGAACAACATGCTTACATCTGTAATGTCATCCCGCCATGTCGGAGGACTCTCAAAACGATCTGGCCATTCATCAGAGTTAAGAGAACTAGAAGAATATACAGCTGTCAATTTCACAGTGCAAAGAGATCTACCAAGACATCAAATTGCAAAAACAGAAATAACCCCTCATTCTGATTTAGCAACATCCCAGCCCAGAAACACACCAGTGCACGAGCTTTTATGTACGGCAAGCATTACAGTGTATTGCAATCCATCATTTAAGAAACATTCAATAATGACTTCCTGAATGGAGAAGAAAGGTTTCTCTGCGATTTTGCTTTGTTGTTGGGTTTTTTTTTTTCCATTAGTTCCCTGCCAGACAGGCCACTTATGTTCAAATCAGATTCCATCACACAGAATCAAGCAGTTTGGCAAAAAGACCTGTGTCTACTGAATATCAGAAAATACACTTTGGAGAGACACTTCATCAGTCACATACTCATCGTTATCTCTTGGTTCCTCTTCATGGTTACTTGCCCATAGCTCAGCTGAATTCTCTGTGTTGCTGGAGCCAGGTGGGTGCTGCTGGCTCTGCTCCTTGTCCTGCACCTGTGAGTTGTCACCCTCCCTCATTGGAGGACCAGCAGGACCTGCTGGCCATGCACTAGAGGGAACCAGAAAGAACATGCAGCCATTTGAACATGGAGCCTATAATCTCACTGCAGACAGAGAGTTACCAACATGTATATACCTATTCTGATTAAGCAAAATCCCAGCCCAGCACCACAACTGTTCCCCGAGCTGCTATGTACTGCAAGTATTTCAGCATATATCAAGCCACACTGTAACAAATATTCAACCACGACATTATGAAAAGAAAAGAAAGGTTTCAGATGGATCTTGCTATGTGATTTTTTTGGATTCTTTTGCTTACTTCTCTGCCAGACAGGCCACTATATTGCAGGTCTGAAGTTTCTGCACCGACTTCAGCAGAACCCAGAAGCTTAGAAAAACCTGTTCCTACTATATATCAGAAATTAGAATTTAGAGAGATATTTTACTCTCACATACCCGCTACCTCCTGGTTCCTCTTCATCATGGGTTGTCAGTGGACCTGCTGAAATCTCTGCTGGTCTGGAAAGATGTGAGTCCTGCTGGTTCTGCTCCCTGGACTGCAGTGGGGTAAAAATGGAGACAGATTAGGAACCACCTGAACACCTTCCTCCTCTGTTTCAGGTCCCTAACTGGATTTGGGCCTAGAGCTGTTTCTTTCTCTCTTTCTCCCTCAAAGGGAAATTCAACAGTCCCAGCCCTGAACACTACATGTTGGATGAACAGCTGCTGAAGAATGGAAACCACAACAGGCATTGGAAGGAAAGAATTCCAGTTTGCTGCTCTGTTGGCACCAGGCAAACTGGACTTGGACTATGTGCAGTCACTCAATGTTATAGAACTATAAGGAACACACAGATCTGCCAGTGCCATCCTGGAAAGGGTTTCTCCCACTACGGACACCATCAAGAAAGGACTTGGAGGGATGGGCAAGTTGGAGCTTCCCAGCAAGGGCTGTGCTTCCAGCCAGCTGCCCATAGCACCCATCTAAAACAACTGAGTTGTGCAGCTCCCCTTTTGTCCCTTTCCCTCCCACAAACCATAAAGGACAAGAACATGTGGATCCTCACCTCTGAGTCCTCATCTGACCAATATGGAAGATCGAAATCAAATGGTAGCCAATCCCTAGAGAGAGCAGAACTAGAAGAACATGCAGCCATTTAAACATGGAGCCATTTATTTCCTGGGCACCAAGGGTTGCCACTAAAGAAAATGTTGGTACTTAAAACATCCCCTATTTTGATTTAGCAATATCTCAGCCCAACAATACAATCATTCCCAGAGCTTTTACATATTGCAAGCATTTCAAGCCATACTGAAGAAACATTATGTAATGGCTTCATGCACAGAGAAGAATGGTCTCTACTGGATTTTTTTGGTTTGTTTTCTTGGTTTTTTTAAAAATTGTTTCTCTTTCCATCAGGCCACTCTATTCCAATTCTGAAGTTTTGGCACAGAATCAAGCAGAACCCAAAAGCTTGGCAAAATCTCCTGCTATGTATCAGAAATTAGACTTTAGAGAGTCAATTAATCTGTAACATACTCATCATCAATGTCTCTTGGTTCTTCTTCATCTTCCCTTGCCAGTGGCTCATCTGATGTTCTGGAAAGATTCAGCTGCTGCTGGCTCTGCTCCCTGTCCTGCAATGGGGTAGACATAGATGCCCTTAGAAACACCTGAACACTGTACTTCCTGCTTCCCCATTTCAGTTTCCTAATTGCATTTAGGCCTGGAGCTGTTTCTTTCCCTCTCTTACCCCCAAACTGGCAAATGCGCTGTGTTAGCCAAAGATATTTTGTGTTAGATTAACAGTTGCTAATGAAAGAACCCCAAACCCAAACCATCTCTGGGAACTGGAGCTGGGTGACGCAGGCTCTGTTGAAAAGTTTGAGGCCTTTCCTTTGCAAAGGCTCAGGAATAATGCTGTCAGGAGGTACCCTTTATGTTATGCCTGCTGCATATTCTGCTTTGCACGGCAGCAGCAACACCCCAAAATTGATGGAATAAACTACACAGTCTGGATCAAGCGTTATTCTTTCAAACAGCAGGGGAAATGAAAAGAAAAAAAAAGTGACATTTTTAAAGTCTTCTTGGAGTAATAAAAATACACCTAGTTTCTACCCCAGTCAGCTGCAGTTGCACTTGGCACCTCAGTGACAAGAGCACCTTAAACTGATGTTGCAGCAAAAACACTTCTTATTTGGGAAGTCAAATACTTCCTGTCCTCTCCCTTGCTTTTTCTTTAAATTACTGAAGCAACAAGCTCTTTTAGATTATTCTTACACTCCCTGCAAGTGATACTCAAAGAGATAGTAAGATGCCAGAAGACAGGCCCAGGAGCTCAAGAGAAACTAATCTGAATGCAAGATGGAGAGGAGTGTGCCATTCACTACTTACCATAGAAGACTCATCGTCACTGATAGTGATGACTTCAGGCTCTGAAGATTCACCTGGGAGATGTATGACACCTTCATATCTGAGCTGTATGACTTCTTCACCGTCCACATCTATGGCGTCTTCATATGTGAGCTGTATGACTTCTTCACGTGCGACATCTATGGCATCTTCATATGTGAGCTGTATGACTTCTTCCCCTGCGACATTTATGGCATTTTCGTCTTCACCTGTGAGATCTATGACGTCTTCACCAAATGAAAATGAGAACATTAGAGTCAGATCAGAGAATGCAAAGGAATGAAATGGGCTGCCAGTGTGGAACATGCTGAGGTTGGATTAACTGTGCTCTAGGTCTTTTTTTTTCAGGAATATGTCCAAAATTTCACTCAAGCTTTGCCCTCAACAGTGCACAGGGAGCACAGCTGGCCGTGCCCTCTGAAGGGGCAAAACAAGCAGAAGAGCAGCTGAGCTCCTCACAAGTTCTATTGGATGACAACAGATTACAGGAGGTTCACATCAACAGATGATTCATTTCATAGAGGGGAATGCTTAACACAGAGTGGAAAAAAAGTCCCATCAAAACTGTAATCATAGAGGGGATCCTAATTTTAAAGTATCATGCTGTACATATTCCCCTGAAGGATGGGCCACAGCTAATGACAGTTTCCTTATCTTCATACAGCTTGGGACAACTCAAACTCAGCCTGCCACCCTCCACTGTGGCAGCTGCAGTGACTGCCAGCTCATCAGAACACACATTCAGGTGTTTGAGCAGCACGGGAGGACCTTTCCTACACAGCTCATCTCCCACTTGCAGCCAATAAGAGCAGCAATACCAAGCAGCAGCAATGATGATCTCAGTAACAAACCAAAACTGTTGTCAGAAGGCTTGCTGTTTAGGGATGCCTCCTTAATCCCAAGGTTTCCCTTCCCTTCCTCCCCAGTAAAGGGCCTAGAAACTGGCAAAAGCACATGGCCAGATGGTCTTCAACCCTCCAGAAGACGCTTCTGTTCTTACCAGGCTCAAAAGCAGGTGTGCCCCTTTCCTCAAGGTCTGTTGGCTCTGTCTGAGAAGTTCCACCTGCGCTGGAGGGCAGCAGCCGGCTCCGTTTCCGAGCTGGTCTGGAATCAACTGCTCCTCCAGGGCGCTTTCGCTGACGCTGACAGGGAACAAAGCCTTAGCATTTTCTCTGCCACGAATATTAACATGGCCCTTGGGTTTTGCAACACCAATGACAGCACACAAGGATACAGAAGACACTCCTGCAAAGGCTGGAATACACACCAAATGCTGCTATGGGCCATTCCCACCCGAGCACATTACACCAGGGAAAAGACAGCACCCCTGATCTCCAATAAGCCACCTCCCCGAGAAAGAGCCTGTCCCAATGGCTTGAAAATGAGGAGACCAGTTCCCAATTCCAGCAGGTTGCTGCTCACACTGTAAGCATTTCTGCATTACTGCTAACACCCAGAAATACAAAACCTTCCCAATTCCAGAACACCAAGTTACATGAAGTTTTTAAAGGTTTCTGTTCCTCTGCATTTGCTACAATCTCTTGAAATGCTTTCTAGACCTACCCTGGAAAATGTTTCAAGAATCAGATTTGCAAAGTACTTACTGAGCTCATGGTGTTTTGTGATCAAAAGCAACCACCAAATAAGTGGGACAAACTCCAAAAAAGGAATGTCAGGGATGTGATCAATCCCTTCGGTTCCTTTAGGCAGCCCACTGCAGATTTTTCAGCGTGACAGAAAATTTCTCACCAAACCTATTAGAAAAGCAGAGGCGAGATTATCCATTTGGATTGCCAGTTTTCTTGAACACTCCCATGCCCTAAGACTCCCATTCCCAAGTCTCCAGTTCCTGTCCAAAGCTAGAGGCAAAGTCCATGACTCTGGCACTTGAGCCCACCTGCAGCCCATCCTGCAGCCCAGCCCAGCCCCTCAGCATCAGAAGCCTTTCCACGAATCGTCTGCACTCACCTGTACGGTCAGTCCAGAGTTTGGCCTGCAAAAGTCACCAAATCGCTCTCTATTCCCTCGCGGGATGGAGAAGAAGGATGCTCTGCATCTGCTGCGCAGCAGAGAATCCCTCAACTGGCTCAACAGACTCCGTGCCAACAGAACCTTGGAACCAGGAGTGCCCCTGGCAACCGGTGGCAACATTCCATGCCCAGGTAACTGATGGCTGCTGTGCTCACCCATGGAGTTCCAGAACGCCATGGAGGCACCTTGTGGGTCTCAGATTCAGTCAAAGAGAGAAACGAGAGATTCTAGCCAGGCAGAAGCCTTGGGAAAGAGCTGGAGAAGAATGTAAATAATTCTTTATCTCTCTTGTTTTTCACATTGTTTATAGTTTAGTTCTAGCACTGTGCGTCAAGCGCTTTGCAGCAATGGTGTAGCTTGTTTTCACTTCAGGACCAATGGAGTTGGTCCTCACAAAGCTCTGTATAAAAGAGCAGTGTATTTTGAAGAAACTGGAGTTTTACTCTCAGCAGCCTTCTGGTCAGAGTCTCTTCATTCCCATCCTACCTCGACAGCGACAGCACCTCAGCCATCCCCTGCTGCTGCTGCCGCCCCCCAGGTCAGGCCGCTCAGGGCCCGGCCCAGCCCGGCCTGGAGCGGCCCATGGACAGGGCATCCACAGCTTCTCTGGGCAGTCCCTTCCAATGTCTCACTGCCCCCTCAGCTCTCCCGAACACCCGATCCCAATCTCCCCTTCTCGTCTAAAACCCTCCCCCTTCCCCATGGCTCTCTGCCCCCTTTGGGCACCGCAAGGCCGCAGTGAGGCCTCCCCGCTCCCTGCTCCTCCCCACGCTGGACAGCCCCGGCTCTCCCAGCCGGGCCAGGGGACAGGTGCTCCAGGCCCCCACACATCCCCACGGCTCCTCCGGCCCTGCTCCACAGGCACATCCTGCTGGGCTGGGCACAGCTGGGCACAGCTGGGCACAGCTCCACACGTGGGGCAGGGCAGGGGCAGAGCAGGGGCAGAGCTGCACCTCCCACGCCCTCAGCCTGAGCAACCCCAGCATCACTGGAGCCTTTCTGTGGCTAAAGAAACCCCACCACACCACACCTCCCCGAGTCAGAAAGAAATTTAAACCCTTCCTTAACCCTCCTTCTACTGGTTTATTAGTCTGTTGCTGTTTTAACTCTTATCCGAGTGTTTGAACGTTAACCCTAGTAAACAGCCATTAAAACAAAATCAAAGTTTGTTGGTTTTTTTTCCCAGACTGTTGAAAGTTTAACAATTCAGTTCATTATTTCAAGTCTCTGAAGTCTTGACATTTTCAGGGGTCCAGTGCTCCTCTACCAGAGATTCCCGACAGGGCTGAGGAGTTTTGCTTTGCTCCTGGTTTTATGGACAGGCTTACAACGAAAACTTCAAAGTAACAAAAAAAAAGCAGGACAGTTAATTAAAAACAAGTAAGCCTGGTTATTACAGACAGAACAACTGGAAGCCAAAGCCTCCGGCTAGTCCGGAGACTGTTTCAACAACGTAGTAATTGTATACCTAGGGGCATTTCCAAGGACACCAGCTCTAAGGAAAGACCCGGGTGTCACACGCCCCAGGCCTTTTAAAGTCTCTCTCTTCTTCCCTTATTGGGGTGCTCAGGATCCGTGCTGTGATAGGTTTCTTTTTCTGTTGCTGATTAGCCCATAAGTTGGCGCCGTCTTGGCCAATCATTTTGAGATTCTTACTTCTTATTGCTTGGTCTCTCCTCCAGTCTTAATCCAAGCTGTGGCTGTGTTCTACGATGCTATACTTCTAGAAGCTTCTCTGCCCCCCCTCCACAAAGATTGGCATTTCCTCCCTGGTTCCAGTCCCCTTTTAGGTATACACCACAGTATTGAGTTTTGATATAACTAATCACCTTACTTTGTACCCACAACATCCAACCCTGCACCACACCCTGTTAACTACATATCCAATTATAACTTGTTACTTGTATCAACAACATCCCTTTTTATACATACATTGTTAACAACATTCCCCAAAAGTTTTAATTGTTTTGTTTTGTTTTGTTTTGTTTTGTTTTGTTTTGTTTTGTTCATAACACCTTCCTCCTGAGGCCCTGCTCCGCTACGGAAGGTGACAGAGCAGAAGGAGCAGAATTAGTATTCACTTTTCCTTCTAGCCACTCTGCCACGGGACCTGTGTTCAGAAGGAAGGCCTGCGGCTCCTGAGAGCAGCAGGGAACCCATCTCAGCCCTGCCAGGTACAGGGCTGCTCCTCCGCCCCTGGTCCCGTTGGGTGCTCTGGGGTGTGGGGAGAATGGTGGCAATTGATCCAGGGCTCTGGAGAGCACAAGGATATGTTCAGCTCCGGCTCTACATGAGAAGGCTCATTTCCTACAAAAGTTTCTCTGTTATTACAATTCATCCTTTTGGGTAATTGACAACATGCTGGGTGTGGAAGAATGGGTAGGGATGACTTTTCCATTTTTTGATAAATCCAAAAGCAGATTTAATACTTTATGTAAAAATGCAAAGACACTGAAGCAATTCCAAATATACATTTAATAGATGAATATTTAAGCACTTTGTATTAATCCAAAAGCACTGATTATGAGAAATGAACAATGCAAATTTGCTGTCTTTGTGGTCTGGCCTTCAAAGCTCAAAAAACCCCACTTCTCCTATGCCTACAGATCAATGATGAAATGAGCTGAAAAATGTGCTTTTCCTTCTGCTGACAACTACGCACCACAACTGAAACCAATGCTTTAACTATTCCGTTTCTCTTTGCTAATCAGTGTTTTTCTAGATCAATACTTTCTAAAAATTATATATATATACACACAGAATGCTTTAATTCCTAACCCTATACCAAAATTTTAAAAGAAAATTGCCTCAGCTGATAGTGTTGAGCCATACTAACATCTGTTTAAACCTAATTTAAAATCAGCTGAGTGCCATTTCATTACTTAAATTTACTTGACCATAAATCGTTTCCTTAAATGCTCCTTTTCATGAGAATACGTGGCATTGCATGTCAGCTAGGAATATAGCTTTTAGAAAGACACTTAGATAATTTAGTAAGACATTTCTGCTTACTGTCATTGCATCCACCAAGTAGCTTAAAGTCTAGCAAAAATGACAACCAAAAAACATCAGTCTAAAATTTATGGCCATCTTGTAATTAAATAATTTTATTTCTGTCTGTTGAAGAATTATCTTTGAGTTTAATTTTGACAACTCAAGTAGGTTTCATTAAAAACGAAAATCAAAAAACCACTTTATCAGGCTAATACTAATGTTTTCGTTTTTTTATTAAGACCAAGCCACATAAAAATTACTGGGTACATTGAACCTTGTTTATTTTACTACCTCTACCTAAATATGGCAATATTAGGACATCTTGAAATATGACTGAGGAAGCAGATAAATAATACAATAAAGACAAAAATGAAAAACCAAAATTAAGGATTCATGTCCACACAGATGACCAGCTTTTAATACACAGAGGACCTCAGTTCAGTTTGGTCATCTGAGTTTTCTGTTTCATGTCACAATGAATCTACTTTCCCACTGTTTACCTGAGATCTGCCTGTGCTTCTTTATTACTTTTGTATCACAGAAGTAACTTTCTTTCCTCTCTTATGTCCAATTTTTGAATCTCTGGACAGTTGCATTTCTCTTCAGGGTAACTTAGGATTATACTGCTGTGATTGAAGGAAGCTACAACACAGTTGTACTGCCAACAGCTCAAAGATGGTAACCAACTTCAGACATTTAAAAACACCTTCCTTCAAAAGCCTCCAGATTCTAATTCTAATGAAACCTTACAGCACTAAATGCAGCAGTTTGTTAATGTACCAGATATTGTCAAAGAACATTGCTTTCTTTGGCTGCGTGCACAACCTGCTACTCTTTCCATCTTCTGAGGAATAAAGTCATGACATTTTCACCAAAGCGTCCACCGGAGTCTGGCCTGAGAAATTGAATCCCTCTCACCCCAAGCAGGCTGTGTTTCTTTTTCCCTGTACAACACACACTGGCCACAAGAACTACAATAAGTACAGTCCAGCACAGAAGAGCAGACAGACTATATTTAAATCAATCCGAACTTTATTTATAATTGAATTCAGCAAAAATGAAACTATATAGAGGAAGAACTATATACGTAAAGAAACAAGTCTCTACGCTGCCTATTGGCCAAGATCCATCTCAGTCTGTCCTGAGAAGCACTCATAAATAAATGGGAAAATATACTGCTGCATTGAGTTCCACCCAGCAGAATGGGCATATGTGAGCAGCCTCAAGGGCAATAGGGAGGCATCTACTGCAGAAGACACTAAGCTGATTTGCAGCTTCCAGCACAACATAGCAAATTGCTAGAGAAATACTGAAAACTTCTGGAGCAACTGTAAAACAAGCAAGCAAATCAAAGCAGTGGTTTGGATCTGCTGGAAGAAGTAAAAGCACAGCTTCCCAAATATACAACCTATGAAATCCATAAACTGCAATAGAGAACTACAGAATTCCTGTCCTAAAAATACCTGATAAAAAGTTGCTTTACAAAAGGAAGCAGTGATTTTTGTACTGGACAACTTGCAGCAAACTTTAATCTTTTAATCCAGAGAGACTAGAAATATCAGTGTAACAAAATCACCATCTTTTTCTTTCTTTCTTTCTTTCTTTCTTTCTTTCTTTCTTTCTTTCTTTCTTTCTTTCTTTCTTTCTTTCTTTCTTTCTTTCTTTCTTTCTTTCTTTCTTTCTTTCTTTCTTTCTTTCTTTCTTTCTTTCTTTCTTTCTTTCTTTCTTTCTTTCTTTCTTTCTTTCTTCTTTCTTTCTTTCTTTCTTTCTTTCCTTTCTTTCTTTCTTTCTTTCTTTCTTCGTTTCTTTCTCCTCAAGCAGCAAGAAATTTGGCATTCTGATTGCAAATGCCTTTAAATGAACCCTGGGCTCACCACATGCAGTGGTGGTGGGTAGGTGGCAAAGTCCAGGATGGTTTGTTTTTCCTTGGGCTTTCCATCCCCAGGAAGTGAAATCTCCACTGATGAAACAGAATTCTTCAAGGGGAAATGCATGACAAGCCCTTCTGCAGGGCTCCCGTGCAGGCAGGGATATTTCAGCAGCCCTTGAGCTGTGAAGTACCATGGCCAGCTGGCAGATGGAAGTGTTCACCAGCACTGAAACCAGAGCTTGAGAAGTGCAGGTCTCGCTTAGCCCTGCAGGTGGTTAAAGGCTCGTGCCTTCAGCGCAAGTATTCTCCCAAATACATGGACAGGTACATGCCATTGGCAGCCACTGGCCACATCCCATGTAACTCCCTGTGATGGATGGGGCCACTTGCTGCCAGCCCATGACAGCACCCTGAGTCTAAGAGCTGATACTAGCTCTCCATCCTCTCTGGACACAATTTGCTTTTGCAGTGGGAAATGTAAATGGTGATGGTGATGATGATAAATGATGGTGATGCTCATGGCAGTTGTTTTGTTTCTTTACCTGACTACTTACTTCTGTCTTCTGTTTTGCAGGCTAAGTGTTGAACACAGCAGTCTACACATCTCTATTATTGTGATTGCCCTTAAGCTTACAGGCTTTTTAGAAGGGTGAAGAGCTTCAGGGAAGCTGGCAGCGCTCCTGTCATCAGCTGGTAGTCATAAATGCAATGCTTTAACCACAACATAATGGAGCAGCTTGGACCATAAACAAGCTGTCTGGATACCTACAAGTTTCTCAAAGGAAACTGTTTTCTTCGCAAACTGTGGACAACCTGCTGTTCTTCCAATATTCAGAGCACCAAAATCATGACATTTTCACCAAAACATTTACCAGAATCTGGCTTGAGAAATACAAGGCCTTGCCCCAAAAGGAAGGCCTGTTTCTTTTTCCCTCTACAACACACACTGACCATAAGAACTGCAAAGATTATGGCTTTAGCACATTGCCCCCAAGTCAATGACTACGGGGAGATGAACGAGCTCCTTACTGCTCCAACAAAGAGCCTTATTTCTACCTGTTAAACAACATCTCTACCAGCACAGTGCAGACAGAAGAGCAGACAGACTATATTTAAATCAATCAAAACTTTACTTAAATTGAATTCAGCAAAAATGAAACTATATAGAGGAAGAACTATATACATAAACAAATTTCTACGCTGCCTATTGGCCAAGATCCATCTAGCACTCATAAATAAATGGTATGGTATAGTTCTGGTGTGAGTGCCATTCTGCAGTTTGGGCACATGTAAGAAGCCTCAAGAGCAATAGGGAGGCATCTACTGCAGAAGACATGGCCACATAGGGTTGCCACGAGCTGTCGTCCGCGTTGAATAAACTGGAAGAAAGAAAACCACAACATTTATTGGGAGGAGAGAATTTGATTTTGCTGCTCAACTGGCACCAGGCTCTATTTTGAGCATCTAGAATTAGAATTACGAGGGACCCACAGATCTGCCAGTGCCATCTTGGCAAGGGCTTCTGCCTCTGCATTCACCAAGAAGTGACTTGTGGAGCTTCACAGCAAGGGCTGTGCTTCCAGCCAGCTGCCCACAGCATCCCACATCATCCAACTGACTTGTGCAGCTCCCCCCTTCTGGCTTTCTCCTCCCACAAAGCAGACAGGACAACAACGGGTGGATCCTTACCTCTGAGTAAGACTCCATGCAAATTGGACACCTAATAACAACTCCTTGCTGTGCACTGGAGGAAAGAGAACTAGAAAGAACATGCAGCTGTTAGTATAACCACACTTCGGTGGCTATTGATACATAAAATCTCACATATTCATACAACTGCACTGACTAGCCATGACACATTTCCTTTGAAGAACCCTGCTGTCTTTAAGTCTCTGTTTGCTGCATTTAATGAGGATTTGGGGTCTCCCTGCCCTGAGGGAAAGGGTGTCCTGGTTTTCACTAGGAGAAAGGTGCAGTCAGTCACCTTGCTCTGGGCTTTGAAGTAGCAGCAGCCTCTAGCACTGGCCAGTTTGTGTATGGCAACCTTGACTTCCAGCAGGTCATCAGTAAGAGCTTTGTAACTACAGCATCAGCTGTCCTCTGGGAATTATTCACCCCACAATATTCATTCCAGGACCCAGTTTTAAACTATAGAGTAATACAGCTCTGGCAAGATCCAGCCCTCCCTGGGAAGGAGGCTTTGGTCAATTTTAAATGCTGCAGCACTGAGCTATTTCAGCCTTAACTAAACAGAGCAGTTACATTCAGTAACCGAAAAGCTTGAGACTGGAGGAACAAAGTATTCCTGTTTTATATTACCCAGGGGCTGGGATTTGTTCACCTACAGACTTAACAACCAAAACTTAAGCATCTACAAATTCATTGGCAAAATGCCCAATTAAGGTTTAGAATCGTAGAAGCCCTTTAGGTGGCATATTTAAGACCTGACACCTAAAAGTTTCACACTCAAGTTGTCTCCTACATTGCCTTTCCAAAAGGCTCAAAGCACACCAGCTTTATTAAAACCTGTGTCTTTCCCCCAACCCCAAAAACACCACTTTGAAAACCTTATACCATAATTCCAATGTTCTTTGTCTTCCCTAGTGTCAAGGACACTTGGTTAAATTGAATCAGTCTAATGAACTGTATCTTTCTTATCCTGATGGAGTGTCCCTACAGCAGGACTTTCCTGTTCCTCTGCAGAATGGGAATTTTACTGTGCAGGCACCCAACTTGAACTGCAAGATTTCCATCACAGAAGCAAGCAAATCAGGGCCTGTGACATCCAGCACTGGCCATAAAAGCATGACCTCCACAACTGCCTGTGTGCAAGTCTACCTTGGGAAGAAGGGCTCCAGCTCCAGGAGAAAGGCAACCAGCTGGCACCATTCCAGCAGGGAATTTTTGTTGGAATTTGCCCAGCTGCTGCCTGCTGGCCCCGTGATGCCAAGCCCCAGTAATTACAATGGAAGCATTTCCATATCTAACATCACTACTACAGCTTGTCAGAAAAAGCAAATGCAATACTGAGCTATGGCCTGTGACCAATCCCCATTCCTTGCCATACTCCCACACTCGTCTCTAAGGCTCTGTGCAAAGATGCACATCTGCTTTGGGCTGCTTTTTTCTCCCAAAATTCAAATGGTATCATGTGATCATCCTGCAACATGGGAGAAGGAGGGAAATGAGTAGAGTAGGGAAGGCGTCAAAGATAAATCAGGCATAGCACTATTACTAAGTCCTACACAGAAAAGAAAGAAAGGCACAGAATTCTGTGTGTGGTGGGGCATGAGGCATACATACTCTGGATTTTGAGTGTCCTCCTCCTCTGCTCCCTGTTCTTCAGGGGCTGAGTCAGCCACAGGGGCATCATTAGCTCCTGTTCCATTACCAGGGCCATCCACCTGTTCCTGGCTGTTCGGTGTAACATTTCTCCTTTCCTGTCCATGCACTGTAATTTAATTTTCAGAAGTTAGATCTATTATTCTCTCTCTCCCCGGAGCTACCTTTGAAACAAGTTATATAAATAGTCAGCAATGGTTCCTATTTTAAATGGACTCTGTTCAGCTGGGTTAAAAACAATCCTAAACAAACTACTTTCCCAAATAGTAAGGCTGAACCCTTCCAGACATTGTGACTATTCTACTACAAACCAACACACTTGGTCTATTAAATCACAGTTCTTTGTTTCTTGCTAAAGGCAGTTTCAATCCCTGCTTCTTGAGTTTCTTGAAAACAAAACAAAAGCAAACAAATGAACAAAAAAAAGAGCCCCAAAAATAACAGTTATGTTTAAGACAATTCCATTATCAACCGTAAAACATCAACTCACCTTCAAGAAGCTTCCATCGATGCACATGGGAAGGGAGAGAAAAGAAGATACAATTAGATTTGGTGAGCCCCCCTGGTGCTGCACACAAACCCCAGCTCAGAAAGCAGTTACAGCAGAGGAGGGGAGCAAGGCTAGGCTGTCACCCTCTAAGTTTGCCTAAGAGCATCAAAGCAGTAGCACAAAGAGCCGCTGCCCCGAAAAGCAAAGAAGTGGGTGCTGCTGATTCTGCTCTCATTGCTGCAGCAGGGGACAAACTGAGGCAGCTTAGGAACCCCCTGAACGCCCTCCTCCCCTGTTCCTGTTCCCTATTTGGATTTGATCTGGAGCTGTTTCTTTCCCTTTCTCCCTCAAATGGGAAAATTAAAATGTGATATCCATAAACACTCAGTATAAGCTGAACCACTGCTGAAGAAAGGAAACTGCAACAGCCATTGGAAGGAAAGAATTCCAGTTTGCTGCTCTGTTGGCACCAGGCAAACTGGACTTGGACTATGTGCAGTCTGTCACTCAATGCTATAAAACTATAAGGAACACACAGAGCTGCCAGTGCTATCCTGGCAAGAGCTTCTCCCACTATGGACACCACCAAGGAGGGACTTGTAGGGATGGGCAAGTTGGAGCTTCCCAGCAAGGGCTGTCCTTTCAGCCAGCTGCCTGTGTCACCCACCTAAAACAACTGAGTTGTGCAGCTTCCCCTCCGTCCCCTCCCCTCCCTCAAAGTAGAAATTATGAGAACATGTGGATCCCCACCTCTGAGTCCTCATCCTCACTAGCTGGAGGACTGGCAGGACCTGCTGGCTGTGCCCTAGAGGGAAAAGAACCAGAAAGAACATACAGCCATTAATTCCATTGTCCATCAAGGGTTATTGATACATAAACTGTAAGAGATTGAAACATCTCGTATTCTGCTTTAGCAACATCCCAGCCCAGTAACACAATCATTCCAAAAACTTTTATGTACCGCAGTGCAACTCAGGCCATTTTCTAAGAAGTATTCAATATTGTTGAAGAGAGAAGTAAGGTTTCTTCTTGACTTTGGTGTTTGCTTTTCTCAAGTTAGTTGGTTCTCTTCCACACAGGCAACTATATGCCAAGTCAAATTTTTTCACACAGAATCAAATAGACCCCAAAAGCTTGGAAAAAAATGTTTCTACTGTATAGTCAAAATTAGTCTGTGAAGAGATATTTTCTCGTACATACTCATCATTATCGCTTTGTTCCTCTTCATTGTTCCCCATCACTAGCACAGCTGAATAGTCTTCTGCTCTGATGAAACGTGGTTGCCACAAATTCCACCACTGTTGCAATGGAGTAGAAATGGAGGCAATTTAGGAACCACCTGAACACCCTCCTCCATGCTCCCCTGTTTCAGTTCCCTAACTGGACCTGGACTAGAGGTTTAGGTCCTTACCACTGGGTAATAAGGCATCCAAACTCGAGCAACATATACATTGCCTAGCCATCTGCTAAAGAGAACAGAACCAGAAGTACATGCAACATTAGCTTCATTGGGCACCAAGGATTACTGAAACATAAACTGTCAGAAATTGAAACATTCCCTATTTGATTTAGCAACATCCCAGCCCAACAACACAATCATTCCCAGAGCTTTTATGTACTGCAAGCATTTCAGTACATCTCAAGCCTTATTTAGGAAACATTTAATAATTTCTTCATACACAAAGAAGAATGGCTTCTACTGGATTTTGCTGCTTGGTTTTTACATTACTTCTCTTCAGGACACTGTATTCCAGGTCTGATGTTTTGCCACAGAATCAAGCAGAACCCAAAAGCTCAGCAAAAAATTAGGTTTACCATATATCAGAAATTAGAGAAACAATTTCTTTCTCCCATACCCTTGATTATCTCTTGGTTCCTCTTCATTATCACTTGCAGGTAGCTCAGCTGAATTCTCTGCTGTTCTGAAAAAACGTGGAGGCTCCCAGTCCTGCAGTGAGATAGAAATGGAGGCATCTAGGAACCACCTGAACACCTTTCTCCCTGCTCCCTTGTTTCACTTCCCTAATTCAATTTGGCCTGGAGCTGTTTCTTTCCCTCATTTGCCCCCAAAAGAGCAAATTCTGCTGACACAGCCCTAAACACTTCATGCTGGATGAATAAATCAACACATGGATCCTCACCTCTGAGTCCTCATCCTCCTCAGCCAGAGGATTAGCAGGACCTGCTGGCCATGCACTAGAGAGAACAGAACCAGAAAGAATATGCAGCCATCAATTTCACCGCAAACCAAGAGCTACCAGTACACAAACTGTCAGTTATGGAAACATTCTTTATTCTGATTTTGCAATATCCATCCCAGCAACACAATCATCCCAAGAACTTTTATGTACTGCAAGAATTTCAGCATGTGTGAAGCCATCTGGCTAAATGACTTTATGAACTGAGGTTTCTGATGGATTTTCCAGGTTGGGTCTTTTTTTTTTTTTCTTTCATTAGTACTTTTCCAGACAGAACACTTTATTCCTGGTCTGAAGTGTTTTGCACAGAATCAAGCAGAACCCAAAGGCTTGGTAAAAAAAATCAGTTTTACCATATATCAGAAATTAGAGTTTAGAGAGACACTTTCTCTCATGCATACCCTTCAACATCTCTTGGTTCCTCTTCATCATTGCTTGCCAGTACATCAGCTGAATTCCCTGCTGCACTGGAAACATGTGGGTACTGCTGGTTCTGCTCCCTGTCCTGCAATGGGGTAGAATGGAGACAGATTAGGAACCACCTGAACACCTTCCTCCTCTGTTTCAGGTCCCTAACTGGATTTGGGCCTAGAACTGTTTCTTTCTCTCTTTCTCCCTCAAAAGGGAAAATTCAAATGTGATATCCATAAACACTCAATATAAGGTGAGCCACTGCTGAAGAAAGGAAACCACAACAGGCATTGGAAGGAAAGAATTCCAGTTTGCTGCTCTGTTGGCACCAGGCAAACTGGACTTGGACTATGTGCAGTCACTCAATGTTATAGAACTATAAGGAACACACAGAGCTGCCAGTGCCATCCTGGCAAGGGTTTCTCCCACTACGGACACCATCAAGAAAGGACTTGGAGGGATGGGCAAGCTGGAGCTTCCCAGCAAGGGCTGTGCCTCCGGCCAGCTGCATGTGGCACTCACCTAAAACAACTGAGTTGTGCAGCTCCTCTTTTGTCCCTTTCCCTCCCACAAACCATAAAGGACAAGAACATGTGGATCCTCACCTCTGAGTCCTCATCTGACCAATATGGAGGATCGAAATCAAATGGTAGCCAATCCCTAGAGAGAGCAGAACTAGAAGAACATGCAGCCATTTAAACATGGAGCCATTTATTTCCTGGGCACCAAGGGTTGCCACTAAAGAAAATGTTGGTACTTAAAACATCCCCTATTTTGATTTAGCAATATCTCAGCCCAACAATACAATCATTCCCAGAGCTTTTACATATTGCAAGCATTTCAAGCCATACTGAAGAAACATTATGTAATGGCTTCATGCACAGAGAAGAATGGTCTCTACTGGATTTTTTTGGTTTGTTTTCTTGGTTTTTTTAAAAATTGTTTCTCTTTCCATCAGGCCACTCTATTCCAATTCTGAAGTTTTGGCACAGAATCAAGCAGAACCCAAAAGCTTGGCAAAATCTCCTGCTATGTATCAGAAATTAGACTTTAGAGAGTCAATTAATCTGTAACATACTCATCATCAATGTCTCTTGGTTCTTCTTCATCTTCCCTTGCCAGTGGCTCATCTGATGTTCTGGAAAGATTCAGCTGCTGCTGGCTCTGCTCCCTGTCCTGCAATGGGGTAGACATAGATGCACTTAGAAACACCTGAACACTGTACTTCCTGCTTCCCCATTTCAGTTTCCTAATTGCATTTAGGCCTGGAGCTGTTTCTTTCCCTCTCTTACCCCCAAACTGGCAAATGCGCTGTGTTAGCCAAAGATATTTTGTGTTAGATTAACAGTTGCTAATGAAAGAACCCCAAACCCAAACCATCTCTGGGAACTGGAGCTGGGTGACGCAGGCTCTGTTGAAAAGTTTGAGGCCTTTCCTTTGCAAAGGCTCAGGAATAATGCTGTCAGGAGGTACCCTTTATGTTATGCCTGCTGCATATTCTGCTTTGCACGGCAGCAGCAACACCCCAAAATTGATGGAATAAACTACACAGTCTGGATCAAGCGTTATTCTTTCAAACAGCAGGGGAAATGAAAAGAAAAAAAAAGTGACATTTTTAAAGTCTTCTTGGAGTAATAAAAATACACCTAGTTTCTACCCCAGTCAGCTGCAGTTGCACTTGGCACCTCAGTGACAAGAGCACCTTAAACTGATGTTGCAGCAAAAACACTTCTTATTTGGGAAGTCAAATACTTCCTGTCCTCTCCCTTGCTTTTTCTTTAAATTACTGAAGCAACAAGCTCTTTTAGATTATTCTTACACTCCCTGCAAGTGATACTCAAAGAGATAGTAAGATGCCAGAAGACAGGCCCAGGAGCTCAAGAGAAACTAATCTGAATGCAAGATGGAGAGGAGTGTGCCATTCACTACTTACCATAGAAGACTCATCGTCACTGATAGTGATGACTTCAGGCTCTGAAGATTCACCTGGGAGATGTATGACACCTTCATATCTGAGCTGTATGACTTCTTCACCGTCCACATCTATGGCGTCTTCATATGTGAGCTGTATGACTTCTTCACGTGCGACATCTATGGCATCTTCATATGTGAGCTGTATGACTTCTTCCCCTGCGACATTTATGGCATTTTCGTCTTCACCTGTGAGATCTATGACGTCTTCACCAAATGAAAATGAGAACATTAGAGTCAGATCAGAGATTGCAAAGGAATGAAATGGGCTGCCAGTGTGGAACAGGCTGAGGTTGGATTAACTGTGCTCTAGGTCTTTTTTTTTCAGGAATATGTCCAAAATTTCACTCAAGCTTTGCCCTCAACAGTGCACAGGGAGCACAGCTGGCCGTGCCCTCTGAAGGGGCAAAACAAGCAGAAGAGCAGCTGAGCTCCTCACAAGTTCTATTGGATGACAACAGATTACAGGAGGTTCACATCAACAGATGATTCATTTCATAGAGGGGAATGCTTAACACAGAGTGGAAAAAAAGTCCCATCAAAACTGTAATCATAGAGGGGATCCTAATTTTAAAGTATCATGCTGTACATATTCCCCTGAAGGATGGGCCACAGCTAATGACAGTTTCCTTATCTTCATACAGCTTGGGACAACTCAAACTCAGCCTGCCACCCTCCACTGTGGCAGCTGCAGTGACTGCCAGCTCATCAGAACACACGTTCAGGTGTTTGAGCAGCACGGGAGGACCTTTCCTACACAGCTCATCTCCCACTTGCAGCCAATAAGAGCAGCAATACCAAGCAGCAGCAATGATGATCTCAGTAACAAACCAAAACTGTTGTCAGAAGGCTTGCTGTTTAGGGATGCCTCCTTAATCCCAAGGTTTCCCTTCCCTTCCTCCCCAGTAAAGGGCCTAGAAACTGGCAAAAGCACACGGCCAGATGGTCTTCAACCCTCCAGAAGACGCTTCTGTTCTTACCAGGCTCAAAAGCAGGTGTGCCACTTTCCTCAAGGTCTGTTGGCTCTGTCTGCGAAGTTCCACCTGCGCTGGAGGGCAGCAGCCGGCTCCGTTTCCGAGCTGGTCTGGAATCAACTGCTCCTCCAGGGCGCTTTCGCTGACGCTGACAGGGAACAAAGCCTTAGCATTTTCTCTGCCACAAATATTAACATGGCCCTTGGGTTTTGCAACACCAATGACAGCACACAAGGATACAGAAGACACTCCTGCAAAGGCTGGAATACACACCAAATGCTGCTATGGGCCATTCCCACCCGAGCACATTACACCAGGGAAAAGACAGCACCCCTGATCTCCAATAAGCCACCTCCCCGAGAAAGAGCCTGTCCCAATGGCTTGAAAATGAGGAGACCAGTTCCCAATTCCAGCAGGTTGCTGCTCACACTGTAAGCATTTCTGCATTACTGCTAACACCCAGAAATACAAAACCTTCCCAATTCCAGAACACCAAGTTACATGAAGTTTTTAAAGGTTTCTGTTCCTCTGCATTTGCTACAATCTCTTGAAATGCTTTCTAGACCTACCCTGGAAAATGTTTCAAGAATCAGATTTGCAAAGTACTTACTGAGCTCATGGTGTTTGGTGATCAAAAACAACCACCAAATAAGTGGGACAAACTCCAAAAAAGGAATGTCAGGGATGTGATCAATCCCTTTGGTTCCTTTAGGCAGCCCACTGCAGATTTTTCAGCGTGACAGAAAATTGATCACCAAACCTATTAGAAAAGCAGAGGCGAGATTATCCATTTGGATTGCCAGTTTTCTTGAACACTCCCATGCCCTAAGACTCCCATTCCCAAGTCTCCAGTTCCTGTCCAAAGCTAGAGGCAAAGTCCATGACTCTGGTACTTGAGCCCACCTGCAGCCCATCCTGCAGCCCAGCCCAGCCCCTCAGCATCAGAAGCCTTTCCACGAATCGTCTGCACTCACCTGTACGGTCAGTCCAGAGTTTGGCCTGCAAAAGTCACCAAATCGCTCTTTATTCCCTCGCGGGATGGAGAAGAAGGATGCTCTGCGTCTGCTGCGCAGCAGAGAATCCCTCAACTGGCTCAACAGACTCCGTGCCAACAGAACCTTGGAACCAGGAGTGCCCCTGGCAACCGGTAGCAACATTCCATGCCCAGGTAACTGATGGCTGCTGTGCTCACCCATGGAGTTCCAGAACGCCATGGAGGCACCTTGTGGGTCTCAGATTCAGTCAAAGAGAGAAACGAGAGATTCTAGCCAGGCAGAAGCCTGGGAAAGAGCTGGAGAAGAATGTAAATAATTCTTTATCTCTCTTGTTTTTCACATTGTTTATAGTTAAGTTCTAGCACTGTGCGTCAAGCACTTTGCAGCAATGGTGTAGCTTGTTTTCACTTCAGGACCAATGGAGTTGGTCCTCACAAAGCTCTGTATAAAAGAGCAGTGTATTTTGAAGAAACTGGAGTTTTACTCTCAGCAACCTTCTGGTCAGAGTCTCTTCATTCCCATCCTACCTCGACAGCGACAGCACCTCAGCCATCCCCTGCTGCTGCTGCCGCCCCCCAGGTCAGGCCGCTCAGGGCCCGGCCCAGCCCGGCCTGGAGCGGCCCATGGACAGGGCATCCACAGCTTCTCTGGGCAGTCCCTTCCAAAGTTTCACTGCCCCCTCAGCTCTCCCAAACACCCGATCCCAATCTCCCCTTCTCGTCTAAAACCCTCCCCCTTCCCCATGGCTCTCTGCCCCCTTTGGGCACCGCAAGGCCGCAGTGAGGCCTCCCCGCTCCCTGCTCCTCCCCACGCTGGACAGCCCCGGCTCTCCCAGCCGGGCCAGGGGACAGGTGCTCCAGGCCCCCACACATCCCCACGGCTCCTCCGGCCCTGCTCCACAGGCACATCCTGCTGGGCTGGGCACAGCTGGGCACAGCTGGGCACAGCTCCACACGTGGGGCAGGGCAGGGGCAGAGCAGGGGCAGAGCTGCACCTCCCACGCCCTCAGCCTGAGCAACCCCAGCATCACTGGAGCCTTTCTGTGGCTAAAGAAACCCCACCACACCACACCTCCCCAAGTCAGAAAGAAATTTAAACCCTTCCTTAACCCTCCTTCTACTGGTTTATTCGTCTGTTGCTGTTTTAACTCTTATCTGAGTGTTTGAACTTTAACCCTAGTAAATAGCAATTAGAATAAAACCACTTTGTTGGGTTTTTTCCAGACTTTTGAAATTCTAACGATTCAGATCATTATTTCATGTCTTTGAAGTCTTGACATTTTCAGGGGTCCAATGCTCCTCTACCAGAGATTCCCCGCAGCGCTGAGAGTTTTGCCTTGCTCCCAGGGACAGCACCTTCCTCCTGAGGCCCTGCTCCACTACAGAAGGTAACAGAGCAGAAGGAGCAGAATTAGTATTCACTTTTTCTTCTAGCCACTCTGCCACGGGACCTGTGTTCAGAAGGAAGGGCTGCGGCTCCTGAGAGCAGCAGGGAACCCATCTCAGCCCTGCCAGGTACAGGGCTGCTCCTCCACTCCTGGTCCCCTTGGGTGCTCTGGGGTGTGGGGAGAATGGTGGCAATTGATCCAGGGCTCTGGAGAGCACAAGGATATGTTCAGCTCTGGCTCTAAATGAGGAGGCTGATTTCTTACAAAAGCTTCTCTGTTATTGCAATTCATCCTTTTGGGTCATTGACAACATGCTGGGTGTTGAAGAATGGGTAGGGATGACTTTTCCATTTTTTGATAAATCCAAAAGCAGATTTAATACTTTATGTAAAAATGCAAAGACACTAAATCAATTCCAAATATACATTTAATAGATGAATATTTAAGCTCCTTGTATGAATCCAAAAGTGCCGATTATGAGAAATGAACAATGCCAATATGCTGTCTTTCTGTTCTGGCCTTCAAAGCTCAAAAAACCCCACTTCTCCTATGCCTACAGATCAATGATGGAATCAGCTGTTTGTGGATTTTTCCCTTTGTGGGGTATGCGCCATATAGTTTTTGGAGGAATTTGCACAGTAGTCATTCTTTTGCCATCTGTAGTCAGGAAAACATATCCCTGCCTTTCTTCATGTGGCTTTGTTAAAAACTACCCTCTTCAACACAGCAGGGCTGGGTCAGCTGTGGTAGCACTTTTTGCATACATTCAGCTTTCTACCTCCACATAGGTCTTAAATTAAATCCAAAGTATTAGGAGGAGGAATCCTGACACTGAAAACATCAGTGGGGTTCCTGCATCACTGGGGCAAGCAGGTGTGAATTTATGTACCTGTGAATCCTCTGGGAGAATCGAATTAAAGCATGTCACCCTCTATTTTCCTGAACTGCACCAGGTGATCTGATAATATTGTAGCTGGCAGAGGTGTGGGTCAGAGGAGGAGAGAAAGATCTTTGTTTTGCACTTGGAAACAAACTTGTCCATAAAACTGCAGCTTTCCAAGACTTGCTGTGGATTGCAGATATAAAGTGACACCTAGACCCAGAAATGTTTGGTTAAAAATCTTCCAGACTCTTTCCCCACCCATTAAATGAGGACACCTAACGCATTGCTTTACTGTGCCAGTTTCGGAACACTGTCATTAGCATTCAGCTGCAGTGCAAAGACAATGCACTAACCTGAGCTGAGCTTCAGTCATTAATCACATATTTCTATTTCCTATAGCTGTGTCTGACATAATATATTAGTTATTTTGCCCCTGTATGTCGGAAGCAGCAGTAATTAGTGCATAGACAGCATACCTGGTAAAGCAAAACAAGAAAAATGTAGGCGCTAAAATTAGCACAGCAAGAATTTCAGGTATTTAAGGTTGGGAAGCAACCCTAACTGTTATGGGTCAAAAAATCTCACAGCTTTCAGAGGTCTCTTTCCAACAGAGCACATGAATACTTAGAGCCTGTGTTTTCCAAGAGAAAATGAGTGACATTATTCCCATGTTACCACGGGGGAAAAACAAGAGTGAAAGAGCTTCACGTAGCCAAGGCATGGCACATTCCTGTGCTGGGGACAGGGACAGCAGCCATCCAGGGCTCACTGGGCGAGGTCTCATGCCCAGGAAAACACATTTCAGGCCTGAAGTCTGGCAAGTGAGACAGAAAATGGGGAAAATTGTAACAGCTGATCATCTTTTTAGAGGCTAATAGTGGGATAATGTTAACTCCTCTCATTGCATTGTTTAAATTGATCTAAGTGATTTATTATAAAAATATCCTCAGCACCTTTATCTATTTAGAAAATTCAAGTTTGCTTAAATTCACTATGAGAAGACTGCAGAGAAGAGTACTTCTTTACTCGTGTAATTTCTGATTAAATGAAAGCTACAAGAAAAGAAAATTAAGTTGCTTTCAGTTTTACTCTTTGTATAGAATCTTAATATATTATTGACTTAGAAAATTTAATTTCTTTTAATGATAGTTGTAGTAAGCTGAAACTTGCTAAGCACAAGCTACTGAACTGAAACCTTGATGGCCAGGTAGTTTAAGTGCAGGTCTGAGCATGGAAAGTTCAGAGGTTTTCTTCATTTTATTAGAGGCATGTGAGTAACACTAGACATATAGACAGATAAATGCATGATATCTAGGTTTAAATTTTGTATAAAAAATGGTAATAAAACCACAGGAACTTAGACTCAGATTGTACACAAGGAATTTGTTATGACAGGCAAATGGTCCACGGCAAAAGCACTGAAAGTAGTACTTGATCATGCTTAAAGGAAAATGTGTTTTTCCTTCTGCTGACAGCTATGCACCAAGACCAAAATTAATGCTTAAACTCTTCAGTTACTTTTTGCTAATAAATGCTTTCCTGGATCAATACTTTCTAAAAATTATATATATATATATATATATATATATATATATATATATATACACACACATCGAAAGGATTAATTACTAACTCTATACCAAAATTCTAAAATAAAATTGCCTCAGTTTATGGTGTTGAGCCATACTAACATCTGTTTAAACCTATTGTAAAATCAGCTGAGTGCCATTTAATTGCAGGTTACTTAAACTTACTTGACCACAAATGGTTTCTTTAAATGCTGTTTTCAATGAGAATACCTGGCATTGCATGTCACCTAGGAATACAGCTTTTAGAAAGACATTTCTGCTTACTGTCATTGCATCCACCAAGTAGCTAAAAGTCTACCAAAAATAAGAAACAGAAAAGATCGGCCTAAAATTTATGGCCATCTTGTAATTAAATAATTTTGTGTCTTTTGAAGGATTATCTTTGAGTAATTTTGACCACTCGTAGTTTTCATTAATAGCAAAATTTAAAAGATGGCTTTATCAGAATAATAGCAACATTTTACCTTCTTTTGTTTAGATCAAGCCACATAAAAATTAGGGGGCACAGGGAACCTACTAGGAATGTCCCTTGTTAATTACTACCCCTGCCTAAATATGGCAATAATAAGATCTATTGAAATACGGCTGAAGAAGCGGATAAATAACACAATAAAGAGAAAAATGAAAACCCAAAAATAAGGATACATGTCCACACAGATAACTAACTCTTAACAAGGCTTGGTCATCTGTTTCTTGTTATAAGGTCACTTTTTCCAGCATTACAGGCTACAAGGGAAACATAAAAGACTGTCAATGGGAAATCATGACTATGCTAGGACAGCATTTTGCTCATCCTATAGTGGTCCCAATGGTCCAGACAAATGAAAACCACAAATAGTATTTAGATATGTACCTTGGACATCAAGATAACTCCTTGCATAACTATCTGCCAGAACAACAGTTGTCCACTCACCAGGACCACACTGTCTAGTCACCTTGTTTAGGCAATTTTAGGCTCTATTAATTCCATATCATTTATGTATACAGAAACATAGGGCAAAGTAACATACCTAAAAATTAATATAATTGAGTTCATCTTTCTAGAGAAAAGTACATGCCAAAATTTATCAATTTAATCTGTGATGAATTAGGTATTATCTCTTGCTGCAAATCTTGGGTTTTAAGTTTTTTTTTTCATCTGCTTCTCTTCAGTTTTCAATAAGCATCAGTTCATCTGAAGTATAGTTCAGGCTTTAGTATTCATATTAAGATAACTCCGTCCTTGGACGTGAGAAAGATTTTATTCTCCTGAGAAGAAACCAGAGCCCATTGATGCCAATAGCAACAAGCTCACACCAGTATCACAAATGGAATGCAGCCTCACTAATCCTGTAAGCCACCAAAATGATGGATATTGTGAGATGCCATCAAAATATTCCCAATTTTGGGAAGGAAGAATATTTGTCATAAACTCACTTTGTATAGTTTGGCTCATCCAAGAAAAAATGGGATGTCATCATGCTTATAAACACAGCACTACTTCTGCAGGTTTTCTCCCTTGCTTCTATAAATCTTTTCTTCCTGTGAAGCCTATTTCTTTGTGGGGTTGCAGATACAAAATAATTAAGTCACAAGTAAGAAACACCTGTGGGAAACACTCATTAATATGAAAAAAGGTACTTTAATAAAATGGGAAAAAATTCAACAAATGAAACAGAGATTGTTAACTGGATTCTTGTGTAATTTAACCTGTTTTTCTAGACCGTCTGAACCACCCAATAAACTCTTGGACATTTGTCCAAATAAGGTTCATTTTCCACCTCTCTCTTTAAGAAATCCTGGTTTTGCCTGTTAAAAAAAAAAAAAAAATTATTCAGTAGCAAACATGTTCCCTGTTGCACATCCCAAATGTATTATTTCTTTTCAGGTAGATCAAAAAACTATTACAGACTATTGATACAGATACTGTAAAAAATGTGAAGCATGTAAGAGCACAGAATTCTGCTCTGCTGAAAGGTCAGTATTATTGCATAGTATCAAACGATGCCAAATGTTCAACACCACCATAATAAAAACATTGATATTGCTACCCACAGCCTGGAGCAGAGAAGTGTGAAAACCCTTACTGTAAACAGCATCACAGCTTCCAACAGGTGCCTCACCTTGACAAGTTCTTCCTTCAGCACAAGAAGGTCATAAAGAGAAATTTGCTCACTCCAGAAAAGTAATTTAACATGACTAATGTTCAGATTGACATACCACTAATTTAGAAACTAAATTCCCATTGGGCAAGTATTGCAGAAGACTCTCTCCAGAGTATTTTGCATTTGCCATGTATTCTTCAAAACTCAAGTTCCTCCTGTAACCACAAATAGTTGCAGAAAAAGTATTTCATCATTATCTATGGAAGAACTCAGGCTAAAGGTAGGAATTCACTCCTACTTGCTCACTTTTATGCTTTTTAAATAAGTGGGTGGCATTCCATGTGTTCACATTTTAAAAAAACCAAGTATTTAGATATTTTAGATATCTAAGTTTCATAAATATTTAAATATTTTTGATCCTTTTTTTGCTCCAATACTTATTCTTTGTAATTCAGTTAGTCATGTCTTGAAGCCATGTTCACAGTTTCCAAATTCCAGATTATTTAAATTGAAACATGGCAGAATTCACAGATGTGTAAAACACCTAAATGCGCAGTAAAAATCTCATTAGGAGCTACCTTCCGTTGTGTTTGTGTCAACAGGTGATTTAAAATTAGGGGGGAAAGGAACACAGGAGAATGCTTATTTTCATTTTAGAGCAGCGTAACCACAATGAGCTTTTCAAATGGTTCCACACTGCAATTTTTGTCAAATTTTAAACTGAATATAAAATTAATGAAGATGATGTATGTAGACACATGAACTGCTCTTAAATATTTCTTCTGGATAGCAAGTTTATTATGAATAGGAATCAACACACTTCTATAGCCAATGCAACAGTGAAGGATCCATTTACTAACACCATGTCTAGCTCCCACTTTCAGGTCAATGGATAATGAAGAGTTTGGTTTTTTAAACCAAATGTCAAATGCCTGGTTACAGAATCCTTGCATAATATTTAAAGGTAATTCTGAACTCTTTAAAAATTATTGGCAAAGTATAATACATTTTTAATAAGCAGACTGAGGCCCAAAGTATTCTGATGAACTTTTATTAAAAATAATCTTCCTACAGTAGTATGGAATTCTTTAGCAAAGACAGGCCACCACCTGTTGCACAGCCATCTTCAGTAACACAGTAAATTTGATCTTCCCTGTTCCTCTGGTGATCAGCACTGCTGGCTGATAACTGCTCTGCTTATGAGCACAAATGCTGTTTTGACCATGAATGCAATTTCCAAGCAGCCAAGACACAGCTTTACTGAAAAGGAAATCACCTTTCCTTCAACAAAGCCAGTTTTTTGTAAAGTTTTACAGATGGATATAATTCCATGCACAGTCATTAGATCCAGAAACTTCTCAGTATGAGAACCAAAAGTTGCTTAGTGACACATTACAAGTTGATTTGTGATGCTCTGCATGCAGTTTGCTTTTTAGGACTTTGGGGGCTGCTTCCCTTTCCGAAGGCAATGTGTTCAAGATGCAGGATGTCTGCTTCCCAGCACTGCCTCTATCTGCTGGATGTCATTATGCACTGAAGATTTATGTTCAGCTTCAAATCGAATGCAAGTTTCACACCCTAAGCAGGGATGCCCACAAACATATTGTTCTTTGGAGAGCAACTCTCTGGCTCCATAGATATAACTTGGACAGAGTAGTTATGCTCTTCTGCAGCCCATGCCCGATCCAGATCCACAAGTCCCATACACTGCTTTCCTAAAATGAGAGCAAGAGAGCACAGAAACTCAAAATGTAGAAACAATATCAGAAACATGCACGTAAATATTCAATGTTAGGAAAACACATCAGTAAGCCATCTAAAAAATAAGTTCCAAATATACTTTGAAAAACATCTTAATCTGGTTTATGTTCCAAATCACATCTGTGACTTCTAACCCTCATTTAGAAAAGACCTTGAAGAGATTATTAACTCTTTATATATAAAGAAAGGCACAACTACTTAAAAGTATTCTCAAAACTTAGAGAAAAAAGCATGCTTTAGTGTAAATGGGATGAAGAAAAATGCCTAGTTTACCCCTTAGCCCTCTCAATTGCCAGACTTCTACTCCCTTTATAACCGCAGCTGTTTCCCTCCTGTACTTTCACCTAAAATCTGAAAATCTCTGGTTTTTCATCTTAAACAATAGACTAAAATACCAAAAAGTGATCTAGTGTAATTGATATGAGACATATTACTGTAACTACTTATAAACAAACATACTAAATTGGTAATGCAAAATAACCTTATTTTAGATTTACCTGCAGAATAAAACCAGGAAGTATAGAGGGTTTTTTTCTGCTTAGAAGTTTTTTATTATGATACAGCCATGACAAGATGATGGGACCATTTGTCTTTACTTATCTATTCATTATAATTGATTATTATGTTCTGAAAAACAGAACTGACTTGTCAGATTGTATTTTCAGCATCTTGAAACTCTATTGAAAGGAAAATTTAATGCTACTTTGAAATGTTTTATCATTAGTAGTTACAGTCTCAAGTCAACAGGGCACAATCCTGCTTCAGTCTCAGACAGAATAATCCCGCCTCTTCCCTTGCTCCTGACAGAATTCTATAGTTAAATGTATTTGGAGCCTGAGATGAAGAGACAGAAGCACATCCTGTTTGCCTTTGGAATCGGAGTCTGGTATTCCAAACCACCCTCTGGAACAGCTTACTTCTCTTCCCTGAATATATAAAGAGCTTTTGTGCCTGTATCATTACCAGACCTGTTATGCACCCTGGTCAGGTGCCTCTAGAAGTTTTGGGCAGGTGGCACCAACACACCCTGCAGTATCCTTGTATTTGAGAGCAGTTGGTGTACATCACAATTGAATGCAGGGCTGAGTCCAGCCTACTCTGTCTGTCCACAGTGAGCCCACGGCCAGAACTATCTCCTCCTTCTCAGCTGGATTCCTTAGTTACAAAAGAATTTCTCTACTTTGAACTCACTATTTTGACATTTGGACTCAGTTCTGTTGGTAGCTTGAGATTTGAGAGAGATAATAATTGGGTTGGAGACAATTTAAAGATACAATAATAAGAGAGGGCCTGAAAAATATCTTTCCAACTCAGTCCTGTATGGATTTGTATGTTGCAGGGAGAAATCAGCAGTTTATATAACCAACCAGACAGAAGTCTGCAAATTACCTTTTGTAGCCCTATCCTCCCACATTTGTGGTTTCATAGAAAACCACCTTCTGTGGTTGGTGGAACAAAATGGCCACTGACTCCAATATTATTATTAGAAGGGTACATACTGTCAGGGCAAAACACTTTGAAGTTGCACTTGTAGAAAAAAAACCCTGCAGTTTTAGACACTGAGAACAGACAAAAGTTACAATCTCTCAAAAAAAATGTTTGGGTCCTCTTTCAATTTTCAGTCCACAGCATGGGGTCCAACACTAGTAAGTGAATTTTAAAATTTGTTTTTCAAATATTGTGATGATGACAAAAGAAACTGACAAATTTACTGTCAGCTTTTATACAAGATCTCTATTATTTTCTTCTTGTATGGCAAGTATAAGAAATACTTTCAATTATTCAAATTAAGCTTCTTAAAAATGTTATGCTTATTAGTTAGTACTGCTTTAAAGTACTTTGTAAATGTTTCTTCTAAGCCAAAAAAGCAGACTTATTTCTAAGCAGACTTTGAGTTCCTAGTCCCTTCTGTCTTTTCTGACCTGGAAGCTAGTTTACAGCTTCCATCAAAATAACAATACCAGACAGTAAAATGTGAACTGTCACTTTAATATTGATGATTCTGGAAGAAGAAAAACATTTCTATAGCAAGAAGGGAACAGCAAGATATGAAATGTGACAAAACTTAAATTTTTCAACTGTTATCTGAAGACATCTACTTAATGTCCTATTCATAAATATCCTACTTCTTCCTTTATGCATCAAGGTAAAACCATTACTGGGATGGTTTATACCACAGCTGCAGAAATTCATACCAATTAGCCTGCGTTCAGGTGGAAGCTGAACAGCTGTCTGATCCGCAAATCTGCAAAGGATCATGTGCTCCTATAAAAAAGACAAAAAAAAAAAATAGATTCATCAAGAAAAATCAGATTAAATGCTTACGTATGCCAGAAATGCTACCACATTGAAGACAGTATTTCTAAAAAAATTCACTTGTATGGAAATCCCAATTTTTATACTGCAAACACGTGTGTAAGTCAAGAGTTTGTAATCACTGTCTCATTTCTCCTCATAAGTATTTGTTTCTTGCTAAACTTCCTAATTCTTTGCAGAAGTTGAATGGGATGCAATGTATACAAGACAGCATTCTTCAAAAACATCCTGCAGACTAATTTTGCCATCAATAACTGATGAGCAACACACCCATCTTTTAGCAGAGTTATAATAGGGCAGCCTCCCTGCATCAATAAACAGGAGAGACAACATTCTTTAACAGTTGATTTGAACATTTCTCCGAAGCAGTGATTTTGAATGCCAGGATAGGCTGGTGGGTCAAACTTCCTCTGCCCTGCCAAATTAAATCAGATCCTGAAGGCAAAAAATACCTGGCTGTGAATAGGAAAGTTTCCTCCAACAAAAGGAACACAATTTACTTTCAAACTACCCCTGTGCCATTAAAATTTTCTGCAGACACTTCAATAGAAGAATTTCTCCCTGCCCACTCAGCCAGGGGGATGGTGCAGGCGAGAGTGCAGCAGCAGAGCCCCATCCTCACTTGCCTTCAATGCCCACCACTCATGCCAGCACAATGGCTCCTCAAAGACCAGCCAAGCCAAGGAAGGCAGGTTGGCCAGGTGGTGAGACCAAGAACCTTGCAGGTGTGGCAGTGGAATTGCTGCTCTGATGACAGCTGTGCTTTGTGGGACAGCTGCAATACTCAGCACAGAGCAGAGTAAATCAGTACCATTTTAGACTCACACAACGTTCCCAAGTCTCCCGCAATGTTATGGGGAGGAAACAGAAATGGGCAACAACACAAAGTGCTCTCCTAAGCAAAGCTTCCAGCTCTGAAACAAGGGAATGTGTCTTGCATTAAAAAAAAAAAAAAAAAAATTATTCTTGCCTGACATAAAATTATGGTTTTAAAGATTAGGTTCTTGTAACAGGTGGAGAGAGTAACTTCATCTAAGGATACTTCAGGTTCTTTCAGTATTCTGAAGTAAGGATACTTACTCCAGCTTTTTTTAGAGGGCCATGAATATCCAAACCTTCACTCCACAAAAAACCTTCATATTAAATCAAGATGGCAATTCCCCCAGTACACGCCACTCAATTCATAAATAGACACCTGACCATGAAAAAAATTCCCGTATCTTATAAAATGAAATATTATATGCTTGATACAGAAATATCATTCATTTAAATATATTTATATTATCTTGATGCAAGGGTATTTGTTCCCTAGTAGAGTGCATTGACATTAAGGTTTCCAGCTCACAGCTTCATAAAAAAATATGGAAGCAAAATAAGAACATGTCATAACACATTTAGGGCTTTAAACATGTTACACCCAGTCAGTTCAGTTCAAATGTGGCTACTCCTGCAGTACAACAGAGGTGAAAATGTTAAACCCAGATGTGACCACTGAAGAACAGAGAAGAATGGGTGCCACGGACTATGTGGCCACTGTTAGGAGAGAAGCAGCGGTGACAGGTAGCTTGGGGAGAAAAAGAGGGATTTATAGGAGAGGGAGAAGACTCATGTTTGCACACAACTCCTCACCAGTCTTCAGGCACCTAATAAAACTTGGCTCTTTGCAACAGCAAGTTCCCAGCTCTGGACCAGACCAGAGCCAAGGTAAGTCTTGCCACTTAACCTGAAAATTTGGACTGACTCCAATCCTTGGCTTCTTACAGTATGATCCAAAAAGATAAACTAGAATCTGTTATGACTACATTGTTTCTCCCTGACACAATGATTACATTATCATATTCTCTGTTGGCTGAAATAAAAAAAAGCATTTCTAAAGTAATGATTAGAAACTTCCCAAAGTGTGCATACAGAGTTAACTTGTTTACTAGAACACTCACCTGTTCAATTCCTATTAAATTTCCAAAGCTGTATTTGCAAATTTATACAGTTCTACTTTACAATTCTCCTTGTGTCTTGACCAAGTCTCAAAATGTATTATAGTAAAAATCTGCAGCTAGCATAACCTTATTCCTTGCAACTATAAACAAATGAATTACAGCATAATGTTCTCATCAAAAAAGTTTTGGAAATGCCAGACTTCTGGATGTCTTTTTAGATCTCACTAAAATGAAAGATAAGAGAAATTAATTTAAAATGGGAAGTGGAGTGGGTGACACAGACAATGCCTGGCTAACACATGGCAACTGTGGCTGCTAGCCAATAACCTGTAAGAATTTATTAATATGAAATATAAAAAACACATATAGCTAGCTGTATAACAGAAGTTATTTATAACTAGGATTATTTGAGGCACCAACCAGCCTAGACCAGTTGTATAGACTCTCATATTACTAAGAGCAGCAATATTTTTCAGCCTTATCTTTGACTCCTGTGCCCTCCTGCAACACAAATAATAAAATTCTGGAGCTTCTGCAATATTGACAAATCCCGTGATTTAAATCTCCATGGTTTAACAGATTAGGAAGAAATTAACTGAGTTGCAATGAGATTATACACACTATCCTAATCTAGGCATCCTTGACTCTATAATTGACACCATCTCTCTCTGTACTGTCAGCAGGTTTAATAATGCTAGTGAATAATTTTTTTATGAACTGAAACTTGAGTTCTTTGAGATTATGTCACAGAGATGCTGAAAGGAACATTAATCATGGGAAAAAATAATGGCAGCTCCAAATCCATCATCTGGCTTGTGGCATCTCAATCTTTGGGCATTTATTACCTGATAACTGAACTTCCCTTATAAGATGGCTGGAGATTTTCTGAATTTTTAAAACTCCCTCTAATTTAGGGATTTAAAAAAGATAATCTCTATTTTCCTGCCATATACATTATCCTTGCCCTGCCCACTGTTTCCAAAAGCATTTGGATATTAGAAATACCTCCTTCTTTTCCATATTTCTGTTACAAAGAAATCACTTTCAGAAATCACTTCCCTATTGTAAAAGCCAGGAGTCCTGTCTAGGATTTGAGCTGTAAATTTACATAACCTTGCTTCTCTCAAAAGGAAACATGTTCTTTCCATGCCCCATTCAGTGCCTCTAACCTTCACATTTTGGGCTGCTCATCACTAACTAGTTTAAACTCTCAAGACAAAACTTAACAGACCAGTACCAGTTTTCTACTGCCCACCTCTCTGCTCTTGTCCTTTTCGACTCTCCTGTTACTCTTCAATCTGTCAGATCTGTATTCTTCAGTGATAATTTCTCCTGAGTTCTTCTCAGATTATCTTCACAGACCCCAGCTGCTCAGGGTCAAAACACACTTTAATATTTTAAAAATAATTTTGAACAACATATTTAAAACTGTATAAAATATAAATACTGTATTAAATTCTCGCTGATCTGTTTAAGATCTTCCCATTTACTATATCCAGTGTTTTAGACATAAATTGGAGGGAGGACTCTAATGTTAATTACAACAGCTGTATTTAACACCTAAACAAATTGGTATCCTGTAATTTTTAGCTGATACACATTTAAGTACCTTAGGAATGGCTCACTTATACATTATAATAAAAAAAGGGGTTTTTTTGGTGGAGAAACAATTTAATTTTATTGAAGAAAAAAGCCTTTAAAATGGACAGTGAAGAGAAAACACAATGGTACCTGCACAGATAATGAACGTTTCACTAACACGTGCCCCTCCTTACAATTAGAAGATAACCACCTATATTTCATTTGATAAGAAGACCCACTGAAATGCAGGAGACTGCACATAAACATCTTCCCTCAGTCCTTTTACATACCTTGTAGGACAAAATTTCTTTGAACTGATGACTGAAAAAAAAAAAATAGATCAATTCAATTCACATGTGAAAACAGCGAAGGTAGAAAACAGAAGCAATCATTATATACTTGAACACATTTAAAAAAAACCCAGCAATATCTGTTTAGAAAGGCTTTAAAAAATACCAAAACCCATTACAGTTCCAGTTTTCCTAGTATTAATAAAATTTCGCTCTTTAAATTGTTAAAAATGCTAACACATACTTACTGTGGTTTTCTTATTGTCACACAAACACTTTACATATATTTAATAATACACACATTTTGTTTGTGTCACAAAGCTAAAGGGTCTCAACAATGGAATTGAGTACAGAACACAGCCATTATGGGATACAGCCAGGCTATCATGTTTTATGGTCATATAACATAAGGAAAAAAAGAAAAAGCAAATCCTAAAATGTAGCTCAAGACCAGGTTGATAGTTTTCATAGACTTATGAGGTTAGATTGAAAATTTCAGCAAACACTAACATTTTTTTATCATCCACAGCAACAAAAGTTTTCCAAGTGATTATTTCCAGTCTTGTGGTCTAAAAATGTAGCTGGTGAAAAGCTAAACATTAACCAGCCAATTTTACAACAAATCTACTGAGAAAAATTATATGCCTGTTAATTTTAGAAGGTTTGGAATTTTATTTCCTCTTCTTTAGAAGACTAATTTGTTTTATTGTGTCACAAGAGAAAACAAAAGAGATAGTAGTATCAAATTGACTAAGAAAAAACAGCTATAAGTTATAAAGTTATAAGTTATAAAGGATTGCTTTCTATGCACTTATGTGCCAGAACACTTTGATATTATAGAAAAGTATGAAAAATACTTCACATGAATGCATAATATCTCTTTAGATTTGTTGATACCTTTTAAAACTGCATGTTTCAGTTTCTTATTTTAGCAAATATATACTTCAGTCATTGATGTAGCTCCTGGTAGAATTAAATCTAATTCATCTTGGACATCCAACATGCAAAGTTCAATTTTATGAACCAAAAAAACAAAAAAGCCAAACAAAACAAAACCCTTTTCCTCCACCTAGTTCTGACTCAGAATGCTGTTTAACCTCTTATCTTCTGGCACTTTATGCTTATCTTTTACATTTTATTTGTATCAAAGGCATTAAAATTCTTGAGGATGAGATATATTAGTATCTCCCACAAGGCAGATTTGAAGACAAAATATGTACACAATCCATTGAAAAAGTATTAAAAATATGAACTAAAACACAGGAGAGCTTATCTGCTTGGGAATAAATCAAAGGAGTCCTACAAGCAGTAAACAGTGGTATAAAGCAGACCCATTTCTTTAAACTGACTGCTTACATCTTCCTCCAACATTAAAATGTCAATTTGCCTTCTTAGAGTAATTTCCATGAGTTTTCTATGAACTTTGTGATTAAGGCAGAAGGTCTGCATATAAGATATTGTATCTACTATATTGATTGTATCAAGTCTGTGGCAGCACATCTCTCTCTCTCTCTCTCAGGAGTTTTCATAGAGGTGCACAGAGAGACAGAAAGAGAAAACAATTTCTATTACTGCTTCTTGTTTTTCTCATGTGGAATGTGCTTGGAGAATTGTTTACCTGGAGTGAGTGCTTGATTAGATTCTGGTGAGGATTTGCGCCTGATGGCAAATCCAATCCACCTGTGTCTGGACTCGAGAGAGAGGGTCACGAGTTGTGTGAGAGATATAGTTACAACAAGTAGGTTTGTAGTTTTTAGTATCTTCCTTTATATAGTATATTAATGTATTTCAGCATAATTATAATAAAGAAATCATTCAGCCTTCTGAATTGAGTCAGACATCTTCATCTCTTCCCATTGGGTTTGCCTGCATAACAAAGTCTTGTGAAACGTGAATAGATAAATCCAGGAATTACCAATCTGCCTGTGAGGCTGGGTCAACAAGCAGGAGGAAACAGTTTTCTTGTAAGTGTGAATCAGCTTAGCCTAGTCACTCTCAATGACCCTCAATTTATTAATTCTATACTCTTCTCGGATTTTATTCCCTCACTTAAGTCGATATTTTAGGGTTTATCTTGCAAGGTTTAGTTTACCTTCGAGGATATTTGAACTTGACAGTATTTTGAATGAAGCCGTAGCAGCAGGGGGAGATGACAAAGGCTGCCCGTGCCCTGAGGCAGTGCTCCATCACCATGTCTGTGGCCACCCCGCAGGCGTGCAGGGCCACCTACAGCAGGAAAACAATCAAGCAAACAAGAAAACTAATCACTGGAACATTCTAAGCACAATCCAGCATTTTTTGGTTGGCTGAGTTAATTAAATACATGAGGAAGCTTTTGCAACTAAAGCTGATACACCAAAGGCCTGGTCCTCAATTCTCCAGTTTTTCATTCCCCTCCTTTATATCTATGTTGAGGAAAATTTATTTCATTAACAAAGAATCAACACTGAAGAAGAGTCACTCACCAAAAGCACTCAGAAGGCAGGTGCACTTCATTGTGATATCAAATAAACTAAAAACAAATCTCCAGAAAAATACTAGTTCTGGAACACATAATAACAGAAAAACTATGCAGTGATTTGTCAAAAGTTTTCAAGCAAAAAGAACTTAGAAATACAAAGAACTATGTCAAAACTGGATTTCAACTAAGCAGTAAGAGAAGAAACAGGTATACCTGAAGGTCACATCTAAAGAAAAAAATATGCATAGATTTAGAAAATTTGATTTTCAAGTACTGAGTAAAATCTATAGGAAACAAACACTGGAGCTGGGGGAGGCATCAAATACAATTTACCCTCCTTTAATTTTTTTTTTCCCTCTCCTTATTCTTTTATTTCTTTTTCTTAGTGAGGGACTCTTCAATTAAAATAACATTTGATCACAACTACCTGCGAGCAGTGACATGTTTGGGCAAAACACAGCCTCCACCCAAATTCTTTTTGCTCTCTTATAGAAAAGCAAATGACTGCAGTACTCAATATACCGCAGGGGAAGGCAGGCAGCTCTCTCCTATCTATACCTGGGATGCCAAATGCACCACTGGAATGGGGCATTACCTTCTCTGCCTCCTCCCAAAGAGTAGGCCTGGTGCATACTTAAACTAAGGATGTTTTTGAGGCACATTTCTGATCTTATGCAGCAGTGTGGATTTATAAAACTACATTGTTTGCTTTGCTTTTTGTTCACTGTACATTTAGAGAAGAGGTTTAAGACCGCAGACTCAGATTTCAGGGTTCAAAGCTTGTTTTTTAGGTAGAGCAACTGGGAAGATAAAAATTTTGCTCTCAGATATAGATTAAACAAAGTCTTTTTTGTTTCCAGCCTGCTTGCTGTAAGCTCAGCTGAGGAGACCATTAATCATCAACTGAACTGTAATTGCACACAGATGGAAACAAGTACTCTTGTCTCAGGCAGAATACTAAAAAATTAACATGAAAATAATTGCACAATGAAATTTCTGCTCATATGAACTTAACAACAAAAATAAACTAGTTTAACATCAGAAATAGATTCTTAATATCACAGCTATCAGATTATCATGGAATGTAATTATAGTTACTTCCTCATCTATCCAAGTGGAAAACAAAGCTCTCTGCTTTGCTTGCAGAAAAAGAGACCTTAAAACAGAAGCAGATAAATCAGTAGCTTTGCTGAGCCTGTATGACCTGTTACTCCAAATGATTTCTTCTTTGGCTTTCTGAAAACCCATTTAGTTAAGAAAAAATCCCAAATAAAATTAAAGAAAAAGCTTTCTCAGTATGCCCTATATATTGAACTCACTATCTGAAACAAAATAAAATACGAAGACTAATGCAGATATTTGGAAATGAAGGGCTGGAAAACAAGAATTTCCAAGTGGACTCTTCTGACATATACTTCAGTATCTCCCTTGTCACAAACTTGAAAGAGAGAATATAATACTTTTTTTATTAAATAAAAACTCCACAGGGTTAACATTGTATTAACCTTTAAAATGGGCCCCCAGAAATCAAGACGGGAATTCCAATGACCACAAAATTGGAGACTCACTTCATAAAACAATTATTAAGCATTTCACACACACAACTCAGTGTATTATTCATGAGATCCTGTATTTTGAAATAGCTCTCTAGTTCACCCACTGAGATTTACTGACAATGTAGTACAGAAAATAAAGCTAGAGAACTGGAAATCTACACTTGGAATGACTGGCTAAAGCCATTTATTCTCTCCTCTTTCTCCTACAGTAAATTTCTTTTCCTTTCTTAAATAAACCAACCGAACAGTTAAACAGCACTGTTCATGTACCATAAACCTTCAGCATTATCTATCCCCAGCTACAGACAAAAGAGGCTTTTAGATGGATGATTTAAAGAACAGTCAGTCTTGCATGGAAAGCTTGCACCTTGCCATGGAGGTCATATTCTATTAACTGCAGGAGAAAATAGATGACAGGAATATTTACAGAGCTACAAAATACTATTTATGCCTTACTCTTCACTAGAGCTGCAAAATTCTAGACAGGACATTAATCTCATTTATTTTCACAGTCTGTAAGGATATACAGAATTTTATTCTCTTATGTTTATCAGTTGTTTTAAGAATAATTAATCAGACACCGAAGTTTGGAAGTAGAAAAGTTATAATCACTTACCCCAATGTTAAAAGATCCATTAAAGTAGTCCAAATTTGCTTGAATGAACCAAATGTTGTTTAAACCTAGTTCATCACTTCTGTCTTTAGCACGGATCAGAGACAACTCCTTATTTTCTATGAGTATCACCTAGATTCCAAACATAGGAGCAAGTAAGGCAAAATAATACTGAGAAATCGAAGTACAACATTACCAAGTAGAAAACTTTGTAGTTTGTTGTGAAAACCTCTGAATCACTTGTGGCAGAGTCTGAGAGCTACAAAATGATTAGCTGGAAACCCAGGAACAATCAAAGGCATTTAATACTTGCCAATATTAATAAGCTTGAAAATATTTCCTATTTTCCTATAACTTTTGTCTTCTCTGGAAAGCACCACACACATTTGGGGACAATGCTAAAAAATGTGCATGTTTCAAACCTAAGTCCTCTGCTGAGACAACTGCGGCTTCTATGTGTTCATTCTACATACACATTTAAGATGATTAACAGAAATCTTTATTGAGGATTTACCTGACATGATGGCATCATATAAGCAAGAACAATTCCAACATGGCCCTGTGAAAACAGAAACAAACAACAAAATCTGAGTCACTTTTCAGCACTGAAAAGGGAACACTCCCTGTTGTACACTCATTATGTGATGAACATTCCCATACCAATGAGAGAACCTTTGAAAGCAGCTAAAATTTCAGCATTTGCACTTCTGCTTTGCTTTGTGGCAGCAACCACCCAGCACTGCAAAGATGAAAGCTGAAAGAAAATGAACCACATAAACAAAAATATACATTACCCCTCCACTGCAAAAATCCACAATCAAATCTCCAGATTTCGCGAGCTTTGTCACTGCTGCTACCAAATTATTCAGCTGCTGCTGCTTCCTGAGAGCCCGGTCTCTAGACATCTTTCCTGAGGATGACAGAGAAAATGCCTAAGTAGTGATCAGTTCTCAAAACTGACAATATTATATGGGTAACTACAAAGCACTGCAAATGCCATTTATAGCTGAGATTAAAAATGACTGGAACACTTGCACATCTTAATCCACTTCAAGTTAAATTCATATATAACATATTTAATATTTGGTAGAACCATCTCCAAAATGAACTTTCTAGTTGTTGCTGGTAACGTATCCTTAGGAACAAACTCATATAAACTTAATGTAAAGCAATCAAACTCCTGTAAGCTCTGGCCTAATTCTCCAATCCTGTGATTCATGCCCAGAGACAGAGTTCAAACATATTCACAATAAAGTTGACAAAATAAATCCTCATTTACTGTATATACACTATCCTTTAGCATTTTGGTTTTAAAACTTTTACTCTTTCTACTGTCAGTTTTTACTTTTCATACTAACCAGCCCTATTTATTTAAATTACTGCATGTGCAAGAAGGTACTTCTCAAAGTGATTATTTCTACATAGTAAAGACTGGCTTTCCATCACATCTGTAAAAACTAGAACTGGAAAAACTATTAATTTCTTTCAAATGTGCTTGGAAAAGTCCAACAGAGTTTCTTGAGATATAACAAATTTGTTGAGTCAGCACTCATGGATTTGTAAGGCTGTGTTTTGTCTCAGTGGGGCTGAGTGCTGACAGACCTATTAAAGACTCCTTTTACTTGTTCAGAAAGCAGAGTTTGACACAGATATCGCCAGCTCATCTTCACAATAAGAAAAAGGTACTGCAATGACTCTTTAGTATTAAGTACAACTCCTGAACACACCATCAAATTTTCATACTGTGCAAAATCAGCAAATAGATTCTAGGATTCCTAAAAATTAAAAAGTAAAATAGTCACAGGTTTCATCACTAAAAACAGATCCACTACTTAGTACTCAGTTACTCAACTTCATGAGTATTAAATTATTAAGAAAAAGAATTTTTTAAGAATTAGCCTATAATCTTCCAAAACTCTGGCAATTAACTCTTCATGGTCAGCAACTAACAAGGTTCATCCTCCTTTACTGTGCAGGCAATAAGTAGTAAATACTTCCTTGAAAGATGGATAAAATCAAGCTTGAATCAATAGGACTTTCGCCTGCTCTACCTCTGTATTTTGAGCTTGGTAGCCAGAATTACAGAAATACAGCAAGCTGTGATGTGACCTGCAGAGAATGTTAGTTAGCACGGCTAACTAGTCCTTCATTACAGCAAACAGGAAATAAATTCAACCAAAACTTCTGCATCTAAAAATACGACAGTTCACTTTGCATTTCACAAGCTGTGATAGTAAGCAATGTTAATTGCTGTCTTCAAGAACAGTAAGAAAAAAAAGTAGTTTGAAATTTAGTCCTATAAGGCAAAATCTTAAAAACTTGATATTTTTACACAATACACTGAAAGGCGCCCATAAAATGATTTTCTTCCTTCATTGAGAACCCAACCAACAGATTGCCATTCAGCCCCAAAAAATTAATTTTCAATAAATGGTCACAACAAAAATATTTTATTTGGTTTCACAAATCCAACATTACTGTTAATTCAGCCATGTCAATCAGAACGTTAAAGTTTCTGTGCATTCAGAGGTCTTGCACTTTGGCACAAATAAATTTAACTTTTCAGAAGGCAAAGCCCCCTTTATTTTTGTATTATCTTGGTCAGCATTCAAGCTCTTATAATCATTTAGTCCTCAAATAATTTTTCCATGTTTCTCAAGTTAAACTTGAAAAGTTACTAAAGTACCCTTAAGAAAAACCATAAATCACCTCTAAGAATTTAACCCTATTCAACTTCCAAGTCCTACCTGTTGCCTTTATAAAGGACAACCAGGGACCTGGTTCAGATGGCAGCACGGCAGCCTGGTCTCGGCCGGGCTGCTCGGGCTAATCAACAGACGCATACACCAATATGGCAGACGATTGAAAAGCGTTTATTATCCTATCTCGTGGGTTTAAATAGTTTTGGGGGTTTTTGCTGTGTCAGAGGGGGGTTGGGGGTCCCAGGGGTTAGTTGGGTAGTGGAAATTTACCAGGGCAGGTGTGGCTACATTCTTCTGAGGCTCCTGGGGTCGATAGATAGCGTGGGGGAGAGAGAGAGGGGGATGGGTCTATCTTTCCGTCACACCCCGTAATCTTCCGCTCGCCTGTCCCTTACCTACCACATCTCCCCCCTCCTTATCACATACAAAATGAGGTAGTCGTAGGTATAGGCACTGGAGTGAGGTACAAACTTGCAACTTGTTAAGGAAAGGGTGGTTTAGTAGATCTGGGTAGATTTTTCAAGGCAGGTGCTGAAGGCTTTAGCTACTGACTGTGTTTGCAGTTTTTGGTTTATAGCATCTGTTGGTGGCCTATGAACAGAATGTTTGCTCTTTCCAGACGGGCCTGAACAAACGAGACTAGTTTGTTCAGCAGGCATGGTCCTATAGTAATAGCCAAAAGCAGTATTGCCAATGGACCTACCAGGGCGGAAATTAAAGTGGTGAGCCAAGGTGATTGATTGAACCAGGATTCAAACCAGCTCTGCTGGGTCTCCCTGTCTCTCTTTCTCTGAGCCAGTCTGTCTCGGAGTTCTGCCATGGAGTCTTTAACGACTCCCGTATGATCTGCATAAAAGCAGCATTCCTCCTTCAAAGCTGCACACAATCCCCCCTGCTGCATAAACAAAAGGTTCAGACTTCGCCTATTTTGTAAAACTACTTCTGAAAGCGAAGAGACTGATTTCTCTAGGTAGGAGATGGATTTCTCGATCCTCTGCAGGTTTTCGTCGATGGTCATTTGCAGCTGAGAGAGTCCGTGCCGTTGGGTTGCGATGGCTGAGACACTTGTGGCTGTGCCAGCTGCTCTCAGGCCAAGCAGCGTTGCGATAGTTATCAGGTTTCTTGAGAAGGTGGTACATTTTTTCGTCTGAGTGATGTAGGACCTTAGAAACAATTAGAACTTGGACACAGAAATTGATAGAGTTATTAAACTTGGCAAGGAACATATAAGGATTCACTCTGGATCACTGGCAAATTCACAGCTCAGATGCAGGTGGGGTCATTTACTTGTTGGTTTTTCTGTCAGGCTTGACAATTTTAGTGCAGAAGTTGCTTTTCTGCTTCGCTAAGGTTGCATTGCTAGAACATCTGCCCTGTTCTGTGATTTGATTTAGGGTGATTTCTCTGGAGGGAGTGTCCCATCTGCACCGGTGGGGGGTGCTGGCTGTGGAGTAACTGAAGGGGGTATTTAAAGCAATGCTTTCGTAGAAAAGTGGGTTTAATATCATAGCAAAACTAATAGGGGTTAGTCAGGTTTGATTTGGTTTTATTTAGGGTTAGTAAGGTAGCTTCTAAACAGGCTGGCTATGTGGAACACGAAGGATGGGGTATTTATTAGAGGGTAGTGGCCTGGGCTAGCTTGTCCTCCTGGCCACAAGCCTCTAAACAGCAAAATTGCATGAAGAAAGACACTGTGCATGTTTGGATCTCACCACCGTGGGATTTTCAGATGTTGTCTGGCAGTTTGGTGGTCTGTCATCTCTTTTTGGAGCAGGGGTGTCTGTGTTACGGGGACGGTCCACAAGCATGTCCTGCAAACAGAACTCACAGCCTCTCATTAGTTTTGTTTTGAGGGTCAGGTTTGATCGGCAGCAGTGGGTGTGCAGCAGTGGCTCTTATAGTCTTACCACGTGGGGGTTCCGACTGCCACAGAGGCAGCACGTCCCCTACATTCCCGGGGGCTTTCTCCCCACTTTTATGGCCAGGGCTACCCCGGGGTCCCGTATCGGGGCGTCTCCTGCTGACTCTGCGGCGTGGGCGCCGCTTGCGGTGGGAGGGGGCTGGGTTCGTCCGCGCGCTCCCCCCCCGCCCCCCCGTTCCGTGTTTTCCGGGGGCTGGGACCCGCATTCCTTAGCGATTGTGACCGCTTTTTGGTGCGGCTTAGAACTCTATTTGGTTTTGTTTTAAACTGTGCTGGTTCCGTATCTTTTGTTTCGGAGTTCCGGCTGGCCCCCGCCGGCTCGGAGGAGCCGGTAGAGCTGTCGCCAGGCTCCGCGCCGGAAATGAAATGCCAGGGCACTTCCGGGGCTCCGCGCCGTTTTGTTCGGCCCCGGGCTCGCTCCTCCCCTCGGGGGTGGCGCCGCTCCCACCCCCCCAGCTCGCCGCGCCTCCCGCGGGGGGTGGTTTCTCCCTTATATGGTGGCGGTGCCCAGCGCGGCCGCTGATTGGCTCTGTGCCCCGAGCCGCTCTCCGCCCCTTTCTCCCGCGCGCGCCCCTGAAATCGCGCGGGTTTTGAGTTTTCGCGCTGAGACTACCCGGGCCCCACCCCCCTCCGCGGCATCCGGCGCCATTTTCAAAGCGGCCGCATGGCCGGGCGGCCGGGGATTCCCCCCGAGCCGCGGCCCCTGCGACTCCGGCCTCTCCCGCCGGCTCTCGCCAAAAGCGCCCCGTACGCGGCTGCGCCTCAGACAGCGGATCTCTGATCGGCGGCGGCGGCTGGACGGATTGGGAAGCGGCGGCTTCTCGGGGTTTTTCTGCGGCGGGGGTTTCCCGGGGATTTTCCGCGGCGGGGGTGTCTTGGGGGGCCGCCGCGGCGGGGTTTGGCGCCGCTCCGCTCGGCGCGCTGGCGGGGAAGCGGCGCGGAGCCGCGGGCGGGTCCGGGTTCCGGCAGGAGCGGGGCCGCGCCGCTCGGAACGCGCCCCGGCGGGAGCGGGGCCGCGCCGCTCGGAACGCGCCGCCCCGGGCTCCGGCGGCAGCGGTTCTCTCTGCCGGGATGGGCTCCGCTCCGCGGCGGGCCGGGCTGCGCTCTGATCCGGGGGAGGGGGTGCCGCGCTGAGCCCCCCCGGGTCTCCGCTCCCCGGTGGACCCTCTTCAGGGACGGTCTGCGCTTTCGCCCCCGTCCCGAGCTCGGGTTTAACTAATAAACACGTACACGCTGTACTCTGTGTCTCTTGTTTTTCTATTGCCCTGCGCGGGGCTTTTTCTACTTTGCCTCGTGCCTTAGGGCTCTCGCCACTGCCTGAGGATTTCGTTTCCCCGGCCAGCGTGGCTGTACACTGTTCCCATATCCCCGGATGCATGGCATCCACTGAGCATTTGGTTGCTCCAAGCTCAGGCAGCCTTGCTATAGCAAGATAAAAGTCCCTGAGCTTAAACGCGATACTCCATTGCTTCATACTCACGGCCCATGCGACGCTGTCCATGACGCTCGCGGGCCCCGGGGACGTCTCCCCTACGCCTAAATACGGTCCGACCGTTCCGGCCGCTGCTTCTGTCCAGGTGTATCCCGTCCACCGGGGGGTTTTTCCTTTTTTTTTTTCTTCTTTTTTCTTCTTTTCTCCCGGGTTTCGGCACCAGTATGTTGCCTTTATAAAGGACAACCAGGGACCTGGTTCAGATGGCAGCACAGCAGCCTGGTCTCGGCCGGGCTGCTCGGGCTAATCAACAGACGCATACACCAATATGGCAGACGGTTGAAAAGCGTTTATTATCCTATCTCGTGGGTTTAAATAGTTTTGGGGGTTTTTGCTGCGTCAGAGGGGGGTTGGGGGTCCCAGGGGTTAGTTGGGTAGTGGAAATTTACCAGGGCAGGTGTGGCTACATTCTTCTGAGGCTCCTGGGGTCGATAGATAGCTTGGGGGAGAGAGAGAGGGGGATGGGTCTATCTTTCCGTCATACCCCGTAATCTTCCGCTCGCCTGTCCCTTACCTACCACACCTAACACAGTACATCTGCACATGCAGCTACCAACACAGACATACAATACTGAGAAATCAAAGTACAACATTACCAAGTAGAAAACTTCGTACTTTGTTGAGAAAACCTCTGAATCACTTGTGGCAGAGTCTGAGATCTACAAAATGATTAGCTGGAAACCCAGGAAGAATCAAAGGCATTTAATTATAGTATGCAGTATGGGCATTCTCCTATTTCATACAGTAGAGTTGCATACTTCTATTGTTTCAGCACAAGTATCTTTTTATTTTACATAAGCCTTGGTTAACTAATTCAAATGATAACATGATGCTACTTTTAATGAAAATTCAGGGGTATTCATTGCTATACTGTTTAAGTACAGCAAAAAGGCTCAGTAACTACAAAACAACAGATAACGTTTTACTGTTATATACTAAACTGAACAAGTTTTTCTGAAACCAATGCTTTTTTAAATGGTAGTTCCTTAGATCATTCATGATATTCTAATTATTTCCTAATACCCACAATATCTTCTGCTAAACTCTTTTTGATACCTGTTAGCAGGCAGGGGGTGTTATTTGCTTCTTTGTTGTGAGGGTTGCTGTATTTTTGTGTTATGGGCTGGTGTTTTTGTGTCTACACAGAGTATTAGTCACATTAATACAGTGGTTCCATGGTTCCCATACAACCACTAGAAAAAGCAGAACTCAAAAAAGATGTAAGGAATCCAGCTCAGCTGACATTTATTTACAAAGAAATACTTTCAACAGTCAAAAATAATACCGACAAACCTTCCAACGAAATCTGCCAAACCTTGCAATAAATACAATTAGCAAAGCCAATAACTTTGCTGAGGTCCATTGGTCACCTTGGTTACTTGAGCAATGTTCTTCTTCAACTTCAGCTGCTTTTATTAAATCTGTGGGGGCCAGTACTGAAAGCTCAAGATCTGCCCTCCCCTTCTCCAGCCTGGGACCACCTCCCAGCAGGTCCCTTCCCTTCCTCCCAAGCAGTTAGCTTTCAGCAGTATCTGTTCCCTACTTGTTGCATGACCACACCAGAGGAGAGAGGGGAAGAAGCATCAGGAGATGGGCCATCCAGTCTCAGCATCATCTCCAAGGATGCCCTGGCAAAGACCCATTGGAATCAGTCTGAAATACACACTAAATCAAAAGGCAAAGAGGTGTGCAGGAGGCAAATGTGTCTCAATTCTCCTCTATCTTTTATAATAGTGGAGGGAGACAACTTTGATTGGGCAAAAAGGATGATTATGTTTTTTTGAGCACTACTTGAATTTAATACAGCAAATAGTGTATCTGTGGCTTGTTCACTTGGGCATAACTCAAAGCAGGGGACCCAGCAAGCATGGCTGCTGAGAGAGAAGTCAGACCACATCCTGTACTGGGACTTGAATACCTCCTTATTGATATAAATCTGTCAATTTAAAAGCAAAAATTGCATTCTTATGGTTTCAGCTTTGGAAATAAAGCAGACTTTCACACCAGAGTAGCTATAAAACAATTAACACCACAAAATGTCTCTAACCAATTCCTCAATGCAATCTAGACTGTAGAATGGCACTGACTTTGGCTCTCCACTTGTCAGGCTCAGTAGAAAGTGTTTTCCTCACGTTCAACTCCCTTACAGTTGTCAAATAATTCAGTCTGGCTGTTTGAGTGATACTGGACTAAAAAGAATCTGACACTGGAAGTCTGCCTCTTAGTTACAAAGAATATACTTCTTTTCTATGTGTGTTAAGCCTAAGGGTCAGACTTTAAGCTCTGACCTGAATGCAGAATTCAAAGGCTGGCCTTTAAAAGAGTAGTTTTAAAAAAACTGTTGAATTTGATCATTAAAGTCTTTCTTATAATGCGGGATACCTAATCTGCTGGAATTCACAAAGAAAACATCATCAAATTATCAAAAAGGTTTCACAGCTTTTGCTTTTACATTTTCTGCTCCATCAGAGCCCCCAAAATCTAATGCAAACAACTTACACAATAGGTGAAATTTCAAAAACCATTCTCATTGAAAAGTAAATGGAAACATTTAACTCTGAACAGCATGAAATTTTAAAATAAATATTTATTCAGCACTTTCATTATGTTGAGATAATATTTCTATGTTATCCTAGAAATATCCTAGCAGCCAAAGCTCTATGCTGGACTTTTTTTTTTTTATTATTTAGAGAAAACTACAGCAAACCTTAATTTTTTTTTTTTCATTTTCTTGATCTTGTTGCTTTACTGAGACTTTATTCCCAAGGTATACCCAAAAGGAACCTGTAGGTGGGAAAGTATTATGCTTTCTGGCTCTGCAGAGAATCTCACAGAGTTACAATGTGCTATGAACACAGAGGGGCCAGAGACCTCTGAATACCACCAGGAGAACTAAATGCTCACGTCTTTCCAAAAGGCACATCTACAAGCTGCAGCAGAAAGATGCAGTTAACCCAAGATGATGTGGCAACAAGATGATGGGGCTTTCTGAGCACTTTGAGCCCTGTTACTGCAAAGGTAAACAAAAAATCCCTTTCTCTACCATTGTCTGTACTACTACTTCTAGGGATGCCCAGGCTCTCTGTGGGGCTACACCACTCCATATGGCGTGGGTTTCTCACTACTCATTGAGCTGTGTCCCAGAGCTGCACTCCTTATGTAAGCAGCATATGTACTCTTCAGCTTCCTCATCGGCCTTCTCCAGGCACTGTGACACTGGCCCAAAAAGCCAAACAGCTTTTAGCAGCAAACAGAATTGTTTTGTACTTACAAAGAGAGATTGCAGTAATTGTTGTAGGTTTTTCAATGCACACAGTCATAAGTAAAGCCCTCAGAGTGTAACTTCTTCTCTAACCAGGTATAAACTTCTATGCAAGGATTAAAGGATATTTAATATTTGTGTCACCAAGAGACAACATTTACCAACCTTTTCTTTTTCGCTAAATTTGGATATTGTATTGAAAGAATTGCAAGGAAGGAAGCTTGCTCACTGAACAATTCTCAGGAGAAAACAATGTAAAGCAGAATAGCATCTATGGTACATTACCTGCTTCCTAACTCTGCTAACACAGATGACTCACAACAATATATCATTACATTTTAGTTCTCAATGAAATAGAAGTTTATTATATTATATATAAATTGATGTGTTTGTTTACAAAGGCTAAAACATTTGTTCAACTAGACTAGATACAAGATCAGATGACTTAGGGTTATTATTGATTCATTTGCTCTTTCTTTACATTTGAAAATTGCTATTCTGATCTCTCTTTTTTAACACATGAGATATGAAAATACTGATTTCCTCTTAAAGCACTTTTCTGATTTAAGTTCAAAAGTAGTGGAGCTGGGGCAAGTTAAAAAAACCAAACCGTTTAGTTCTGATTGTAGAAGTATTTCCTTACTTTTGCATCAGAATTTTAATGCATTAGTTCCATCACGAAATATACCACTTTATCCCAGACATCGAAAAAAAAAAACCACCCAGCAACACTAAACAAAGGGATGTGCTTTTATTACTGTCTTCCAGACCTCATCTCCTCCCATTTTTAAGTTCTCTCTCTATTCACGCTTGAATAATTAAAATATGAGCTAGAGATTCAGTGAAAACACTGTTTTATAGATGAGGTTGCAATGCAGAAAACCTAATTTTCCTTTCTTTTTAATACTAACATTTTATGGAATAGCTTGTTTTATAATATGCCTGTATGAAGCAGAAGCAAACATATCCTGAAGGCTAGAGTGCATTTTTATGAATAAAAGCAATCAGCAGCCACATTTACCCACACAGTTCAGATGCACGTGATTGGGTCTTATTTTGTTGTTTCTGTAAGCTTTTTTCCACCCTACTGGATGTTTATCAAAACTTACTCTGGAACTATGAGGTTTGGAAACACCCCATATGCCATTACTAGTTGGTAAATGCTCACTTTTTAAAGAGGTAACAGGCACATATGCCAACTCTGCAGCTTCACGTATTTCTAAAAGCAGCAATCTCTATAAAATGAAGAAAATTTCTATTAAGTTGTCTTGGCATAGCTGGAATGTCTATTCACCATTTCCTATGAGAGCACTGCATTATTTCAGTTCATCCCAACAATTATTAGATTTTCAGGAAAGTTGTGATTTGTTTTTTAAATAACCTCTGAGAAGCTTGGGATTTAATTAAGGCAAATATTTTTTGCCTGGAGCCTTCTTGCAGCTGAGAACACATGGCTACTCTGCACTTGGCAGCTCAGAAGGGATCAGTCTCCATTCTGCAAAGACGATACTTGGAACACTTGAATGTTCCTGAGAAGCCTCAGAGAATGAGCAGCATCCCTAAAGTCACTCATGTGCAAATATTGTAAAAATGGCTTCAGCATTCACTGGGCTGGGGGAAAACAAACAAACAAAACCTCCTAAATGTTACAAATGAAGCCTATAAACTACCCCTCTGCAGAATGTGCAGCATTCACTTTGAGTCAACAGGTAAGGCCAGAAAAGAAAATCCCCGAGGCCAAATTACTTTTTATTACATAGGTTTTTTATGATGAAATGTGATGATGTTTTAGCTACAGTCAAGGGAGTAGGAGAAGAGAATGCTTCAACACATGATTTAAAATATATTGGGCAATAATCAAGAGGACAGGAAAGACAACTGTACTCCATAAGAGCATTTTATTGTTTTTTTTCAGATAGGAGTGCCTCCTGATGTTACTAGCCAATCTGCTCCTTATTAAGGCAAGCTGTGCAAAACAGTTTTATCACTTCAGGCACAAAACCCCCCTACATCTCACATACACTATCTTGGTGTAGTCCAAAAAGGTCAGACAGCTATGAAAACTGACCCTTTACAACCTAAGCAGGAACTCGGCTTGCCTTTTTTTTTTTTTTTTTAATGAAGTATTTTAAGCAATAGAAGAGTAAGGCATCTTTAAAAAGCATAAAGACATATAGACATTAGTAAAAAAATGAAAATTAGTGTTGAGGTCACCCTGAATGTAACTATGTTCTACTTTTTAAAGTTTTGTTGTTTGGTTTTTTCCCAATTATCTTCAAAACGTTTCTTCTAAATATTCAGGAAAAAGCAAACTAGAAAACAAAGACCTAACATAATGTTAACACATTAATCTACTGTTTACACTATTTTTAAACTATTTTGTACTAGATTATGAAGCCTCTATATGTACTTAAATCAATGAGTGATATCCTCACTAGTATGTATTTGCTAGCTATGTTCTTCCAAGTTTTGCACATTATAATATTGCCAACAGCAATCTTCACAAAAATCATGTGTCAGCACCTTTCCCAAAACATTAGATTAGTTCCAAATTTCTCAGCTCCTACACATTTAAGGTGACAATGTCTGTTCACCCTTCTCTTTCTGAAGCCTTTGAGATTCTTACTTCCAAGCTATTTCTCTAGAATCCCAAAGATTAGGGAAATATTTTGTTTTAAAATGTCATGAAATTATGGGCAGAAACAAAAGACTCTGCAGTCACCCTTCTTTCACTTCTTTGCACATGTATTCATACACTCCATCTCTCCCACTCTTCTTTCTTCACCCTTCTGCTTTACCTTCACTCCTTTAGAGTCAAGATTCCATCAAGCCAGCTATTTTGCCTATATCTTATGCTCCTTAGGTGCCCAAACCCACCTACCACTTATGGCCAAATGTTTAAGATGTGAGGGAGAAAGCACAACAATACAAAACTTAAAAAGTGAAAGATGATAAAACATTTGGTGAAGAATAAAGGAAAGGGAAAAGCAGTCTCTGCTCTACTAAATGTGAGAAAAGATCTCTAACTCCAAAAGGAGTGCTGTTCTACCTATGCACAGTCTTATACCAAATGTCAGCAACATCCAAGCTTGGGAGGCAGGGGTTGCTCGCTTTCTGCAAAGTATCTCCAAATGAAGATGTCGTTGCCTGACAAGGAAACCAGAATCAAATGTTTTGTTTACCTCTCACAAGGCTAATATACTGATTAACAGCTACTGTCGGGCTGAGAAAGGGGAATTGAAGCCAGTTCTCACCGGGGACCAAGAGTGCTTGTCCTTGTGAAAACAGGAGAGCTCCTTCCCCAGCAGGTACCAGAGGCAGCTGCTGCTGAGGTCAGAGCAAGGGCCAGAAGCCCTTGCATTCACACTCACAGCTGGCCAGCGGCAGCTTGCCTGCAGGGGACCAGCTCTCAGCAGTTAAGAGGCAGCGGGAACAGAGACTTCCCTTTCTGAGCTCCTTGTGCTGAATTGTTTATAACTGATTGTTAAGGAAAAGGTAAGGACTGCATTGCCTCTGTACAGGAAGTTGTGAATTGCAAATAATGAAAGGAATACCCAAAAGACCCAATCTTATACATTGGATATACACCAACTCATGAATTCCCATCACCACCTGTAATTAAGAAAAAAATACTTATTAGCTATATTAATAATTTGGACAATTCCTGTCTTTGATTTGCTTATCAATAAGAGTGAAAGAGGCTCAAATAATAAACCAGAAACAAAAAAAAAGCAGCTTGGAAGACACACATGCTTCATTTAGCCCTTATGTGTCAAGCAATTGGACAACTGGCTGCAGGACAAACAGCAGGACTTTCAGCTTAACTTCACACATTATGCCTGTTTACTTTACAAAGATGAATGGCTTGAGGAATTCCTCCAGAACACCCTGATGAAAAGGAATTCCATCCTTGAAATTCCATCCTGAATTTCAGTCATTACGAAAATTAAATCCCACACTGCAAAGGTTTGATGACTGACATTTCAACAAGCAGAAAACAATTTCACAATGGCTGTATATAACTTCCAAACAAAGGCATGCCATCCAAGTTGCACATGGAAAGGCCAAGGTTACACATTTCTCCATTCTCTGATTCTGTCTGATCTACACACTGCAATTATCACAGCATTTATACCTTGATCCTGTATAAATCTGGAGTTTATCAGAATTTTAGGAGATTCAATCAAATTTGCTGTATGAAATGAGTATCTTCGGTATTCATGTGCTTTATGTTAGCTAAAAGGGCTGAAAAAACATTCAAGAGTTCAGAGGAAATACAGGAATTACAGAGCTCCATCATAAGGTTTTAATTCAGTAACAGTAACTGCTTGACCACTCAACTTTTTTCCTTTCATTTCTTTTTTTTTTTTCTAAATAATTTTTGAAGCAAAGTTGAGGCAGAGGGGAATCAAAATGAACTGCACTTTAGATAGCAAACACAATTATTTCCTTTGAATATATAAATAAGTAGGTATTTTCCATATAATTTAAGTGATTCACCAGCTTTGGGTAAGTGTTCTTTTAGTCTCTGATGTTGAATATCAGTATCTGTTTCTGCCAGGTAACCACTTTACCACTGTAAATGCTGATGATCAACATTAAAGTTTGTTTAACCTCCAGAGCTGCACTCTGGAATAAACTAACTTTTGCCATTAGTAGTTCATATGACAGATTTTAGAAAAGCAAACAAACAAAACCACCACTAACAAAAAAACAGCATTTTTCTTTCCATGCTCTTCTCCCTCCAGTGCTTTCTCAGACTATGAAGGCACAATGAGTGAGCCCCAAGGTGCTGAGATGGCAGTCCCCCAGCCACAATTAAGTGCCTGTTACAGAATGCCTGCTGTGCAGCTTTGCAGGTAGCACACCACGGCCAAGTACAGTTCCTAAACTGCCCTTTAAAATGTCTATGGTGCTCTTAGTAACCAGTTTGGGTTGAAACCAACATGGATCTCAGCATTCTCAGCTTGGAAAAGTGCTGTAACTAAGTAGAAAGAACCAGACCACGGGCTAATCAAGACTGGCATTTACTATTAGAGAAAATAATCCACTCTTTGTAACAAACACATTCCTAAAGACAGCCAGTCCACTGGAACCCCCACCCCTTTAAAGTAGTAACAGATATTTATCCACACTAACAGAATCAGGGCATTTTACAGAATGCTTCTGTTCAAAGTGCTCCTTTTCATTGTTGTCAGTAATCCAAATGACCCATTATATCCTGCCAAGTTAGGTAATGCACAAATTGACTATAATCAGCACAAACAAATTATGATGCAGCAGAAGACAAACCAAAGAAATAAACAAATACCTACTCCTTTCCTTTCAATATATATAAATGATGGCATAGTCATCTGGATCATATTACATAGCAATAATCACCCCTTACCAAGTAATGCTACTTTATTGCACCCTTTATGTCAGAAAGATTGTGAAGTTGAACAATCCTGCCATCAATAGAAATTCTTCACGACAAGTCAAAAACATGCAACATGAAGACACTAACATTTTACATCAAGTTTAGAAGATGAAAATTAAATACCATTTCAATGTGTTTTAATGCATTTCTAAAAGACTACACACTAAAAAAAGGGGGAAAAAATTTGCCTCTCAAATAACAGAGAACTGGTCAGCTTATGCTACACCACATGTCATAAATACATTCCTAGAAGGTTTTCAGAGCATGTCTAAAATACCAGTTAAGAGACAAGTTGATTATATCAATTAAAAAGCTGCCTAATGGTGAATTTTTGGGTTTTTTTAATTCTGGCTAATCAAATGTAAGATAACCTCAGAAACACTGATGAAAAGTTAGTTGTGCACACAGTTCTCCACTACCTACATTCATGCTTGACAAAAGAGCAGAAGAGGGTGTTCTGTTATTTTAAGGAATAAAAGTATCCAAGCTTGAAAATACTGTCACAGGTTAATTCATTTTCCTGAAATCCAAAGCAGAGGCAAAAGTGAGTTTCCAAGACAATAAATACATTAAATTGGCACTTGTTGCCCAATCAATGGTTCTAATAATAAAAGGTTCCTTTCTCTTGAGTCGTAAGCAGCTTTGTGCCAGGTGACCTTTTGTATTATTCTTACATAGTTTATGAAAGTAAATAATCAAGAAAATCCATAAATCCCTTCAACCATCTTTGAAACAGAGACCTGGATTTAAATGGGGGGAAAAAAAAGTTAATGAAACTGTGGGCACCAGCCCAGTACTGCACTCCAGCTCCCCAGGCTCTTCAAGTAAGAGCATTAGGAAACAAAGTCATGACTTCATTTGGCCCTTCCACAGAGAGCGACTTGGAGCAGCTGGCTGCAGACAAAGAGCAGCACTTTCTGCTTTACACATCACTTCTGTTTACTCTACAAACTTACCAGCATACTTAAGGCCACCTAACTAAACAGAAAGGTCATCCATGAATTTATCTCCCACACAAAAACTCCCAACTAATTAGTTAAAAGGAGAAAATGCACAACAGTATCCCTTTCATGTCCTCATTTTGTTACTTTATAACAGTTTTGAGGGGGATGGAGACAGAAAAACTGCGTAGCATGAACCAAAGTCAATTCAAACAGCTTGCTGAATTTCTGCAAATTGATGCCAGCAGAAATGAAAAGTTATGAACACTTTTCCAACAGAAATTAATCAGCTCTGTCAACTAAACAAAGACTCAGACTAACGCAATATCTGCCTTCAGAAACTTAAAAAGAAAATATATCTCCCACTAACTGCCAGAAGGCATGTTTATGAAACATCTGCCTTAATGAAAAAATACACAACTAAACATAGACTTATAAACCTAAGATATTAAAACAACAGATAATTATTTGTAGCATGTTATGTAGCAAATGGGCTTTGACACAAACTTTATGTGCCAGTATAATGTCACGGGAACCAAAAGCTGGAAACCAAACAAAAAAACCCAGCACAAAACCAGCAATGTTTCTTTGGATAAGACCTCTGGAGGCCCTACTGCTCTTCTAGTGCAAAAACTGTCTCAGAACTCCTTTTACTTCACCATCACCAAACGTGGATAGAGTTGAGGTACTGCAGGTCATACAGACACATTTACTCTGTCATCATCTTTTAATGCTGATGCAGAAATTGATCTAATAGGTCACCAAGTATCTGCAGCTATAGACCCCATCATCACTTAATAAACTGTAAGAGGGCATGTCTAAATTGAAACAAATGAATGGTTTGTAGACTTTATAGAAGTACCTGTTGAAGAAATGCCTCAGTAGAGCATCTGCTACACAGTGTCTCAGCTAGCAGCTCTTAAACATGAAATTTGTTCCAATATATATAAGCACACATTTCTGATAAATGGCTATAGGAATGTTTCACATCATTTAAAAATTAAGCCTTTCTAAAATCACTACATAAAGAGGACAAGAAAACCTCTATACTGCAAGTATTATTTGGTATATTTGAACGAATTTGGCCTGTCACATGCACACACACAAACTGGGTTTAAGCAAATGCCTATCAAGCTCAGACAGCAATAGAGTTGCCTTCTTCAGAATGGGGTTAATATTTGGCATGTTCTGTTACGTCATGTCCACTGCCCTAGGTCTTCCTACTGACAAACTCCACACAGAAGAATCTGCAAGATTCCAACTGCATCCCATTCTACATACAATGTACACACTGACAGCCAGCATTCTTTCTCTGGACTTCTAACTGTGTGGGGAATTGAGAAGGAAAGATCCCAGTAATACTGGTCTCAAGGAAATAAAAGCGCCCCTAACTAGATTAAAAGAACTGAGAAACACAGGAATCCTTCACCTTTGTATGGACCCCACCTCTGAGAGCAGGGCACATCCACACTCCTGTTGGGATCTCTGAGACAGATGTTCTGCAGATGCTCGAGCCCTTACTTACCCAGAGAGCAAAGGAAGCATTTGGAGAACAGCAAGCTAATGGGGTATGGATGTTGTGTGCAAATTCTCCTCAAGCCAAAGGTGCAAAGCTGTTCTCACATTAACTAATGCAGCACAGCACAAAGCCTAACCCACAGTGAGAAGGTTCATCAGTCAAGCCAATAGTGTTATACAAATAAAATTCTTAAAATGGGTGTTTCTGCTTTAAGAGTGGGATTAGCTTGAGGCAATTTGATGGGATTATTTTACTTGTGTTAAACCACTTCTGGAGTAAACCAAGCTGAGAAGACTCAAAGTCAGAACAAGCATATCTATAATAAAAATAATATTTTAATTACATGGAAGAGTGTTTATTACAATGGGGGAAAAAAGATTGTATGGGACTACAGAAGTATCCTTCACTGAGTATTCAGTAATTTTAAGAGGTATTTTTAATTCAAAAAACCATGAATACCTGAGCTGCAAAATGGTAATCACAACCTCCATTGAGTACCTGCATAATGGTAAATAAAATTGGCAGAAAAATGCAAGATAGTCTACAGGCACTGAAATTTGAGCATGGAAGAGAATCAATGGTGTCCCATTCAATTCCCCGCTTAAGTACAAAGGAATTCAAGATTCTTTGATAAATCAAAGTCTGTAAAGCCCATTTCTTCTCTTGTACTGCAGCTTTATACAAAATATAATAACTAAGTATGCTTCTAATTTTACTCATGCAGCAGACATGTTGGATGTCTTACAAATGGGCAACAGACCATATTCTATAAGATTTGAATTCTCCATAAAGCTGTATTGAGTTAAAAACTAAAATATTACAGTGCTGGGGTTTTTAATTAATTAATTAGTACTGAAACGACTTCTGAAAAATTTGTTGAGCACTGTGCTCTGTCCCTCTCAGACACACAACAAAATTAAAAGAAATATAAAATTCCTGCAGTAGGGAGCACTCACCTATGTATCATTTTTCTGATACAAACTGAAAGAAATAACTAGTCAATGCTTATTTCTTCAGCACTGTGTATATATTGCACAGTAGCAAATCTGAGTCATCTTAAAGAAGAACATAAAATTAAAAGGTTATGAGTCTACTGAAGCTCTTGTCACTAATATTTTACATGACCTCAGCAGGACTGTTTCTACTGTGAAACAAACTAACATATGGTTGCAGTGAGGAAGAGTAAGCTCTACAAGACATTGCAAAAATTAAATTTACTAAATAAAAACAAACTCAAAAGAATGTTTCCTTATATCTGCTTAGCTAGCTTAAGAAACAGACAGTTTTTAAACAACTATTTCCATATTTATTAAAATTATCAACAACTTATTAGAAAAACCCTCTACATTCATAAAGAGTCTTGAACTAGATATGACATACTACCTAATTACTCAAGATTAATTTATCCTTGCAGGACTTTCAGGAAAAAATATACCACAAAATCTGCTCATCTTTCCAACAGCACAATCATGAACAAGTGTGTCCACCTAAACCTGCATGTTTTGAATGCGACACAAAACCAGGAAAGCGTAATCTAAAAGCAACTCCAGTGTTTTGCAGAAAGTGACTCCTGTGATTTTCAGCCCCACTGTTTGTCATTGTAACAACCTACCAACCTGATCTTTACATGAAATTTCTGACCTTGTGGCTCAAATAGGAGTTCAACATTGATAATCTCTGCCATATGCTCTACTTGCTCCCTACAAGTGGAATCAGCTGTGACCATGATCTTCATGGCACAATTAAAAACATACAGTGGTGCAAAATGCATGTATTTACCATAAAAAAAAGAGAAGTGGGAGACACAAACAAGAACAAACTAACCTTTGTTCACAAAACAATTAAGATCAAAACTGTCAAAAAAACTTAACTGAAGGTATGATTTATTTTCTGCATTATGCCTTACCTAACATCATCCAACTAAGTTACAGAGAGCTCATAATGCCAATATACATCAAGTGAGATCACAAGTGGGCCAAAGCATCCGGTAACGAGCACAAGCAGAGGAATGTCAAATACGTGCTGTAGATAAGATGGAAAGCAATCTATTTGGTAGATGTTTTTGAGTAGCATAAAATAAAGGATTAAGAAGTGTTTTGTCTCAGTTCAGGCTGGGTTTTGGGGGGTTTGTTTTAGAGAAGCAGATTATTTTAATGAAGAAATCATTTTCAGGCTTTCAAAAATGATGAGAGCATACAGAAGAAATAATGGCAATGCTTCACAAAAATTGTCAAGTAATAGACTGTGCTCAAAAAAATACATTATAGAACACTAACAATTTTGATAGATGGCTATATATCAATATACGTTGGCTTTCATAATTATAGTCTTCAATATTCAGCATTAGCACACATAGAAAAGCTACACTTTATGAGTAAAAAACCAAATTAACTACAAGAATAAATTCAGAAGCTGTTCAAGAGTAAAAATATCCTTTTCTAAACCCTTGATTCTAAAAGTTACATACAAAAAAAAAATAAACCTCCTGGTTACAAGAATTTTCACAGTATTTGCTTACAGTTTTGTAATAGAAATATGGGGCATGATTCAAGATATTGTATCTATAAATTGACTTATTTCTTGCACAAAACAAGCAAATATTGTGCAAGTAAAATCACTGTGTTGTTTGGTAAAGGCTCTGGTTAATTAAATTCCCCTCAACTTACACCAAAACTCATGACCCCATCCAGGATGCAGCATGAAATGATAGCTCATGGCAGTCCATGACATGCACCAACATTTCTCACTGCCTCAAGGTATAAAGGACAGAGAAAGAAAACCAGTTTCCATATGCCACCTTGAACATTACTTATCCAGCCTCGAACCATTTACAACCTGAGATGATGTTCAGTGTAGCCTTAAAGGTATCAGGTATAAAGTTTAGGACAGCAAGAGTGTTTGTATAAAACAGCAGAGTTTAAGAGTCCATTTTTGCTTTTGTCCAGCATACTCTGGTTCCTAACAAATGAAATTCTGCAGAAAACATGCAATGCAACCAAGAGCCAAGGTAAAAAGTTTGTCCAGTTGAGCTTCATGGAAGCACTCAGAAGTATCTTAAACTTTGAGGTGAGAGGATGTTCTTTTGTTTCTTATTTCTTGTCACTAATAACACAAGAACACATGGAAGATCTGCATTTAAGCAGATTTAAGAGCCCTTCACCAATCAGATACTTTCCAGAGAATGGAAAGTGTGCCGATGGAATGACTACATTAATGATACCTCAACTAGTCTACTCACACTACTGACAGGAGCCATTCAAACACCAGCACAAAGAACAACACTCCGTGACAGACCTGCAAAACTTTTAAAGCACAAGCTGAAATACAAACACCGTAACTCTTTTCATTATCTCTGGATGCTTAGATCAATATTCCGCACTCGGAGGGGACAAATTTTATTGCTTCAGATTAGGTTTGACTCATTTTAATATTGAGACTATTCTCCAATTCTTCTATACTTAAAAAATAATTCTACAAAAGAGATGAACTTCCTACTTGCATTTGCTCTTCAATACTTTAAAAGTTTCTAAAGGATGTGAACCCCTTTTGATATTGCTATGGTAAGCTGCCAGAAATTTGACATGAGACATGAGCCAAAAATTAACTTTTCAGAAGCATTTCCAAACCATCTGGAGAAGAGGCATTTAGAGTACAAAATAATTAATACCACCTTCAATAAAACACTAAACATACAGTAGTCTGGCCTTTCCTTTGTGTAATTAAATTTTTGAAAGCATCAAACTATTCAGAACAGATTATGAATAATTCAAAATAATTTTACATGTTTTTTTAACATTATTCGGTTTGGGGGTTTTTTTCTTAAAAACGGCAGTACTGACTTCCTCGAAATTGCTGATTAGAACTTTAAGTGAACAACTGTGCATAAAAACTTGCCTTCAGGAAAAGCCAAAATCAAACTCATGACCTTATCCAATGTAAAACTGTATCCAAATCAAGTAATGCATTCATGGTTCTTAACACAAATATCCAAAACTAATGAAAGTGCAGATGGAAGCCATAAGCAACTCCAAGAGACAGAAAAATTCCTCCTTAACTCACATTTTGTCACAGCTGATTTATGGTTTGGAAACTAATTCCATGCCTCAACTCTGCAACATAGCAAGATGGGGGAAGGAAGAAGAAGGTGAATGCAGCCCCTCGCACAGCGCTCACCTTTAAGCACAAACATTATGTTCAAGGTATGTTTTATGTGCTGGGATGAAATATCCTGTTATTCGTCAACTCCTGATAAAATGTCAGCGAAGAGCTCCCAGAAATTCACTAATGCTGCACAAAACTTGACAATACCTCGGTAATGATTCTGATTTACTCTTCTATACTTGTTCTATACTTGAAACACAAAAAATTGTACATTGGAAAATAAGTTGTTCAAAACATGTTTGCCTACATTTCTGAAGGAAACTATTTCGTTTAATAACCACAAAATAAAACAATTTTTTATTGACTATGATAAATTATGAACGTACATAAAATCTGGGCAACCACAGACTCTGGAAACTATCAGTAGCCTTAAAAATAACTACTTAAGTATATTAAATAATAAGTAGGACAGGTTAATAGAGTTTCAGTAATCAGGTAAAATCAGAACTGCAAATTAAGAACACAGCTTGAATTATCTATTCACAAATAATCTACAACTAATCTAATGGGTTCTCCAAAGGTCATTAAAAAAAATTAAATAATCTATGAAGAATTTCAATTTCCAGCAAGTCCTACTTTCCCCTCAAAGAAACAACAAATAATGTTTTTAAAGGACTGAGCACCACAACAAAACATGAGTGCCAGTAAATTCAAGTGAGAACATAATTTTAATTATTTTGATGTGTTTGCACAATTTTGTCACTGAGAAAGAGAAGGAGACACACTTGGGCTCAGTTTCATTTGCTTTCTAGGCAGTAGTCTTGTCTATGCATAACCACAGAGACTACACCTTCCTTCTCAAACTTAGTCAATCTGATCTTATCCACTGTGTAATTTTCCAGTGCCTTTATTTTTGAAAGCAAGATTATATCAGGAAGAGAATTCATAAGAGGTTCAATTAAGAGAGAGAGAATCTTTTTTGCCTTGTTTCTGGAGTTCATTTTCAATGTTTTGTTCCTGTGCAATGTTTGGGCCACACAGTTATTCGCATTCTGACTTTTCTTTCTTTCTTCCACTTCTACTTTCCTCCCATCCTAATGAGTATGGTCACATATTCTCATAGGCTCAGAGTGTTGCTACAAAATAAAAAATTAGTGAATTACTGGTTAATTCCTTTACATCCTTTCATTTGTCTACGTTTTCTTCTAACATATTCAGTAAGTTATTTCCCTTTCCTTTGAATTCCAGCCACAGCCTAGCCTACGATGCTACCATGTTTTTTAATTCCAAAACATTGGCCCTTGAACTATTGCAGTATTTATTGACCAATTAAAAGAAAATCTCTTGCATAAATCTTTGCATGTTCTTACTTGTAAGCAAGAAAAAAATTTCCAGAAATTTCCATCAATCTCCTCATTTTCTTAGAAATATCTTCCAAGAATTACTCCTTTTCCCCAAAGAACATAAAACTCCAGCAGAAGTTGAGCTGATGAACTTACCCTTTCCTTCACTCCCTGCTCAACTGTTACCTCTTTTCTTGGACTTGAACACTTTCAAGGCAGAAGGTGTTACTCTGCTATGTGTTTATACAGCCTCAGCAATTATTGCTTTCAGGTGTACTCCAGCACAATGAATGTGTCAACTGTCAAATTACCAACTCTAATTCAAAGAGGGGGAAAAAATGTTTTAAATCACTTTTTACAACAGGTGGTCCCAAATTTTTGGACTAGAGATTACTGAGCTGAAAACTGCCACATAAAAAGCATCTTTCTCAAGAATGACTCCTTAGTCCAGGACACAGCTCCATCCATCCAGGTACAGCTCCATATCCAAAGAGATTGTGCTGCCCTCCTGTGGTTTGTGAAGATTTTAAGCTCCAGAAGTCACACACAGAGCTGAGAAAAACTCTGATTCTGCTAAAGTCTCCTGATGCTCCTGCCTGAAAGGACCACTTAGGCTTTGCAAAAGAAACACAGAACAGCTATGCTAAAACTCAGCTGTCCCTCGGTTACAATCAATGTGCAGAAAACAGCAATGTAAGCGACCTACAAAAATACTGCAAAGACAGATAAAAACCTCAGAAATTTCAATCCCTGTGTTGATTATGCCATATAGGTAAGTGAATTATGAATGCCCACACACTGGGATATGGCAAACAGGTGACACAAAAGAGCTAAAGGACACAAGCCATACACTCTACCACTGATGTAATGGTATATGGAAACATACAGAACAATCTTCAAATAAGCAGTAAAGACATTTTACAGCAAGAAATCCTGCTTCAGACTACTGAAGCAGATCAAATATCCCTTTTAAAGTAAAGATTGGTGCTACAGAAAATCAATTTAAATTTTATAATATCTGGAAATACTAAGATATTAGTATATTCTGGAAAAATATTATGAAGAGTAATGTCAACAACAACTTAACATTTTATCCAATAGTATATCTAGAATATTTGGAGATAGAAAAGTGTTAATTCCTCCTCCTTCTAAATATTTCTAATTAATACAAATACAATAAATACGTCATCTCTGCCTTCTCTACAAAGTGACACTCTGTAGCACAACATCACTCTTAAGTATACCTTATTGACCATTAAAGGATATTAATTTCTATATTTCTATTCCTCAAAAATACCTCTGATGATGATTTTGAGCAATGTTCAAAATAAATTTTTTTTTTAATCATATTAATCATCTGGATATTTGCTGGACATTGTTCCACACCTTAACTGTTGGAATGGATCAGCATTCCTTCACTCCTCAGTAGTAATCTTCCTCAAAAAATGACCTGCACCTCCATGCTGTGGAGTACTTAGTACAACTGAAACCTCTAAATCTCTGGTTATGAGATTAATAATGTAACTTTGGGCTCTGCGATCCCATGAATAAGGAACATAGAAATATAAAAGGGAGAAGCAAACTAATAATTTCTACTACAATTATATAAGGAGTAAAAGAAAGACCAAATAGTTTAAATAAAACAAAGGGCAGAGATACTTAGCAGGCTACTTAACATTTATTAAAGATTTCTGATTAAAATATGAAAAATTAATTTAACAACTTGATTAAAAATACCTGCTATGCACCTATGAGTTAATGTTTTTGGGGTTTATGCCCTTCCACATGTCTAATAACTTCAGAGACAAAAGAGAAAAAAAACCTCACAGTCTAACAAATAAAACTTATTTTTCTATCTAGGGCAGATCAAATTCACTCAAATTCTACACAGGTAAAGTCAGTTTAGGCCACTGACTGTCAAGTGCAGACATTTTGTCAAAGTTAATTGTGGATTAATCAAAAACATGCTTCAACCATCAGAACCAAGAAAACTGTGAATTTACAAAAACAAATCATTATGAATTGTCTTCAGTGCTCAAGCTATAAATCTGTAAAACATTTCAACTGCCAAACTGCAGTATTTAATTTTAATTCTTTAGTATGTTCAGTAAACAAACACAAACCACAACAGGACTAAAAAAGCATACACTGAACTTTATGTACAGAACTCTACAAAACAAATCTCTCCAAAGCCTAATAAACCAATTAACAATGACTTGTGAACAGTCAAAATAATCAGTAATCAGGTAAAATTAAAACTGCAAATTAAGCAACTCCAGGAATCAGACCTCATCAAAACCTGAACTTTTCTTGTAGGGGATATTCAATATGAAGCATTAAGGCAATTCTCTGAGGGCTTACACTTACTCCACAAAGCATAGCACTGAAACAAAGGTGACACCTTCCAGTATGACTATCAGCCACATGAAAATCCATCAAACACTCATCACAACAGGATTTTACAGAGCAGGCCAAACACCAAGGAGAATGTGTCCTCACCTGAATCAAAATGCAGTTGTTAGAACTTGGTATCATTCTTTCAACTATGATTTTTAATAAGATACACCAGCAACTGTTGTTTTTTCTTTGCAGATTTTTAATATTTCAGAGGCTGTAAGTTTGTCATTCAGATCAAAACATCACTTAAGAAAATGCAACAGACTTCAAGCAAACATAAATATACTGAACTTGTATTCCTTACAATGTATAAGGAATTCCTACATGCATTGATTTCATGAGGCATGGAAACCACCTATGTTTTCAAAGAGTATTCATTTTAGTAAATCATTGTGCCTAAAAATCATTACTACATACTAAGGTAACTTTAACATGTAATAGCTTTGCCTCCTGCCTCTAAACAGGCATTATAAAAATATAAAATACTTAATTCCCTTCTCTTGTTTTGCTTGGTAACTTAAGACAATCACAAAAAAAAAAAAAAAGGGAGGAAGACTACAGTAACAGTAGGAACAGTGTACATTGCCATCCATGAGTTATCTGGTTCAGTGACTAATGTCTAAATCATTATTTCCAGGTAAACCTGAAGAATTTTTTGTCTAAAAATTAGCAATTGCATTCAAACTTCAATGAAAATTGTCTTCAGGCCAACTACATAATGTTATATCCCTGAAAAGATCCTAAGAAGTCACATATGAAATACAAAGTTTTGCAATAATATTCTTTTTAAGGCAAGCCAGTAAAAGAAGATATACCAGTATTGCCTATATTACAAAAATGAATATTTTTGCTTTCTCTTTGTTACTGAAAATTATTTACTTCTCAAGTACGTATGAAGAATGTGAAGCAACCTGGCTGTACTGCCATCAGAGATTTTCCAAATCTTGAATGGCAAAATATAATGCACACACAAATGTGGTTTAAACTTATTTAGATAAGTGCAGCAAAACTGGAACTTAAGGGGAAGCTAATGAGAAGCAGCTTCAGTTGAATTTCCCTTGGATTGTTACACCCATGTGGTTTGCAGGCAAAGAGCTCTCTGATATGGAAAGATCAGCTGAAGAAGAAGGATGAGTTCCTGCTTCAGGATGCCTGAGACACTGAAATAGGCTAAAACACTATTAAAAAAAAAATCTTCAAAGTCTTTCAAAAAGTTCTGACAGGCTTGAAAGGGAAATAGAGAACTTTAAAGTGTTTCTTTAAACTCTTTTTGTTTTACTAATAAATGACTGTCTGGATTTAATTTTTAAAATACAGCTGCTTTTAACTTTCAAAATAAAATACACAATTTGCATATCTTGATTAGCAAAAGTTTTCATAAAATGTCAGATTCCCTAAACCATCTTTGATTTTTAAGCATAATGTATTCTCAACTCAGAAAGCATCTTTCAAGTCAAAATATTCAAAAGGTAATACAAATATAAAAAGCAGAACAAAGTAGGAGTGACCTAGCCGCAAAAAAAAAAAAAAAAAAATCCCAGAAACAACCTGGATATACCAAATCAATTTTGACCATTTCAAATCAAACAGCTTTGCATCTAACACACCATTTATTCCACAATTTATTCCACAATTATAATATTATTCAGTTCTATGAGCAATTACAAACAACTTTAACATGGACACAAGGTCACAAACTTTTATATTGGTTAGAAGATAATTGCATCATTAAGCACTGCTCCTTTCATTAAAACTAATTTTGTTTATGATGAGGGTTAGAAAATTTTCTAAATTTTCTTTTCTCTGTTGAGAGGCCACACTACAATAAAGTATCCCTCACTTAAAACCAGTTCCAGAAGCTGAAGCTAATACTGATCCTTCAGGATTGTTGATTGGTAGCCACCAAGACTGTTTAATCAAAACATCAGTTAATTCCACAGAACTGGAATACCCGTGCTCTGTGTTACTGCTCTAGTCTGTGTTATTCAAAGGTACTTAAGTTTCAAAGATGTTTCTAAACTACAAATGTAAACACTGTTTTACTCTGTAAGCAAATTCCATCTCATGCATACTGTTACTGAAATTATGGTTCATTTCAAATGAAATACCATAAATAAAGCAGTTCTTTTAAGTTCTTTTACTTCCTGCTTAACAAGTATTTCAACTCATGAGAAAAGTAAGACTGTAGGTCAGTTACGGCTCATTCTTGAATTTCACAGTTGGACAAAAATGTCAATAGAAAAAAAAACTGCTTTAAAGAAAAAAAAAATTGTTTTAAAAAAAATCTCTTTTTCGTTTGTTTCACAGTGAACACAATATCTGATGAACAAATGTGACAGTACCAAAGGCTTCTATCTCCATATATCCTCAGAGTAATAAAGCAGCAACAAGGATTATCACCATCCAACCCCACATTCACACACTTTCCCCTTCCCTTTAATGTGCTTTGGATTAGCCTAAAGGAAACACCTCTAATCATATCCAGCCAAACTGATCTTAATACTCACAAAGCCTTTGCAGCAAGTAGGAAATGAACCTGAAGACAATGAATCCATTCACACACACAGGACCAGGAACACAAGCAAAAACTCCACAATTGACTGAAGTTCCAAAAAGGAACTAATGCTGCCTAATAAAACCACAGAGATGTTGCATTTCTTTGTTGGTCACAAATTAAATATAATCTCCCCTTTCCCAAACATCACATGTAATCAGCAGTAGCACAGTATTTCCATTTAACAGTCTTATCTCAATAAGCCCCACTTCACAAAATTTTCAGCTTCTGCCTTGCTAGGGAAAAAAATGAAAACATTTCCTATGATGACATACATCCATACAGGGAAATAATCACATGACGTATCTGATTTTCCTTCTGTCTCACACTGTGACCACCAACACTTTCATACTCTGACCTGCCACTCTCTTTTTACTGACAACCACAGTAACTTTATTCCTATGGAAGGTATCTATGGATGTCTTTACTTCTACGGAAGACTCAACACAACCAAGCACTGAGCTTGGTTGTGATTTTTGGGCTGTGTCAACGGCTGACTGAAATCAAGGCTAGTCTTTTGTTCCCAGTTTGCTCATCAGCTGTTGATGACCAGAGGGAAGTTATGTCACCATGTGTCACAAACAGACCGAATTTTAATGCAAATTTGAAATCGCTTCCCTGTCTTAGCTCTGGAACATGTTGAAAACTGGCATATTTTCTTATGAAACAGTTAAGTAGCTTCACCATAAGAAGACCCTGTGAAATACACACACAGACCTACAAACCCTCACCTTCCCCAGGACTGACTGCAGATGGAAGACTGGTCCAGTCTAGGGTCCAGCTGGGGCATGGATGAGGAGAAAACTTTGCTTCAATTCCGTTTTCCTAAATGAAAGGAGGAAAAAAAATAAATTAAAACCTTTTACCCACTTAAGATGGTATCAAAATTCTCACTAAATTTAACGGCATCAGATGAAACTGCAACAATGTCAGTTTAAGTGAAACTGGACAGGTAGATGACTCTACATTATATATTCAAATTATGTATTTCCCTCATTCTCACAAAAAAGCCCTCCTAATTTTTTAGGAAGTGCTGTCAGCTTCTGTGCAAAAAATACTGAATTATGGAACATGATGGACAGCTTTCTTTAACAAAACTCATTAAGGTTCCCAGAAGTTCAAAGCTTTAATCAAACAGAAAAAAAAAAAAAAACAAACAAACAAACAAAAAAAAAACCAACCCAAATGAAAAGGTTTGACAATGAAACCAAACATAAAAGCAACAGGTTTTTTGTCATTCTTTATATAAATATCTTTAGAACAGAAATACAATATTGCAATTCGAACAAAAGGTTACTTTGATTATTCAGAATTATTGATAAAGCTCCAACTGTCCTATCTTTGCCCAGTTCCTGAATTACTCAAATATGAGATGAGAAGAAAAAAGTAGAATCACTTCTAAGTCAACGTGCATCAGATTTAAGACAAACAAGGGGTATTAAACTGTTCAAGGCTGTCAAAATTACCTTGTATAATTCTAATGAATTCTACCTACTCCAAATCAAACAAATGTGATTATAAAAATAACTAATTAAAAAGCTTAAATTACCATTAACTTAGTCATGGTTGGCCTTGGACCACCTATAAAATGATTGTCTTCATTATCCTCTTCTAACTCCTCAGGAACTGAAGTGGAGTCCTGTAGCTGTTCCTCAGGAGCAGACACCAACTCTGGAAGCTGGAGAAGCTCCATGTTGCATTTGCCAGCAGCTTTCTTTACGCCAGGTACTTCTTGAACTCTTCGATACCAACTGGATATCAGTGGCAAGTTTACCAGATTTTTGCCTTGTTTCTTGCTGGAAACCTAAAATAATAAAATACGAAGGTTAGTGGCTACTGTAAATTTCTTACTACAAGCCACCAAACTAGAGGAGTAAGCTCAGCTCCACGCTGAGCACAAGCACTCACAGCATGATGGCAATACAAAAATCAGCTGGTTCAGAGCTCCAGGTGGAACTGCCAGTCAAACACTTAGACTTTATCTGCAATTCCCATTTCTCAATAGGATGAAAAGTTTCACATGACCATTTTAATCATAATTTCAGTCAGTAACAGGAAAACTCCATACAAATAATACTCTTGAATATCTGCTATTTCCTAACATAGGAATTGTTAATTTTGGTTGGTCGTTAGACAAAAAAGCCCAATGCAGTAATTTACAATGAATACTGAACTCTAAGCATGACATTATGGTACCTGAATGGTCTTTCCCACAAGTACCCCTTAAAAGCTCATTCACCAACAGCAGTTTTGCTGGGAACTACAAGCCTGAAATACCTTAGGCCATGTGGTAATAGGCATACATTAGCCCTGGTCTTTATTCAAGGCTTTGCACTACATCTGCAGCTTTTTTTTTTTTTAATTAGTACGGATTTTTTTTAATCATGTATTACTTTCTACAATCTTAATTTCATATTTTTATATACAATAATGGTAACTAGTAGATTTATCTTCTGAATTAAGTGTATGCGATTATGAGTTAATGTGGCCTCCAACAGAAACTAGCATTTTAAGTGTAAAAATGAAAAAAAAATTTCTTAAGTAAGAATATGTTGCACATATTTTAAAAAAATATACCCAAATCACTTTTTAAGATGAAGTCCAGCTACTATTTAAAAGGATGCACCTGATGAAATTAAATAACTTTTGTTTAGATTCCCAGATGTTCTAGAACAATGGAGATCATCCTCTTACAAGAGAAGTTGTGAAGTCTCCTTAGAGACACTCAAAATATAACTGGACATGATCCTGGGCAACTGGCCCTAGCTGACCCTCCTCTGAGCAGGCTGCTTAGACAAGATGAGCTCCAGATGTGATTTCCAACCTCAATTATTGCAACTTCAACTACTCTGTGATGCTGTGCCTGCTTTAAACAGAAAATTAAAAATCATTATTACAAGAACAGGCAGAAAAGGCCACACAAAACCAACATTCTTCACCTGAGCTGTCAGAAGAGTGGAAAAAGAAAATGGTAAAGAACACGTGAAATTACACAAAATTTCCAACAGCTCTCCTGCATGCTGTGTTTATAATATGCTTAGGGTAATCAAAAGTAATTAGCAATAGCTAAAGCAACAAAAGGATGAACTGTGTAACTTGAGTATCTAATTCAGTAACCTAATAGTAACATCGGCAAAACCACATTCATTCAGTTAAGGAAGAAATCTTTTGGAAAGCAATTCTAAGAGGCACTGTTAAACTTGTTACAAAGTGTTCTAAATTGTATTTTAAAAAGTGAATAATGTTTTTTCCCAGATGAGGACCTGAGCTTTTGTTATGCTTCTATTCATTTTCAACAGTTACAACTAGTAGAAGTCATAACAAAGGTAACCTCACAATGATAACAGCAATGAAATGAGGTAATGAAAAACAACACTTCAGCTTCATTATCTTACTTTTGGTAATTATAATTACAATCAGCTAGTCAGGTCTCCTCATGCTTATAGGATATTTTCCAGACACATACTCACTTAAGACTTCATTATTATTCACACTCTTAATTCAAAGTGGAACTGCAACTACAGTGATTTTTTTTTTTTAGCACAATCCAGGAAGTCCAGTTATACAAGTGACAAATTACACTTTAATATAGAATTGAACTCTGGGAATTCAATTCCATCAACAAGAGCAGTTTCAACTCACTGTCTGCAAGAAGCTTTCAAATGCAAGTTTTTCAATTTTGATGACAACTATAGGCATCAAGGTATAATTGCTTAGAAAATTATCATTCACCAGAGAAGAGAAATAAACAAACATTATCCCAGAGCTCTTGCAAATTAGGTAAAAACGAAACTGAAAGCCAGGTCTTCAGGGCAATCCTTGGTGTGAGCTAACACAAGTGCATTGTAAAATACATAGCTCATGAGCTGCAGAACACCAGGGCTCAAGGGTAATATATAAAAATTCAATAAATACAAAATTCTTGGCTGCTCATAGTACTTCCATAGAATGATCCGAACTACATTGCTGAAATCAATTAAGCATCTGATGCAAAAATCTTCTCATGACTAGCACCAGTAAATCAAATATTACTGGACAAAGTTATGCTCTTATTTAAAAATATCTTGGAAAAACAAAGGCTGAAAGGCATTTTAAATAGTAAGAAAGCATTTTATCTTAATACTTTGGCTTAGTATCATCCATACAGAAGTTGCTGTTCACATCCAATTTTGTGATTTGCAAAACAAACAAAGCAGATATGAATTAAGAAGCATTTCTGTAAAATAACTCATCATCTCGATTCAAAGGAATTCATATTGCTCCCATCATCATACAGAAATCCACTGAGGATGTTAAAGTTATAAAGTGGACATCTGTCATATTATTAATATTTTATAGTCATTATCTTGATTTTCAAGATTGTTATCCTCAGTCTAACAGCATCTTCTCCAGGAATTCCATTTGTTTTCAAACACCATAAGAAAAATTTGGCAAACCAGCATGCAAAATCAAAATGCAAATGTTCTTGGAATAGACACCAGCTTAGCTATAAATCTCATACAGTAACTGCAGGAACAGAACTGTAGGAGGCAAACTCACTGAATCATTCTACTGTGATGGCAAATCAAGACAGAGTTGTAATTTCCTTAAATCTCTCCTATTCATCTATCCCCATAAAACTAAGTACACAGATTGTGCTGAGCAAGACTTACCACACTCTTACCACAAAAGTTTTTCCCACTGTAGAACTAGTTTATAAGTTGAGCTCAAGTCACCTATACTAGTATTGTTAAATTATTTTCTGGGCAAACTCATGCCAAAATATTTTATATAATATTTTAACAGTTAACAGTGTTTACTAACCATTGATATGCTCTGTAGCTAGAAGTAAATTTAGTGACCTCACCAATCCCCATTTCCTGTGTTTGTACAAAAACAAGACAAATCTTTGATTTCAGGTTAAGGTCACACTGTAAACACCATGGTATGTTTCAAATTAACGTATTTTACAACTTTTAGGTTCTTAAAAAACACACACGCACATTAATTGATATTTGCAGAATTTGTCAGCTTACCAAGAACTGATGGATGCATGGCAAAAGCACTAGATCTGCCACAGTAAAATAAAGCCCTTCTGCAAAAATGTGGTCCAAGAGCGGAAGGTCAGAGGTTTTTGTTCTCCTGATGTGAGTGGCCTCCCTGTTGATTGCCTCTGGTGCTTCCTGGGCAAGTAGTTTGGAGAAAGCCACACTCAGTTCCAAACTTGAGGGTGGATGTTCATGGACTTCTGCTTTTAATTCCTCTGATGCTTCTTCACCAAGCACAGGCACTGCAGTCTTGGCACCTGCCTTCTGTTGTTGAAGTTTCTGCCTTCGAATTTTGTCATCGTTATGTACTCGGACAGGTTCTCCAAGCTTCCTTTCCAACAGTAAAATGTCAGGAGGAATAGCCTGGCTGTGCTCAGGAGAGGCTGTCAAAAATCTTTCAACAGCCAGAGGTATACTGATCTCACAGAGCCTGGTCCACTGGCTAACCTGTCAAATAAATTTACATAATTAATGTCTCTACAGAAAGAGAAACAAATCCAGGGTAACTTTTGGTTATTCAATCACTTCAAGCAAAGGAATTCCAGCTTTAAATATATTCTTTGTTAATCTTAGAAACTCAGGTATTTCTGTATTGCTTTTACAACAGCAGAGTTAGGAAGCTAAATCTTATATATAATAGAATGGTTATCCGGTACAGCATATTTTTGTTTCCTTATTATTGACATAAAATTAGGATGCCTGTGTAACTCGTAAGAAGCAAACCTGTGAACTGAGTTGAAGGCACGGTGATCAATGGCAACCATGGAAACAGCAATCATGCCAGGGTGGAGTTCTGCCTCCTGAGAGACAGGAGGAAGGCAGGTCTAGATGGATGAGCTGCCAGATGAGTAAACCGCTGTGTGATAAATGGACTGACATCTCAACTCAAAGGGTAGTGTTGGTTAACAGTTCACACTCTACCTGAAGGCCAGTTAGGAGTGGAAATCTTTAAGGGTCTATACTGAGGCCTAGCCCATTTCATCATGTTTACCTGGAGAGGGGAGATGGAATACACTCCCATCAAGGATGACATGGAATCGAGAAGAGCAGACAACAAATTCCCAAGAAACTCCAAGGCAGAGCAGCTATTCACATGAGTCCTTACACACTATAGAATAAGCTGAGAGGAACTGATGTGGAATTCAGAATATTCCACACCTAGGAGGGACTTATCCCCTGGAATGGCACAGGCTAGGGACTGACCACCTGGCCAGTTAGCCACTCTGCTGAAAAGACACTGGACAACCTGGTGAGGATAAGCTAAACAAAAGTCACCTTGACAATGAAGGCAAACAATATATAGTGTTCTTGAAATCAAAATCAGCAAGAAATTAGGTGTTTCTTAGTTTACTTCAAATTTTATAACATACTGCTAGATCTGACCTACTTTTTAACATTAAGGTTCTTTTTGTGCTGCTAAAAACTAGCATCTTCAAAAATAATTATTTTTCATCTTTGTGCCAAAATACAGGTATTTCTCCATAGAGAAAATTGCATTTTCTAAGCAAATTAAGTTTTTTTCTAAAATAACTTACTTGACATCAATATTAAGAGTCTAATTCAGAGCATTTAATGCTTATTAAAAAACCAATCAATGTATCTAAGAGAGAGACACACTCACTTCAGCACAGGCTTTTAAGCAGGTCTTCTTAAAGCCCAAGAGTTCCAAAACATCCTTTTTAGATGGATCTGCCTCAAATGTTTTCTGTATTATATGTCTTAAGACCACAGAAAGCCCAGCTCTGCAGAATTTGTCATCTTTCACGACAACAGCAGGCAAAGTGCAGCTCTGCACAACCACTGGAAGCTGACACCTGGAGATTAAGTGGACCTCAAGATCACCAGCGAGGCTTTTTGTCACACACTGATCACCCACATCTTCGCCAGTCGGCACTAAAAAAACTTTAAATAATTTGCAGTCACAATAGGATAGCAAAAACAGTGAGATAGATGTATGAAGAGGAAAGATACTATCTCTGTACTGATGAGAAAAAGCCAAATATAAATGTTCTTCAGCGACATTATCTTTCATCTTCTTCCTGAGATGAAGTTCCTGAAATAGAAAGCAGAGTACGACATCCATAAAAGAATACAGAATTAAAAAAAAAAGAAAAGAAAAAAAAAAAATAGAGCACTGGTTCTTCCACTATCTGCTACAACTGATTTTAACATAAGACACTACTAAAGACATCCTGCATCAATAATTGGCAGGTCCTTTCTTAAGGGAAAAGAATGGTTTCACATCTACACTGTCTCTTCACATACAAGATCAGGAATAGGAAAATGACCTCTGTATATTTTTTTTTACACTTTAGCATATTTCTGACACCAACTAAAACCTTAAGAAAATGTTTCATTTTCAATTTTTAAGTGCATAAACATTTTAGAGCAAGTTGGGGTTTTTTTACATTAAAATCTTCAATATTAACCATGCATTATTAAAAAAAAACAAAAAAACATTTCCTGAGCACATATCTACCACAGTCAGTTCTCTAATACAAACATCTGTCTTTTTGTAACTGCTAAAAGGCATTTAGAGTAGGTATTTAGGCCAAGGGAAATAATATTGGTTTCTGTATTAAAAAATAATCCAGAGATGGGTGAGATAATAACATAAGCAAATAAACATTAATCTCATGATACTACATGAACACCTCAAACACACAACTACTTTAAAGCAGTCAAATTCAACAGTAGCAAAGCTGAAATTAATATCTTCTCGATATATTAAAAACTCACACTAATTTTCCTTACAGTGGGTTGAAAGCTACATTTTTCCTACTACAGTATTCCACAGGAGTTTAACATGAGGCACAGAAGCAGTAATTTTTCTGCTCCATCACTCAGCAAACTGCCCATTACCTGAGGTGGCACTGGAAAGCCTCAGGCACTAGATGGCCCTCTCGGCACAAGTGACACAGGCCACAGCAACAGCGCAGCGAGGAAGAGAAATCTGAATGTTGCTGAGAAAGGCCAGAATAGGGGTTTATATACATATATATAAAGCATGAGTGACACTAGAACAGCACTGTCTAGATTAATGAGGTCTTTGCACAATTACACGTATGATGATGTTATAGTGAAACATTTTTAAACCACTAAATTACAAGAACAGTGGCTCTGCTACGAGTACTGTTGTTTGCTTTAATTAATACACTGCCACACAAAGAACAGGACACTACACAATGCCATACCTACTTTACCACAAGATATTTTATTTGGGCAAATCTTGACAGCATGGAATCTGAGACAGAGTCTATCTCCTAAGTACACCTCTGTGGCAGAAATAATCCAGTGAAGGCACAGCCAGAGCGGTAAATCAAGAAGAGTTACTGCTACCACAGTCATACCCATAGCTTCCAGTATTTAAACTCCTATCCTCAACTACAGTACGTCTTTCAATACTAAAAAGTATTCTTGTATGCATTTGGGTTAATATTTTTGTTCTCCATGGGAACTCAAAGAACTCACAAGTCCGTCTTTTGCTCGGCACGCAAACTACTCAGAAAAACACATTCACCTAATCACTCAATTTTTTCTTCTAGTTGATGTTCCTGGACTCAATCAGCTATTTTGGTCATTTTCATGCTGTGCAAAACTACTAAATATTTTGGTACACTCTGACAAGGTTTCTATTTCCGAAGTATATTATACTATAGTGTTCATCTATTAATCACCCGTTGTTAAAATTTATTTCTAAAAACTTCTTACAAGTAATTTTAACAAACTGGGCTTCTATAATGACTGCAAATTGATATACAGGTCATTAGAATATCAACACATTCAGTCTAGATTTATTTGAATTATTAGTTATTGCAAAAATTTATATGTTTCTCCACCACACCAGTAACTGAACAGACTTTCCTCTCAGAGAGCACTGCAAGGTGAAAGTTTCCTTTGTCCCTGTTACACATGTGACAGCAAAAGCACAAAGATAATTTATAGCTCAGTGTCACACTGGAAGTCTGTCCTAGGGCAAGCCAAAAATTTAGAACATTTTTCCTTAAAGGCTCTGTTGTTTGGTTGGCTGTGAGATTTTGGGGGTTTTTAAGGTCAGTCTGCGACAATGAAAATTACAGTCAGGTTAATTGACTAGGAGTTCTGTCTATGAGTGATTTTACCTCTGTTTCCTCATTGTTCCTGTGAGAAGAAAGGCCTTCTTGAATCATCACTTCAACTGAGCTGTACACACTTACACTGCCATACTTAACCCCTCTCCCATATTTTTGGAGAATTCCTCTCAACATTTTGTCTCTAAGCACTGACATTATAAAGTCACTTCCTATATTTTTTGTTTCCAATACCGGTCCTCTTCCACACTGATTTGGCTCTGCAGAATCTATATTCCTTGTGGATTTCTGCAGAGATTTTCAATTCAAAAACTTAACAGCCTAACTGGTTGCCCATTTTCACTTAACTCTTTTCACAAAACTACTACCCATCCATTACATGTGTTTATTAATCCCTTGGCAGCTTACTGAGACAGAAGCAGATGCAGACATACACAATAAAATGAAATGTGCAATACAGAACTAACCAAACCTAGTAAGACACTGCATTGTTTGTTCACAGTATTTTTTCCCAGCATTTTTTTCTCTAATTGGACTGTAAATTCTGTGGGAAGAGATGGATTTTTATTCTATTGGCCATATTTACAGTAGCCACTGTTTGAAAGAGAGAAAATGAAAAGCAATGATCAATACACAATTTGCACTGTAACTTAAATGACAAAGATAAATAACATTGCCTACCTTTGGTATAAAAGACACCTACTTTAAAATTATAAACAGTATGTAAATGTAAGTTTCACTAGCTGTGCTGTTTTTACCATTTTCTCCTCCCTTTCAACATGCTCTAAACCACAGTTAAATTAGGTCCACTCAGTTGCCCTGTTAACAACGTAATAAAGAAAAACACTGCTTTAAAAACAAGTTTCCCATAAAAATGAAAGACAAATAAATACATAAACATCCTCTTCCTTTTGAAAGGAAAAAGATCAAAAAGATCTTATTTATTTGTTGGTTACTACACAGTAAAACAGAACTTCTGATAAGTAGGCGCGTTAGCATTTGAGAAACGTTTAATATAACGCCACTTAAAAACGCACCAAACATTTAACTTAGTGCAAAGCATTATTTGTGCTTTAAGGCACATCACTTGAGAGCCTGCAGCTGTATTTCTGTCCAAGACGACACATTTACTGCACGCGTTCAGGACCAGCCCTGCTCAGAAGGGGGAAACACAGAGGAGCTTCGGACCCGAACTGCAGGCGGGTCTGCAAAGGAAGAGAAAGTTGTGGTCGGTTCTGGAGAGCCAAATGAGGGCGGGACACGGGGACAGAGCCGGGACACGGGGACAGACAGAGCCGGGACACGGGGACAGACAGAGCCGGGACACGGGGACAGAGCCGGGACATGGGGACAGAGCCGGGATACGGGGACAGACAGAGCCGGGACACGGGGACAGAGCCGGGATACGGGGGACAGAGCCGGGACATAGGGACAGAGCCGGGATACGGGGACAGACAGAGCCGGGACATAGGGACAGAGCCGGGACACGGGGACAGAGCCGGGACATAGGGACAGAGCCGGGATACGGGGACGGAGCCGGGATACGGGGGACAGAGCCGGGACATAGGGACAGAGCCGGGACACGGGGACAGAGCCGGGACACGGGCGGACAGAGCCGGGATACGGGGACGGAGCCGGGATACGTGGGGACAGAGCCGGGACACAGGGCACAGAGCCGGGATACGGGGGGACAGAGCCGGAACATGGGGACAGAGCCGGAACATGGGGACAGAGCCGGGATACGGGGACAGACAGAGCCGGGATACGGGGGCACAGAGCTGGGACAGGAGGGACAGAGCCGGGACAGGGGGGACAGAGCCGGGACATGGGGGACAGAGCCGGGATACGGGGACAGACAGAGCCGGGATACGGGGACAGAGCTGGGACAGGGGGGACAGAGCCGGGACTCAGGAGGGCAGCACACGCCTGAGCTCGGCTACTGCAGAGAGCGACACCACCGCTGCACAGCTCCCTCGCAGCCCCGCTCCCTAAAGCTCTGCTCTCAGCTGCTCTCGGTGCCCACGCAGCGCTGCCAAAGCAGCCCCGAGGCTCCGGCACCGCCACCTTCCCTCCATCCTGCCCCTTCTCCCGCTCCCTGTCCTTACCCGGCCCGGCCGCTTCCGCCCCGGCTCCGCCCCTTCCTGCGCCGCCCCGGCCCGCGCACCGCCCGGAACTGCTGCGCGGGGACTGCGGTGCCGGCGGACCTGCCTGGCAGCCTTCTTCCTCCTCCTCCTCCTCCTCCTCCTCGTTCTCGTCTCCGGTGAGACACCAGCGGGCGCGGAGAGGGGACTCGAGAGGCGGAAGAGAGGATCGGGAGGAGGAAATTTGGAGTGGGAAAGGGGGAAGGAAGAGGGCGACTGGGAGGTGGCAGAGAGCGACTGGGAGGATGAAGGCAGAGGGGAGTTGAGAGAGGGAAGAGGGGGTTTGGGAACAGGAAGAGGGGATTTTGGGGTTGGGAGGGGAAGAGGGGTTTGGGAGCGGGGAGGAGGAGGAAGATGACGAGAGAGAAGAGGGGTCTGAGGAAGAGAAAAGGAATTTAGGAGGGGGGAGGAAGAGCAGGTTTGGCAGCGGGAAGAGGCATTTGGGAGGAGGAAAAAGGGGATGGCAGAGGACATTGAGGGCAAGGCTGGATGGGAGAAATAGGATGTTGGCAGGAGGGAGGAAGGGGGAGCCCTTAGGCACATCTGGCCGCTCTTCCCCTCGGCCCGGGTGAGCTTTGGGTGTCCTGTGGGGCAATAATGGTTGTAGGAGGGTGGCATTTTATTCTTTTGAGCATTCTAAAGTGTTCAGATGAGAGGCCTTCCCATCTTTGGTTAAAAGAAATCCCAGGGAGAAATTTGCAGCGAGTAGGCTGCGGAGGGTCATGTCGTGGCTTTGGTGTAACTGCTTCAGAAATTCGTTTTTGACTAAAGTTTTCTTCTCTTTCTGAGACATGATACCCAGGAATTTGTACACTTGATAAGTATCAGTGTGGACGTTGAATAATGCCAAGGTGAAAAGAGTAGTGAGGGTGTACTCAATTTGCCAGTGTTTTAAGCCAATGAGCACTGTCATGTTGAAACATCTTCAGGTCCATTTTCTGTAGAATATTGAAGCTCAGTGGTAGCAGGGCTTAGCAAATCTCAGTTGTGCAGGGTCAATTATCACCTTAGTTGAAAGGCACTCACAAGAATCATACCGTTTATCAAGAAAGGGATTTACAAGGAAAATACATCACCACTGCTGCATGGAAGAAGTTTGTTAGTGACAGCAGACACAGATAAGGGTCGAACAGTTGATGTCTTCTTTGTCACAGACTTGACCTGTAAGGTCTCACAGGGCCTTTTGCCACAAGGCAGAGCTTAAGGAGAGGAGGAACTACAAGTTGTGGAAGAGGATTGAAGTAGGATTGTTTCCTTGGTAAGTCCATGGGCCCAGGTAGACTTCATTCAAGAGTGCCAGCAACAGACAGCGTCTTCACAAAGCTGCTTTCTGTCGTCTTTTAAAGGCCATGAGACTGGGATAGATCCCAAAGACTGGAGAAAGGCAAATCTTATCTTCATAAAGGGCAAGAAAGACAAGCAAGAGAACTACAGACTGAGGTCTGCCTCATTCCTTTGTCCTGTGAAAAGATTGTGAAGGAAGCCATTTGTGGCAAAAGAAGGTAGAAACTGGGAAGAGCCAGATCTACCAAGGATAAATCATGCCTGATTAGTTGACATGACTAAATAACTAGATCTGGAGATGGAGGGAGTGTTGGATACCATCTGCTCTGGGCTTAGGGGGATATAATGGATGCTTGAATTTTTCTGAGGGTATTAGTGGAAAGATATAGAGCCAGTCTTCATACTCACATGTGCAGTGAAATGAGAAAATGAGAGAAAGCACAACTTAAAACCTCCAATTCAAAGCAAGGAAATGAAGACAGGGAGTCATTGGGACAGGTTGGCCAGAAGGATTTTTGCATTCCTGTCTTTGGAGATTTTCAGGATCCAGCTGGAAGAGTCCTGAGCAAGCTGGTCTGAAGTCAGTGTTGACTTTGCTTTGAACAGGACATTGCACAGGGTGACCTTGTGGGATCCCTTCCACAAGGAATGATTCTGTAATCCTGAAAGAATTCACTGTTTTTGTGGAGAAAACAGCAAATGTAGGGCATTAATGTAATTTTTAAAATATTGGATAAACTGTTTGCAGTGATATTGATTGGAATACTAATTTTAAAGAACATTATAAAATATGTTGTAGAATAGAATGTAAAATTAAGGATGCCAGTACTAGCAACTCCATAGCAGGAGATCTTATACGTGTCTCAAAAGATTCTTTGAAGACAATGACAAGAAAATTAGAACGGATTAATACAATTGTTCTCATTAATACAGTTACCCAGACTACTGAAGTGCGTGAGTTTTGAAATGTCCCTTGTGGAAAGTAACTGAGAAATTATTCTGTCATAAATCAAATGCTGATTAAGGTAGTCAAGTAGCTGAAAATAGAAGTTCATTTTTTCCTGCTTTTAAGATTTTCCTAGATCTACTTTCTTCAGACTCATCAGGTCTGAAAGTGACCTGGAAGAGGCATTATTGGTAAATAAGGAAAATCTGCCACTGTCACTGTCACTGTTAATAGATGTAGTCAGGAAGAGGGTAAATTCTGAGGAACAGAAGGATCCAAAGTGACAGGGAAAAGTGAATTGGTTTTATGGTGGTAAACAAAAAACAGTGCAATGAGTGTGTTGGAAGGAATTATAAGCTGTTGATTCATGTGACTGTGTTTTAAGGTAACTGCTACAGATCTTGAAGGTAGCTGAAAAGGATATTTGAGTGAAAGGCCTTTTAATCATAAGTGGCAGTAAAAAATAAAAATATTGATGAGTTTATAAAATGATGGCATAATAGCAGAAGACTTTAACATCATTGCAATATAAATAGAAGATGTGTACGTTCTTTGAAAAACATCTTTAGTAGTATACGTGCCTCCGAAAATAATAACAGGAGTTCAGAAACAGATGGTTGAAAGTATGACCTTATCTGAAAATGTAATGGAAGTAGATCCATTTAGCTGCAAGTCATGATGAATAAGACAATACATGGGCAGGTGTGCAAAACAGTAGATGGTAAATGAATGAAAAAAAAATAAGAGGGCTCCTACACCCTATATATCTAATAAGTCTTAAATTGGAAGACTGCATATTCTGTAGAGTGTGCAGTTAAGGGTGATTGCATTTGGCAGAAGACAATGGTATACTCAAGAAATGAGAGCATCCAAAACTTCTTATATGTTTTAAAGATGACAACTCACTGATTAACATGTATGTTTCCCCATGGATTTTGATTGTCACCATTGAGCAAGAAAGGACACAGATTCACCAGAAGGCTGGTTTGCACAACAGCCTTTAATACGAAAAGCTCTCCTCTTTTATAGACAGCTTCGACACATTCCACCTGATTGGCTAACAAAAGCATCTTTCTCACAAACAGTCCTTGAGAAGAACAGAAAAACAGAGTAGGAAAACACCACCTGCAGGTTGTTCATAAAAGTTATCATAGTTTCTTTACAACTCCCTAAAAGTCTCACAAGTTCACTGTGAGAAAACAAATCTTGTTTTCTCGCTCTCTGACCAGGCTGTCACATCCTCCTTTAGGTCACTTAGAATAGTCCACCTTGGGAGGTAACAGAGATCTAGGTTGAGAAAGGTGCTTTTAGGGTTAGACTGAAGGGTGAACGCTGGGCTGTAAGAGAATGTGCTTGCTTGGTGCAAAACTTGTTCTGCTCAGGGTTCAAAGGTTTTAACGCAGCCCTCTGATCTCACAGCTGCATTATCAATCTAATGCAGAAAAGACAGTGTCATACTCACTCTTTTCTAAACAGCATTTGAATTATTTCCTGTACAAAGATTCCACTTCAAGAGGCAAGTCAAGGAAGTCTGTTTTGCAGAATAGCCTGTGGCATCATCACTGAAATGCTCTGCTGTCCTTGTCTCAAAGCTGTCACTTTGCTGTATGCTGACTTGACAGCCATACAGGAGCAGTTTGTGCATGAAAACATGAATGAATGAAATTGGATCTTAGGTTTATAAGTGTCAAACCACTGGTTGATACTTAGAAATGATTTGATCTGCAAACATCTGGAAAGGGCCTCTACCAAAAGCAATAATTTGCCTTTTGGACCAGGACAGATATTGTTAGTAGCCTCTTTGACAGCAGTGTTGCTATGGTCCCATAAGGAGAGCATAATTATCAATTTGCTTTTTTCAGATAATGCTGTTTTTAAGACAGTTATTGATGTGTTCATCTTTCCATTGAAGATGGATCTCCTTCTCTAACTCACGAATAGATTTTTTTAATTTGAAAATACATGCCTAAACTGAGCATACTTGAACTGTTTACTAAGCCCAGTTTCCTCTCTTCTCTTTAGAAATTTCCTGTGATTTGTTAGTTGTAGGCATAGTAGCCTGGGACATTATAATTGTCCTCAAGAACAGAAAGAATTGCTGCAATTACCTAGCAAATAAAAGAATAAGTGTGGAGAACCCTTTGGAAAATTGGGGTTTAACAGTCCCTTTCAATATATGTTTTTAAAAAGCTAGAGCTAGAAACAAAATCTGGGAGGTGTTACCTTCAGAGAGATGAAAATTTAATTACGTTTACATTTATTCTCAAAATATTAGAGAATGGCTGTGAATGGCTGTTGAGGCTGCCTCTTTGTACACAAGTATATATTCCTAGTAGAATTCCTCTTTTGTTGAGAGAAGAACTTGAAGGATATTGTTTTTAACAGGGAGTTCTACAAAATTTCTGAAATTAATGTATCAATTCTGCGGTTTTCATTCAACAGAGGATTTAGCAGAGTCCTGGTTTAAGAGTGTGTGGTCCTGACACTTGGAAGGCATGTTCACTGAACAAAGAAATGTGGGACATAATTTACCCACAGATCTCAAGAGCAGCCTGAACACATATCAGAGGTAGATGGATAAAGGAAAGAGGGTATGTGCTTTCTGTGCTCTGTGAATTCACTTTTTGCAGCCATCAGAGAGAGGCGGAATTGCCGGGACGGGGCTTGCGCTGCAGTCTGTGCTTGATCAGTGATACAGCCGAGTAGCTGGTGTGTAGCACTTCCTGGCAGAAGTTCTGTGGCCACCAGAAAATGATTTGTCAAGTAGCAAAGATTAAGGAAGAGAGAAGGGGCTCTTGAAGAGGTTTCTTAACTCTCTGCTGGGTCCATTGATAAAATCCCTATGAAGTTCTGTATGTTGAACCCCTTGATGATCTTAGTCAAGTGATTCTCTGGTGTCTCGTGAAAGCTCAGCATGAGATAAAGGTTCCTGGGGACTGGTAGGCAGGTGTTGAGGGAGCAGCCTGCCAGTGCTGGTGTTTTGGCCAGAGAGGTAAAAGTTCACTGCCATGAATATCAAAAGGAATTCATGAGACAAAACCTGAGAAGCTTCAGCTGAAAAAGCTGTCCAGACAGTGCTTTTGATGAAAGAACTGATAAAAGGCTTTTCAAGAATGTCTTCTAGATTATTGTAGGTAAAAACTCAAACCTACAAACATCCTGATGTATTTTAAATTAGTCTTAAAGGGACTATTAACAATAACATTTCTCATACATTTTTAGAAAAGATCAGGAAACTTCCCATGTTATTTCTTAAATTATTAATTATCGTTTACTGATTTAAGTTAGGTATCTATCTTTGTAGGAACAATTTCTGGTGTAAATGCTGTTCCTTAGAGTTTTTTAAAGAAATTAACACAGTGCTCCAGAGTGCAGGAATGCTATGAGGCAAACAGTTTTTTAAAGCTGTTGTATCCTTTTCCTCAGTTTATTCCATTTCCATGGACATTGTGGCATCTCGCAGCTCTGGATAGTCATTATCTGACATTATGCTTAAGACTGTCACATGAGTATGTGGATAGGTCACAATCTGAGTTACAAATTTTTTCAGTGTTTCAGCTACATTTAAAAATGTGTTTTTCAGCTATTTCATATATATATATAAAATAATACACTAGCTGTTTATATCTTATATGCTACAATGAGCTAGTTTTTTTAGAAGCTTCAAAAGTTAATTTTTCTACAAGTAAGATTTTTCCTAGTTGCTCTTAAATGATCAACAAGGTAGAAATCACTGTATGTGCAAAAAGTGTTAAGGAGCAGGGCAGTAATTGCTTTCCTTGATTTTAATACTTGTTTTGCATACTTTTCAATATTTTTATATATGAAATATCAAGAGTATGATATTTTTTTCATTTATGTAAGATGAGTTTCATTTCTGAATATCATATATGCCAAAGAATGAATTTGACATTCAAGATGTCCAGTCATATTCTAAGTTCTGCAGCACTGAAGCTCACAGTTATCGTCTAATGATAATTAATTCAGATATAATCCTTGCTGTGGTTTAATATAATTTCATTTTAAAAAGAAAAGAAATTTTCTATTTGCCACATGTTGTTTGAATTACGCTCCATGTGAATAAAGTTGTCATTGTTTTTCTTTTTTCTTTTAACTCACTTTGAAGACACAACTATGGCTGCTACAGTGAACTTGGAGCTGGATCCCATTTTTCTGAAGGCCCTGGGCTTTTTGCACTCAAAGAGTAAGGACTCTGCTGAAAAGCTGAAAGCACTTCTTGACGAGTCGTTGGCCAGAGGAACTGACTCGAGCTATCGTCCCTCTCAGAAGGTACTGGTGTTAGGGAGCACGGCTGCTTTTTGTCTGCCTTAATAAAGCTCCTGCCATTCCTGGTTCCTCTTTTACAGCTGAAAGGTTAAAAGAGAGTCAGAAGTTGAGGAAAAAGTAATTATGGAGTGTTCATATTCATCATATTCATCATTCCCCTTTTCCATACAACATAATCCATTCAATTAATGGAAGTTAATGTGAAGAAAATCTCTTTACCTTGTTGATCCACCAAGACTTAAAAGAGATATTCAGCATTATATCAGACATGTTGTGTAAGGTGCCCCCAAGCTTATATATTTCTGCAGTTACATTTCAGAGCTAAAAGTTCTTTAAAATATAGATTACCTTTGCCATAGAGAAATAAGGAATAAAATAAGCTATTTACCAATAAAGCTGTATCTCTTTCCTTGAAATTCTGTTGATGAAATCATATGAGAAAAACACCAAATGGTTCAAAACAGAAATTATTTGCAGGCTGAAACCATTGCTGTCCAATGGACAAACATTACTTTTTATCTACTGAAAATCACTGAACACCTGCTAGAGAGAGTATTTGACTCTGAGATGAGCGTATGGAAATAACCAAGCAGGGACATCCTTGTGCTGCTGTGCATTGCCATATGGATAATGAGGTCTTGTTCTCCCCTAGGATGCCTGCATGTCAGCCTGCTGTGTTTTAATGATGGTCTGTATGCTGATACATTTGCAATATTTCATTTCTACGTGCCTCCAAATAACTGAAAGGCACCAGTACCGCTCAGCATACATCATAATTTACTGTGTGGTTCATTCTGGTAACTCCCTGAAACCTAACACAGGTCTCAAAACTCTCAAGTGCCCTTTATCTCAGAGCTCAAAGAAGTGTGTGGTTTAAAGATGAAGCAGGGAGCCAAATAACACTGCAAAGAGGTTTGGGAAGCCAGTTCTAATAACAGCTTGGCTGGAAGTCACCTGCCCTCAGGTGAAACTGAGGCTCAGGCCAGAGGAAGAAATCTTTTGTTCTCTTTTCAGTATATATCTAATATCAGCAGGACTGCAAAGGTCAGAAATGAAAAAAAGTTACAAGCATTCCTTTCCTTGCATTTGCAGGCTGCAGGGTGAATTTGTGGCTGACCATGAAATCCAAGAAGAGAGTAGGGAGCACAGGATTACCACAGTCAAGTCAAGGAGCTTTGGAGGGCTGAAGCTCAGGCCTTAGGGCCTGTCCCAGTATACAGCAGAGACTTGCTCCCATCTTACCAGCTGAGAGGGGTACCTTGCTCGTGCCCATCAGTGTGACTGGTCGCTCATTTACAGAATCTCCTGATTATTATCCATTTGCTGACATGAATGTGTCATTAGTGATCACCATTGATTTCTGCTTGAAATCTAAATTTATTATTCTGATAGACAAATATGGACTGAGATTAAGAGGAGGTCAATATTTGTCTCCATGAAGGAATGAATTATTGATGTCTGGTTATATCAGTTATCAGTTTGTGTTTTTAGCTTATATGGAATTTTGTCCTTAGAACTATCTGAAAATTCATATTCATTGCCTCTTTGAATTTTAAAAGCAGAATCTCCTTTTTAATTAATGTTCCAAAGAGGATCTGTCTTTGGAAAAGGAATATCTTTTCCTCAGAAAGGTGAGTGGTAAGGGAAGATTTTATTAATTCTCTGCAATGTAAATGCTAATTTGTTGATGTGATATGAAAATATTTTAAGAAATGGGGGTTTTTTTAGAACGTGTATATGTAGATGATCAGTGTTGTATGGCATATTATTTGCCCGTCCTTTTATCTCACTAATTGCAAATTAGGTAGAAATTCAGTAGCAGAATTTGGCTGCAATTTTTGTTTCTGTTTCCAGGAAGTAGAGCAACCAAAAGTATCTGTCACCAAACCCATTAAGCAAGAGCCTAAAGCTTCATCTAGTTTGCCTTCTGGCAACAACAATGGCAAGCCCACTGCATCAGAAAAGGTGAAAAAAGAAACAGAAAAGAGATCTGCAGATAAAGTAAGTTATTTTTGTTCTCTAGTGAAATAACTTGGTTAATAAACCCAAAGGTGTTTTAGACAAAAGCTCCCCCTTTCAACTCGTCTTCAACTCATCTAGCCTTTGAGCTACATTAACCAGTCATGTTGCCATTTAGGCAATCTAACAAATGTCTTCTTGTAATTATTCTGTGATTGTTTTCCCTCTCATTGTGGGGAGGCTGGATTTAAAGGGTGCCTTCCAAACCGTTCTGTGTTTTAAATCCTATGAGATAATCTCATATGATCTCATAAAAGATTACTAAAATGTAGCGAGTTGAAATATGATATTCCCAAAGCTTTTCCAAGGATTTTGAGGTGAAGTGCAAAAAGGGGCTTGAGCTTCTAGTTCATAAATATTTTGAAGAAAATATGTAATTAAAGAAGCATATTGTGTGTACGCTGGGTAAAGTATACCTTCTTACACTGCTCATATAATTGTTCCATTTTAACTCATTTTAATAATCTGTTAGTTGTATTTTCACATTCTCTGTGTGTGTGTTTAATAGACAAAAGGGGATCCTGCTGAAGGAGCTGATGCACCAAAGAAGCCCAGGGTAGAGAAGCAAGAGGCTCGTTCCTCTCCTATTACAGTTCAGACAAGCAAGGATTTATCCATGCCTGATTTATCTAGCTTTGAGGAAACCAGTGCTGATGACTTTGCCATGGAAATGGGATTAGCCTGTGTTGTTTGCAGGTAAGTCAATCTTGCTTCTTTCCAGCTAGGTATAGTTACTTTTTTTTTTAATTGTGTATCACTGAGATAATGCTTCTCAAAGTTTTTATTCCAGAAAGCACTTAATCACTTAATATCCAAAATTGATAATACATTTAATGCTCCTTCATGAATAAGAATGGTTTCTTGAAAATGGAAATTTTAGAAAATGAACCAGCTTTTTTTCTGCAGGAAAGGACGAGTGAAAAATAAAACTAGATAAGATGCAAAACCTATAATAACAAATACATTTTTCAATTACTGGAAAACAAAATATTAATATCTAGCAATAAACATTTTTTTAAAAAATCAGTTCTCATTTGAAAGCACTTTCAGGTGGTATTACTGTGAGATCTGTATGTGTTGCTCTTCTTTTTCTAATCATTTGACATTAGTTTACACATAGCCATGTTTTATCAGCAAATATATCTTGCAGTGAAGACAGGTTGTTTTTAGGTTCCAGTAAGGTCTCTAAAACTGGACTTATTAACATGGTACTAGCAGTCCATTTAGTGTTAACAGATGTACGAAATACTTTTGAATAACTATCCTAGGATCAAGTCACTCACATCAGGATTTTGTTTCAGAGATAATTTATATCCTTGCTAGGCCCAAGTGCTGCCAAAGGGAACAGTTTGGCTCTCCCAATTGTACCTCCTTCCCTGGACTGTTTAGGGGAGGGTGTATTGTCAGTACAGTTTGTGATCAGCTGGATCAGCTCTCCACGTGGTTTTTTCAGTAGGTTTGTGTTTCAGTTAGCTCAGCAAGAATAAATTCTTATGCTGGCACATGTATGGATGCAGGAGTGTAGAGCCAGGACAGAGAAGAGGGACAGGCCTTCTGGCAGCAGTATGTATTTGAGCTCAGCTTGAGTCAGTTGGGAAACAGTGTCCTATAATATTATTCTATCATCATTTCCATGCTCGTTCCTGTTGTGGAGATAGGGAAGTGTTGTCAGTGCACAGAGGATGAGTTTCTGTAGTTACAGATGATTATAGTGGTGACCAGCTGGGGACTGATGGGATTTCATGTTATTCCCATGTGTTAGCACAAGTATTTAGTTTTTTATTATAGACATTGAAAAGGGAAGAAGTATATAAATATCTGAACTTCACCTTTTTTCCTGCAAATTCTATTTTTCCTGTCTCCTAAAAGAGGCAAAGCCCCATTTAGTGGTATGTTAAAATGCTACTAAAAATAGTAAGGTATTACCTTGTTTGGTAGGAGGGAATAATGAAGTTTTGTTTATACAGTCTTGACCTGCTGTGGATGATTAATTCTGTGTCTTCAATAGCAAAGCAAAACACTTGCAGGCATTATGAGAAATGCCTCCAAAGTAAAGAAACAGAAGAAAGAAAATGCAACTCCTGTGCCCAGTGTAGCCAAGACTTTGAAAGGCACAGGCCAGATACGTGGTTCCATTAGCTGTTCTACAATCCATGTTTATTTAACCTGGTGGCTGAAGGCTTTGCTTCTACCCATTCATGGTCACCAACTCGAGTGTTCTTGCAGAAGATGTCTCTACTCTGTCTAACTAAAATATCTCTGATGCCAGACAGAGGGAGAAGCACTGCTGGGGAAGGAGCAACTCATTAGAGAGTGGCAGCAGTCACCCCAACACTGTGGATTGTTTCCATTTTACATGGAACCTGCTGAAACTTATGTCACATGGTTGTCTGTCTCCAGCTCACACTGGACAGGATGTTTTTCAGAGGACTTGTGCTTTAAAGTTCTGAATCCAGCACATTGGTCAGACAGTATTCCTCTATTTATTGCACCCTTTTTGGGGTAATATCTTGAGCCAAAATAATAACATCTCTGCACATTTTTAAAATTACATCTTTTAATAATTAATTATTCAAACAGTTGTGAATGAAAACATGTCAAATCGCAGAATAGGTGGAGTTCATAGCAAAAGAGTTTATATTTATATTGCTTAAGAAGACAAGCTAACAAGAACCCAGCTTTGGGTTTGCAAATGCTAAAAAGTGCTTTTGAATGTTAACTATTCCTTTTTATAGACTTAAAAACTAAGGCAGAGGCATGAAATGTTTCTTCAAGATTTGCCAAGTGTCAAATGTATTCTCATAGTGATTAGGTGTAATTATTGTTGATGCCTGTGGTGTTTTTCTTCTTGTTCTTTTATATAAAGTTAGTTATTCTTTTTTACTAAGTTAGGCAGTAGTCTGGGAAAAACAGGACAACTTACCAGTTATGGAGCCTCCTCACTGGCTCCTCACTGGCTCCTCAGTTGTACAAGGAGGAAATACTACACAAAGTTTGTCAATGATAGCGAAGTTTTCGTCCCAAAAAAATTTTTTTAAAAGACTGGTTTGGAAATAACAACCTAATTTTCTATGAATACTTGTTTGATTGGTTTATTTTTGAAGGTAAACAATCATTAGGTTTGTTTGTTAGTTTTCTTACAATTTTAAAGTAAGTGGTTTAACTTGTTTCTGAGCATGAAGAGTTCATCGGTTTTTAATCAGTCGGGGATTGGTTTTTGTAATTTTAAAATAGGATGAGTCTTCCTTCTTGAGACTATCTGTTCTGATCCAGTTTATTTAGGAATAAAAACCAAACAAAATATCTTTTAAATATCCTGAATGTCAAATAATGGACCTTAGAATTTCAGAAAGGTTTCCCTTTCTCTTTTTAAGTAGCTTGTTTAAAAGAGAAATCTTTCTTAGAAAATGTTCCAGTACTTATGTGGACAATACCTTCAGACTTTGTTTTTCTGTTATATAAAGAAATAAGGGATTACCTTTCCCCATGTATCTACAAATAGAGTTTCCATGGTTACCTGGGTACCTGCTCCTCGGGGATATGAGCAAAAGCAGCTTAGCAATTAAATAGCTTGATTTGTCATCTGAAAGAAGGAATCGTTAGGAAAATGGTATTTGGGTAATTCACAGGCAGACTCCCAGCCATGTATATATCACTAATGTGTCATTTATACAGCGTGATTACTTTCAGAAAGGCCCACACAAAATGAAGCCCTCATCACCAGCTTGCATGTTTGCTTCAAGGCAGGACTGCACAATTAATCCTTTCTATTCCATCTTGGCATGATTCTGGTATTATCTCAATTTCCACGTGTCTGTTTATGAGGTAGAGACCAAAGGGATGGCTAATAAAACATCTTCAAAGTAGCGTAGAGCTTGGGTGATGATGCTTTTAAATCCTGCAGCAGAAAGCACTCCTACATGCTTGTCATTGAGAAATTATTTGTTCTTGAACTGTACTGCTTTGCAGCTCACAGCAAAATTACCCAAATGGAGACTTTCCCTCATATGCTATTTAATGAGGAAGTCATAATTGGCATGCTGTGATGTATCCATAAAATGCCCAGGTGAACCAAAGCGGGAAAGACTTACATCTCTAATGTAAAAATCGAACAGGGAAATCAAGACTGTCATATACACATATTTAATAGAATTAGGAAGTCTTCAAATATCTTGAAAGAAATTACCTTTAAAAAATACTACATTTCTAAAATGTTAGTTAGGAAGAACTGATACAGGAAGAAAAGGAGTACATTCAATTAGCCACAGGTAGAAAATATATGTGAAAGAAAAAATATTTTTATTTTTTATCTTAAGCCTTGCAAAGTTTTCAACAATTGGATAATCCTCTAAGTGCTTTCTCCCATAATCTGTTCTTAACTATTTGCTCTGCAGGCAAATGACAGTTACTTTTGTGAATCAGCTAGTGGAGTGTCAGGAGTGCCATAATCTCTACCACCAGGATTGCCATAAACCTCAGGTGACAGACAAGGAAGTGAATGATCCTCGACTTGTCTGGTATTGTGCCCGCTGTACCAGGCAGATGAAGAGAATGGTAGGAGTCAGTTTTTTGTCTCATGTGAGCACTATTTGAATACAGCAGGCTATTTCTACTGTGTGAGAATATTTCCTGGGTTAGATAAGTCTTAGGAAGCACATTGGAGAACCATTTTTCTCAGCAGTGCTTCCCTTGCTGCAGCTGTGGTTTTTAATGTAGCATCTCAAAGAGTATTCTGTAACGCACTTCTTAAATAAAACTTTTTAAAAATCAGAAGGTGAATGAAGAAGAGTGAAATAGGATTGTTTTCTGCTTGGCAAGCAGAAGTTAAAACCTTTTTTTTTTTAATTTCAGGTGATACTCAGCTTTTAGTAATAACCCTGCAGTTTAAGTTTTGTTATCAGCTTTGGATATGAATGGTTCTTGTAGTCTGTAGGACAAGACTGCCAATTTCAGTCTGACGTGTTGAATGCTCTCAGGGTCAAAATTAAGCTGAGGGTAGCACATTTCAGTTTCAAAAAAAAATTATTAAAAAAAAAGCACCTTTATTTTTATTTATCTGCATGACTGAACAATATCCTACCAGATTCCCACTCATCTCGTTATGAGAAAGAAACATAAGAGATTTGGGTGCATGCAACAGTAGTGACTTTAGTTCTGATGTTTTAAAATTACACCCAAGATTACAGAAAAATACAGGAGAAAATGTGTTTTGAAACTGTTTTGCGATAACTAGCAAGTGTTACCTGTTGGAATTGCTCCACTAAGAAACAAGGAAAGAAGGCAAAGTAAGATCCTGGCCTAGGATGTACCAGCATTGACTGAAATACATGATTATTCTGATGATCATCAGGCCTTTGAACTCAGAGGAGTGTTTGCTGGAGGTCAGTTCCTGCACAGAGTAGCCAGTTTTGCCATTGAGCAGTTACTTTCAGTATGGCCTTTCCTTTTTTTGTTTTGGCATGAATTCTGCCGTTTTGCCTGCCACTTCTTACCAGGCTCTTGCAGTCTACATCCCAGTACTGCTGGACTGTGTCCTTGTCTTTTGCAAGTTCACCTGTCTTTGCCTTATTCCTGTAAAGGCCCAGTGCTTTCCTGCTCTCCAAGCATCAATACTGCCACTGTCTCCACACTGAAATAGCAAGTTCTGTTCAGGATGCTTTTTGGCTGGACCCTGTCTCCAGTACCATACCCAGCACATCTTCACATCCCCTGTTGCCTCATTTCTCAGGGGCCATTAAACCTGAAATTGTAAAGGCTAGATTGCAATCTTAAAATGCTCATGCCTTTTGTTAACAGTCAAAACAGTCCATGTTATGTGGCCTGTAACTTACTGAGGTTGTTTTTTTCCTACCATTTACACAGGCTCAGAAGACACAAAAACCACCTCAAAAACCAGCTCCTGCAGTGGTTTCAGTTGCACCAGCTTTGAAGGATCCATTGGTCAAGAAACCAGAAATCAAGTTAAAACCTGAGACCCCACCAGCTTTTCTGGCATTCAAGAGAACAGAAGTCAAGGTAATGTAGTTTAAATTTACCAGAGGAAGAGTTTGTTTCACTGCAAAGATAATAGGGTTTTTTCAATTAGACCAATCTTTTCACATTAGAACCATAATTGAAAGTAGTCTCTTATACTATGTGGACTGAGTAGTAGCAGAGCATAGTGGGTTTGCATGAACACTGAAAGAATAGGAGGAAAAAAGCCTCACTTCATGTGTGGATGCCCCATCTCTGGAAGTGTTCAAGGCCAAGCTGGGTGGGGCTCTGAGCAGACTGGTCAAGTGGAAGGCATCCCTGCCTATGGCTGGGGGATTGGAACTAGATGATTTTCAAAGTCCTTTCCACAGCCTGAACAATTCTATGATTCTATGAATTGTATAAAATACATTATTTGCTCTTTCTAGTCAAGTAACATATGTGTATTTTGACACTTGGAAGGCTTTTTCTCATGGCAACAGTGGTCCTGACTGTGCTGGGTTTACACTTGAATTTGATGATCTTGAAGGTCTTTTCTAGTCTAGATGGTTCTGTGATTCCATTGTAGGGAAAGTGTTGCTGACTCTGTGAGATTTAATTTAGGAGCTTCTTAAATATAATCTGATCTAGGAGGTGGCATTCCTGCCCATGGTAGGAAGGTTGGAACAAGATGATCTTTTAAGGTCCTTTCCTGCCCAAACCATTCTGTGATTCTCTTCTTTAATTCTGTGTTGCCTCATGTTTCTGTTTTTCCAAGTTAAAATATTGAGTAAAGGTCAAATTGGTCAAAGGCGGTAAACCAGAAGCAGTGTAATAAATAACAGAGTAGTCTAATAAAGCATGACCTTTTCTTAGGAAAATATAGTTTTATCTTAAAATTAAAGCATTTATTCATGTGCTCAAAGTTATATTTGCCATTGCTTTGCTTGGATGCAAACCATCATGAATACTAGGATGGGTATTGCTCTGGCATTTAGACTTGTGAATGACTTTTTTCACCCCAGCAGAATTATTTATGTGCCTAAACAGGTTGTAAGAACTGGGGCCTGATTTCTTCCATCAAATTTACTGTTTAGAAGTTGTCTGGGTATAGTATAAAAGGAGTATTACTTTAATAGAGAGATTTCGTTTTTGCTTTGACTCTGCCATTTGGTCTAACTCTGATTTAAATCAACAAATTATCTTCACCTGAAGCCTGGGAATAGTAGGGTTTAAGGTGTGCGAACTCAGTGTGGATAACACAGTGCTTCACAGGCAAAGGGAACCCATGTTTGCTGAAAGTTTGTCTTTTGCAGTACCTGAATGGGAAAAGACTATAAGATAGTATTTTTTTTAATTCTCTGTGGTACAAGTTGCTCAGAATCAAGAAGAAAGGAAACAGTTTAGATCCTGCTACTTCAACAGTTTCTTAAAATAAATGCAATACTTAATTGCTCAGTGTCTGATTTTTGTCTGAGCATCTGTCAGCTTGTTGAAAAGTGACACCTGGTAACAACAGTAAACAAATAAAAAAGAAGACAAGCCACCACCTTTTATATAGTTCACAAATTTGGGCTTTTATTGTTTATAAATAAAACAAATCACAGTGCTGATCAGTAGCTACTAAGTGTACAGAAGAAAGGGGAGAAAGGATACTATGTTCTTTGTGCCTGGGAGATTAAAAGTTGGCTGCACCTGGCATCCTTTCCTGTTCTTGTTAGTACTTTTCAACTGTGGTGACCAGTGATGAAATATTGTCCACTCGCTGGGTGTTCCTGGGAAAAGAACTGAATCAGAGGCTCAGTGTATTCCTGCTGCGATGTGTTACACAAATAGAAGCTGCTATAATAAGAATGCTTATTTTTTTTAGACCTCAGCAGCAGTTTCGGGGAACTCTGCCAGTACAAGCGTTTCCTCTTCAGCAACGAGCGGCCTTACAGGATGGGCTGCTTTTGCAGCCAAAACCTCCTCTGCCAACCCTTCAACTGCCAAACTGGGATCGACGGCACAGAATGCCAGCGGGAAACCCGCAGCTTCCTCAAATAACCAGAAACCCGTGGGTTTGTCAGGGCTGGCGACTTCAAAGACAGGACTGGGGGCCAAAATAGCTTCTGCCAACAACAGCACAAACCCCGTTCAGCTGAAGCCTCCCCCGCCGCTGACCCTGGGCAAGACGACGCTGAGCCGCTCGGTGAGCAGCGACAACGTGAGCAAGGCGGGGCTGCCCAGCCCCAGCAGCGCCGCGCCCAGCGCCGGCGGCACGGCCGGAGGCGGCAACGGCGGCGGCGCCTCCGCGGGCGGCAGCGCGGCCGGAGCCGCCAAAGCCGCGGCCGACAGCGGCAGCCAGCCCGCCCCACTCAAGGGCCCGACCTCGCAGGAGTCCCAGCTCAACGCCATGAAAAGGCTACAAATGGTCAAGAAGAAGGCTGCTCAAAAGAAGCTCAAGAAATAGTCTGGCTGCTTGCTGATGTTGTTGGTTGTGGGCAGTGAAACAGCAGCGTCGGTGTTTTACTTAAAGGAAATCCCCCCAGGTACTGGACTGAAAGAAGTTAAATCAGGGAAGCCCAAACCTTACAGAAGGTCAAACTTTAATAATTCTCGGAGTCCTTCTGCCTTTCCAAATCTGTGAATTGAATACGTTAGAGGAATTCATTATTACATGCTCCTGGTTTTGTAGCTCAAAGCACTGAAACTTGAAATTGTAGATGTTGGGTATTTTTTAATATTAAAACCCCACATTTGTGTAGATCCACATTTGTGTAGATACTTAATAAATTGAACTTGCTGAAACCATCATTCTTAAATGTTAATAATAAAAGGATTATTAATCTGGGAAGCCATTGCCACTCTTCTTTTGCCCCATATTCCAAAACTTAAAACGCTTCAGATGTTCAACATTGTGCAGTTTATTACCTCAAATTATAGAGCTTGTTAGAGGAAAAAATACTTTAATGTAAAAATTTAACTGTTCAATAAGAGTGTATTTAAATTGAGATTTTTGTTTGGCAGTTTGCTAATACAGTGAGAAACTTCAACTAAAAAGAACAGAAGAGAGTCAAAACTGTCTTCAAGTTTTCTTAAAATGTAGAGAACTATCCTGTATTTGAGACGTATCAGGTACTTCAGCTCTCCACTGTTACCCCTGAGCTGTTCTTCATGGTTTGTGCTCCCTCTCTTCATACCAGCTGCTCCAGGCTGTTTTCAGCTTAGAACTGACTCAAGGTGGGCACTGGAAAATGACCTTGAGTCTTGCTCTCTGTGACCAGCATGTGGCAATTTCCCTCTATTCTTTCTGTGATGAGGGAAGCATCTCTAAACATGAAAACATATTGGACTGTATTGAGTTTCCATGACCAATGTTATTTTCTTCTGATCATACTCTGATTTGATGGGTAATGGGTCACATTAATCTTCCCAAAGCCGAGTCTTGCCCATGACGGTAATTGGTGAGTGATTTCTCACTCCCCTTATCTTGACCTATGACCCTTCCATCTTATTTTCTGTGCCCCCCTTCCCAGCTGAGGAGGGGAGTGAGTGACAGAGCAGCTGGTGTGGGCACCTGATATCTGTCCATGGTCAACCCACCACACAGACTGGCACAGGTAGGTGATCTTTGCCGTGCTGTATTTTAAATGTGTGTAAAGCTTGATATGTGGCAGCTATTTCCCATACCTCGTTTCCTGTCTCCACAATTAAGATTTAGGCTAAAGCTCCTTAAACAGCCAAAGGAATAGTTTCATCTACTCAGGATTGCCTCAGCTGCCTGGAAAATTTGCATATTTTTTCAGCTATTATTTCCTGTGGAGGGAAAAAAAAAAAAGGTGTTATCTTTGTAGTGCTTGCAGCTTCCAGGGCTGTGTAAAAATATCAGCATTAGGAGGGGGAATCCAGAACTTTTACTGCTTTTTGATCGGCCCATCCTTCCTCCTTTCCAGCACAGAGGGTTTTTAATGGTAGCATAGTAGGAAAAGACACTGATGCAGTTTCCATTGGCAAACAGAAGGTATATTTTCTTCCTAAGTATTAAGTGTTGCCTACACTAAAAAGTAGTGTGAAGATAGATTCTTTAAATGGCCTAGTGCTCCTGTGTGAAGTGTTCATTTCAGTAGTAAAACCTGCTCCCAGAAGAGTGTTCAAGGTGCTAGGTGCCTCTGTCTTGTCTCTGAACATACATAAAGCTTTGGTTGTGAAAGTGCAGGAGCTTACATCTCAACTGTGCCTATTACTTTAGGTACCACCAGTGGGGTGAACACAGGCAGAAAAAGAATGATCCTTGTTTTCACATTGTGGTAGCTAGTGCCATTTATAATATTCTTCAGACCCGATTCATCTTTGCATCTATTACTCTGGCGTGGATGGACTGTAGGGTCCCTCCATTCAGAGTGAAATAAGTGATGCTGTGCTTCTTTTGCATGCCTCTCTTTTCCCTCTAATATGGCCAAGTCTGGCTGCACTCATCGATAGCACTGCATTAGCAAAATCTCCAATACAGGTACAGTTTGCATCAGCAAAAGACTTCCACTGTAACTTTCCCAGCTTCCTAAATGAAATACAAAGTCGTCTTCTGTTGGTATAAAAATGTCAGTTAGGATTGTGATTCTTTGAAGTATTTTATCAGAAAGGATTTATAGCACAGACCAGGTCTTTTAAATCAAGTGTTTAGCTTGAATATGTTAGATAGGCGCTGCTGAAAAATAGAGAAGATTGAAGGGAACAGTTGCTTTCTGCTTTGATGTTATAGTTAGGATGGAATTAACAACTGTATTTTCAGGAAAGGAGTCTGTTCTACAGGCTTGTTTGACTGAAGTCGTGTGTCAGGTTGAGGAGTATAGTGTAGAGCAGGAAGAAGGAGTGCCCGTCTGAAATTTGAGAAGCGTGCCTCCTATTTAGCAAAAATAACTGGAAAATAGTCCTGATTTTTCTATCCCCAAACCAAATTGCTCTGTGACTTATTATAAAAATAGCTACCTGACTTTTCTTAAATATTTTAGAATATTTAGTATTTTACTTCCACTTAAATAGGATGTTTTTTTCATAGATGCCCAATTTCTGATACCTTCAGTAATGTGAAATTATAGGTTACTTTGGTTCCATGAGTGCTGCTTCTGGCTGGACTAGGGGATGCTGGTGATACCTGTCTCTAAAACAAAGGTCTAACACAAGGCTCTATGATTTACAAACTTTTATCTACTTACAGCTCATAGTGGTCACAATCTCAGGAGCAGCGGGAAAAGAACAGAGCTATGCTGACATCTGGATCCTTGAAGAGTATTTTTAAACTTCCTTAGTATTTTTGATAGTGCTTGAAAAGTCTAACATATTGATCAATAAGGTAGGTGCATCCTAGAAATGCAGCATTTTATCTGAGGCAACTAACTTTCCTCTGCTAACTTTGCAGGCAGATCTTGGATAGCATATAAAGCTCTTTGCTTCTGGAAAACATCATGTTTAAAAAAGTAAGAAGAAACATCTTTACAAAAATAGATTTTTATTATTACAATAATTTAAAAGAAGATTTATTTTATTAGTTCTCAACAGACAATATTGTAATAGGAATTAACAGTAATGGATCTATGGGAACAAGGATTATCATGGCTGTGTTTCCTAGTGCAGGTGGTAGGTCCACTTCATCTATCTTCATTTTTAAAAGCTATCTTAAAATGACAGCAGAAGTATATTTTAGTGTTTGAAGGAGGTAATTACTCAGTGAAGCTTCCAAAGATGAAAAGTCAGAAGGAATAATTCTTCAATCTGTGTTTGCTTTGAAAAGCTGAACCCCTACTTGAAGATCACCCAGCCAAAGGGAAGATGGTGAAGCACAGCGGTCAGAGCCAAGCACTCTGCTGTGTACTGGCTTGGACATTTTCTGGGTTCCAGGTTATCAATGGCAACACATAAAAATATTCCCTGAATGGAGGAGCACTTCAGTTTGAGTGGACCCAATCTTGGAAGTACTTGTACATATTTATTGTCACAACAGCTTAAATAAAACACACATTTGAACAAATGCAAGATCAATCCAGCAATCTGCAGCCTGTCCCTGCTTCAATCAAAATTAATTAGTTTTGTCATCAATGAGAATAAGAAAGCTCTTAGAATACTGTAACCTTCCCTATATTAAAAAAAAAAAAAAATCCAGATCAAAACCATTGCATATTCTTACAATTTTGTGGAGCCCTAACACAGCTCAGTTTCTAATGCACTGTCTTAACAAAACTGTGACTAAGCAAGTCTAATATGAATTGATGTAAATCCTTAATTTGGAAGGCTTTAGATTCAAGGAGCATCTCTTAATTTTCTGCAATTGTTGTTTGCATTAATCTGTTTTAAACAAAAATAGAAGTGCGATATATTAATAGTATCAAATGATTTGAGTATCAAACAATTTGAGTTTCTGAAATGGACTAAGCCAATCCACCTGGGTACCTAATTACATATATACTTTTACTGTATCCCAAGTTACAAGGTTACAATAAATTCATATAATTATCCCACAATATAAAAATTATTATGGATCCTAATCCTACAGGGATTTCATTTGGCCTACTAGGAGTTTCCATATCCCTCAGAAATTCAGGTGGCCAACTCCAGTACATTCATCCTTCATTCCTTGTTACTTCAGAATCAGGATACCTGGCAAATATTTTGGAAAGTAGCATTTGAGTACTCCTTAAGACACCTTCACAGAGTCTGATTCTTCATCGGGAATGTACCTAACACTCAAAATCTGAGCTCTCCTGTGACTCAAGCTGAGTTCTCAGTGCTAAGACTTCAGAAATCTTTTTTTCTTCTTTCCCTTGATTAATTTTGCTGTCTGAAATACAAAACTTCATCATTGTGCTTACATGACTGCATTAAGTCTATTAAGTACAATTCAGTCATCTCTAAAACTGTTTCATCTATTGGAAAGTATAGATCTTCTCCAAATAAAATATTCTAAATTGTAAGACAGTGCTGAAAACTGTCTTACGTGTATCTTGCCCATAATCTCAAAATATAAAAGCCAAAGCAGTAAAAGGGTACCAGTAAGTCTTTCAGTCCATTCTTGCAAGCTGATACTCCCTCTGCACTTTTATTTTCTCCATTTAACTAAAGGTGAAGCTTTCCATAAAAGCAGCTAAATTCATTCATTAAATGATTGAGAATCCTTTTTGCTTGCTATGGGAATAGCAAGACTTAAGCGCCTGAGGTGATATACAATAAGGCAAAATAATGCTCACTGGATAGCAGTAGTACACAGAGATTCCCACACCACATTCTGGATATCTATTTCTGAGAGCTCTAAAAGTTTCTCTATCCTATGATTTAATCCAGCACAAATTTCAGGTTTAATCTCTGTGAACCTCGGCTGCATTCAGTCTCTGAGTAAGACTGACAACTTTTTCTACCCTTCTATGAAAATAATCTGAAAATTGAAGACATTAAAGAAAGTGAAACCAGGTTCAGCAGTATAGCAGAAGCTATTGTGTGTAGCAACTGCCCTAACTTTTCTCATCCTTTGTTTCCTGACAGGTTATTTTCTATTACATCTCTGTAAGCATTTTGAGTCATTTCATCTTCACACCTCACTTTTCAAACTATGGGAAGTAGAAATTCAGATAAAAGCTTTAGAACAATTTATATTTACCCTTGATCAGCAACACTACCTGCCCCTCCTGCCCTTGATTGTAATAGTGTTGTCATTTTTGTCATCAGTACAAGCAATTATGCAATACAGAAAATACCTGATGGGAGTTTACTTTCAGTTGCACAATTTGCAACATACATAATCACTTTTTTTTTTCTTTTTGCAGTGCTTTGCACTAGGTCTTCGTTAATCACTAGAGGACCTTGGCATTGCTGTGGTGAAATACCTTGTGTTGAGCACTCAGATATCAGTGAGAATCACAAGGAGGTGTTTTCTGTTTGCTGTCACCATCAAGTCTATCTTAAGTGCAGGGCACCAGCCTGACCTAGGAATCATAGGAATCACTGCAGTCAGTGAACCTAAAGAAACTTATTGACTAGATATTATGATCCTGGCTTAAGGCATCTTAAGGAATCAGAGAGGCACTAAATAGTCATTGCAAGGCACCACTTGTATTTTCTTCTTTAAAAAAAAACAAAAAAAACCAAAAAAAAACAAACAGTAAATTTCCCAAGACTAATAACACAATTTTCATTTCACTACACAGATCTTGCACTAAAGCAGTTAGTGTGGAGACATATGTGAATTTCAAACCTGGGGCACTTTGATATTGCTACAAACTGTTTCTACCATATGAAGCAGTTGTGTAATTCATTTGAAAATTAAAACTACTTTATGTCACAGTACCTATTTCTAGTGTCCCCTTTTTTCTTTCCTGCATTTCCATATTTAACTAAACATACCTCCTTCCCTGGGACTAGTCACTGGTACCACCACACCAGTGAAATGTTGAAATATTTCTTTAAAAATGAAACCCTTTTCCTTTCCCCATCCACTAATCTCCACTGAGGAAAAAAAGGTTCTTCACAAAAGCAGCTGAGGATAAAAACAGACAATCAAAAAAGCTCAAGTTTTAAGATGTGTCTGTGTTCACTGAGATAACAGTTCAGGAACAACTCAGCCTACAGTATCTCTGATGACAGAATTTGTCCTTTTTCAAGGCTAATTCTCTTCATCTTGAATATTATTTGCTAAATATCATGGAAGAAAAATGTAATTTCATCTGTGATTTGTACTTGCAGGTTGAGTCTTGATGTACGGCGCTTTGACAAAAGAGAAAATTATGGGGTAATAGAAAAGCAAGCTCTTCAGCATGTTAATCAGAATCAGTCTTCCTGTTAAATGCTTCCTCCTTCAGATCTTGACAAGGTGATGGCTTTTGGAGAATGGAGGTTCTCAGTATCATCTGTGTGCTGGATACCATGGCTTCTGTCAATCACTTGTGAACTTGCTTTGCTTGCAGCAAACCTAACAGCTGATTATTCTGTCTGCTTCAGAGAGTCTGGCTCAACAGGCGCTTCCCCTCCTAAGCATATGTCATCTTCCCTAGATAATTAGATGGTACATATCCTTTCTGACCTTTTGCTTCAGCTAGCCACCATTCCTTATTGCCACTAAGGTCGGAAAACTGAAGTATCTTCACCCTCTGGTACTCCTCAAGGCTGAGTTCTTGATCACTTCTAGCTTGAAATGCATAAACAGCATAGAAGATCTGAAAAATGAAAACCATATAAACAAAAATCAGAATTGAAAAGTGTAGCCACATGTTACCGTGTAGCTGTGTGTCAGTAGGAATTCTGCATACAGAAATGTCATAACAGGTGTAAGCCAGCGTTCAACTCCATGGCTTGCAATTTACAGACAGGGCCAAAATAAAAAGTAAAATTGAAGCATCTGCATGACAAACAAACCAATCTCCAAGACCTCCTTACCTTACAACACTGATAAGCTTTTCAGCTCACACCAAGTGGCCATGGATTGGATGAAGAATTTTTCAGCAAGGTTTCCTCATGGAGAATCACCTCTCCTAAAGCTCCTGTGCTCAAATGTGGCACACAGGTCACTTCTGTGCCTTGCTGATCAGCATCCTTGTCACAGCTTTCTTGTCACCAGTAACTTGAAAAATCCCCCAAACTGAGCTGTTTTGCAAGTTTCTGCTCCATATGAGAACCTTGAGGCATACATGGGGTGGGATGATGCAAGAGTGTTTTCTGTGACACTGGACTGTAATTCACAATTTAACTGATTCTCTTTTCCTACCTCACAGATATTTAACATTAGAGAATAACGAATTCCTATGTCACACTGACAGATTGGTGTCACTCTTTTCTGGTGTGAAAGGAAACCATTTAAACTACTAACAGTATAATTTTAGATTTTAAATAGGAAAACAACAAGAAGACAGGCACAGTGTGTGTCATACTTACCTGCTGATCATCCATACCCTGAAGAGCACCAGTCCCCATGCCATTAATTGCAGGATTTTCACAGAAGTGAAAAGGTGAGGTGCTGTCACTCTTCTTGTACCCTGGACTAATTGTGCTGCTGTCAGTACGGGGCCGTGAAGAGACAAAGAGGCTGATATCATCAAAATCATCGTCACCAAAGCCATTTTCTGCAACATCCTTCTGTGCTTTGGCTGGATTGTAAGGCTTCAGGAAGGAGGAATACACATACCCTGTGAGGACTAGAAACCAGAATAAAGGGACAGAAAATAAATAAACAGCAAAATGCTGCTAAAATAATTTCATAAGCAACCATTTTATGCAGCTGTCAGTATGACAGAGGCAAACAGATGGGGTCAGAATGAAAAGAAATCAATATCCCAAAGGGAAGCTGTTATTGGGATATTTGTGCAGAGAACTTACTTCCTGTGTCAACAAGCCATCTGCTCGTGCTTCCAAAGGGATCATTTTGCTCCACAACAGCCACCAGTTCTCCTTCATGCAAGTCAATATCGAATTCCTGCGCAGCGTTGCACTTGCGCTTAGCCTGGTACAGCGACTTGGGGCTGTACATGGACAGCAGCTTGGACCTGTGCTCCTCTGTTTGGCGTGGGGACTCCAGCTGGAAACAAACAAATTATATTTGTCCCCAGTAATGCTGAGACCATTTCCAGATAAAAATCTGTGTGTGCTGCATGTTGAACTGACCCAGCGTTTTTACACACAGACCAAGGAGTTACACTGGGACCAAATATGCAGGAAGAACCTGTCCCACTGCTATATTAACAAGTGAGCAATAAAGGGCAGATTTTAAAGAAATTTAGGATTTTCACTAATTAAAGACCTCTTAATCTGTCCTCTGCTCTCAAAGAGGTGGTGTTCTGTATGTGAATTCTCTCCTGCTTAATTGGTTTTCTGTAGCCATGACCTTTGTATTCCCATGTAATATCACAAGAAAAGCATAATCCAAAAGTGGGCTGAGGTGTGCTAAGGCCACATAACAACTTGCATGATAAGGCTTTAGGCAAAATAATCAATGGTATCCAAATTGGCTGCTTTTCATGTGGAATTACCACTCTAAATGAGGACAAGATGCCATCAAACCAAGGGTTTGGTTGGAGGACAGGGAGGGGGCTGCTGCACATCAATGGGATCTTAACATACCAAAAAGCAAAAGCACCTGGGCCTTCACTGATGCTGAAAGGAATTCTACAACTGCCCCAACTTCTCCTGTAAACCTGCACCCAAGTCCTTATTTTACTGTAAACTAAACACCTAAAACCTCCAGAAACATATGATAAGATTGGGAATGCAGATTTCGTGGTGGATTTTCTGAATCTTCTGCTGTGGGTGTATATGTTTGTGCATACATGTGAACACCAGTACAAATAAACAGAGCTGAGCACAAGGAAAAATATTTTCTGAATGAGAAGACTAAGATGCACCATAAGAGTATTTAACAAAAGAAGTTACCAAAGTTTACATATACCTTATCCTTACCACATGCTTAAAGGCCTAAGAGCAGTCAGAGGTAATTTCAAGTGGAGTTTCAAGATATTAACATGAAAAAAAAGTGAAAAATCTTCAGAAGTTACTGGTCAATGAAAACTTCACTCTAATAACCTAATTCAGCATCACAGTGGAGAGACAAAGCCCAAACCTTTAGGTGGCATAAAAAGGAATTTGTTTCAAATGTGATCAAAAGAGGATGGTTCATACACAATTTGGATGTATGGTACTCACCAGAGAAAGAACAGGTTTCTTTTTTTCCAGGCTCAATTTTCTCTCAATAAAGATTGCACTGCTGTTTTCTTTTACAAAATTCAGCTTGTGAACCTCCTCTATCAATTGATTCTGCACTTCACAGATGCTTGAGGAGGACAGCTGCAAACACAAATGTGGGTTAGATCTCATAAAAAATGGTAGGGAGATTGGAGAGAGCAGATTTAATCTAATTTGCTGAGTGCTAGGAGTCGGGAAATCTGACAAGTTATGCCTATTATCTGCAGAGACCATAAGCAGTGCACTCTCTACGTATGAGATGTAAAGAGAAGAAAGGTCTTTGCTTAAAGAAAGTTTCTAATAGACTCTATTACATTTAAAAGACATAGCAATTGAAGTTAAATCATTAAAAATATTCTAAATTGTGATGAAAATTAAGAGCCTTGCATTTATGCTACTGAGCCACCTGCTTTCAGATGCAAATGGGCATCTCAGCAGCTATCAGAGTGGCCAATGTGCTGGAAAGCTTGGAGTAGTTTACTCCACAGCTGTGTGTTTGTGCATCTGAGAGCTGCCAACAGGTTAAAAATTGTTGGGTAACTGAGTCTCTGTCTGTGGCACTTTACATCTATGCCTAATACCAAAAGCATTTGCTGATGTAAACAGGAAAAAAAGAAAAATAAGGTAATTTCATAGCCAGACCCTCACAGAAAACAAAACCCAATACAACAGCTTTCAACACATGAAAACATTAAATTACAGGAATGAAATTTCTTCATGCAGAAAAAGCCTTCATTTTCCCATTAAACACCGTAGCTTGTTTGCTTAATTTTTCATCTGCCCCTTACTATAATGTGCTGTGTTCCAGCCTTGATGGAAAGGAATACTGCAGAATTGCCTTACTAGAGTGTGTTTCCCAAGCAGCCTTGCTCTGTTCAGGTGAGTGGATTTGTATGTGTGGAAGGCATTGTTGCAGCCGTGTTTCTCAGGGGATTCAAGTCCTCCAAGTGAGGATATTCATTACTGCCAAGAGATACCTGCAGGAGTTTCTACATCATACGTGGGTTTTAAAGCAACTTGATTTTCATAAAAACTATTTCATCAGATCTCCTAACTTGTTTCTCTTTTGCAGTCATCTGTGACTCTGCAGTCTAGCACAAAGGAGGCTTTAATGTACTTTCTTATAATTTTCTGTGTTTTCTGGGCTAGTCAGGGTACATGCTAAGATATGCTAGCAGCTGCCTTCTTTTTGCTTCCCCGTAATATTCTTACCATTACTATCACTGCAACAGCAAGAACAGTTCCATTAGGATCATTCTCGATGGAAAGCCCAGGTCTAACAAAAGTTCAGAACAGAAGTTTCTCAAAACTCACTCCAGTGACCTTACTGTGGCCTTCAGTATGGAAAGGAGGCCTAGAGGAAAGCTGGAGAGGGACATTTTACAAGGGCATGTAGTGACAGGACAAGGGGGATTGGCTTTAAACTGAAAGAGGGCAGGTTTACACTGGTTTACTGTGACCCTGGTGAGGCACTGAAATGGCTTCTGCAAGGAAACTGTGGGTTCCTTATCCCTGGAAGCTTTAAAGGTCAGGTTGAATGGGGCTTTAAGAAACCTGGTCTAGTGGAAGGTGTCCCTATTAATGGCAGGGCAATTGGAACTAGATGGTCTTTAAGATGCCTTCCAACCAAACAATTTTGATTCTATGAACTTAATTGTACTAAGCTTGCCAAGGAAGATAACCCCAAATCTGACTGTGCTCAGCAGAGTAAACAAAATCACAAAATCAGTAAATCAGTGTAGCTTTGTAGATATGTGTCCTACATAACTTTAGCCAAAGCATACAGAAAGAAGAAAAGAGAAGGCACAGCTACACCTGTTTCTAATGTACTTACTGGAACAGGCACTACAACAGCAGAGTTTGATTGAAGCGCTTCAAACATAATATTCTTGAGGAGGGTAATGAAGCAATGTAGACAGTTCAACACAATCTCTTTGGCTGCTGTGTTGAATACCTGAAGTTCTTCCACTAGTTGTGCATTTAGAGCCTCATAGTCTTTTTTTGCCAGGTCCATCTCTTCTCCAGCTGACCTCTGAAGGTAGCTGTTGTAGTCCAAAAACTTGTCATAGCGCTTCTGGATGAGCTTCTGAGGGCCTGGAAACAGGGCTTGCAGTGCTGAGAGAGGAGTCAAGACAAGCTTGTCCAGCTGAGCCATCTGGAAAGTATAAACCAGAAAGTATAAACTTCTCATTACCTTATTCATACATTCCTTCAGATGACACAAGGGGTTGAGCCTGATGACAGCCCATCAAGCAATCTGTTAATCACTCTTCACAAAACATTGCTGCCAGAGGCAGTTTCAAGCAGGGTCCAGCATGACTTAGAATCTCCTTCATAATGGGAGATGTTATGTTTTTAGATCTTACTTTTTCAGTTTACTGTGTCTGCAAATGGCAGTGGTTTCTTGGAGCATGCAGCCTCAGGTACTGCCCCTAGGGAGCTGCCACTGGGGGAAAACAGCAAGGATTGGTCAAGTGGTCAAATAAAACTGGTATTTCCTTTGCTGGAAGACCCACACCAATATAGAGTCTAAAGCCAATGAGGTCTTATTAAGTGGCAGCCTTGAATTCTCTCAAAGCTGCTGATTTTTTTCTTTTTTTCTTTTTTTTTTTCTTGCCTGGAAACAGCTGTAACTCAATTCCTGTTTAAGCAAACACAAACAATCATTTGATTTGATTAAATTAGGTTATGCTTGTTGGTTTTATCTCTAGTAATCAACAAAATTAGACACCTGGTAAAAAAACCAGTCTTCCTCAGACTTTTCCATTAGTCTCTAATTGTCTCATGGGATTAATATTGCATGAAATAAAATTTATTTTTGTAAGTCATTTGTTCAAATAAAGCACAGGCTCGTAGTGAGTGAAATTCATCATCATATTAAAGCTCTTGGACATTCTGTGTGAATTAAGTTGTTGGATTGGATGTGAGAATAAAAAAGCAGCTGCCTCTGCATTCTCAAAAAACATACCAGAGGTGAGGACAGATCCATTTTAGCCCCAGAATTGCTCTTGAAGGCCAAGATGATGTACACTGGCTAAATAGCTCCTATTTTATTTCCACCTGAAAAACTGGGCTGTATTTAGTGAACTGATTTTTGATGCATTAAGAAAACAATTCTTCCAAACTGCTGGACATAATTTCTTAAAAAGACGCTACTGGAAATTTCTGACCTGAATTTTTTTCCAAAAAATCTAATGAGAGAGGAAGGTATACATTATTGTCAAATGCACCTCCGCCTCTGAATTTTTCCAGTTTGAGCAGCTGTTTGAATAAGCAGCCTGTCCCATTTTGAAGAGACATTTAAGTATCTTATTATAGCGAGGCATTAGAGTTCATTTTAATTCTGAAACCAGAAGACTAGTTGAAAAACTATTACGATTTTTTAAATTGCTTTATTAATTACTATAGGCTATATTTGGATTTTTCATGGTTTCCCTATATGAAGGATTTGACAGCTCTATGTTAATATCTGGACTTGATGATCTGAGAAGCCTTTTTCCAGTTAATATATCTAAGATTTTTACAGATCTGTGATTCCAAGAGCTAACAGTACATAAGCACACTATCAATCACAAAAGTCACTCAAACTGCAAGTGCTGGTAACAAAAGTTGCAAGGCAACAATCTGCTGCTCTTTTCTGAAGTTCATGTGAAACAAATACAGAAGTGTTTAGGTGATACAAATTCAACACAAAGATTTTAGTATAAACCCAGGAATTTAGCTTGACATGTTTGCTTTAGTTCTTCTAAGGAAAACACAATGCATTTTTATTGCATTTTATCTTAGTCCTTACAGAAATTCAACCAAAACCCCCACTTATCTTTCCCAACAGATTCCTAAGCTTTTTTTTTTTTTTTTTTTACTTTTTTTTCTTCCTTTTCTGTCCTAGTCTTCCTCACATACAGCTGTTTTCTCAGACATATAGATAGCTGTGTAACACTGGACATTGCATTAACTTACAAAGTCTTCACACAGATTTGCAGTGTTGGTCTGTTTTTCTGAACAGTCATTGACTTCTTCATCTTTATCTTGCAGGATTTCCTGAAGCACAATTATATTCTGGGCAGCCAGATGTATAGAATCCTAAATGAAAAGATGGTAGGAAGATGAAACTATTACAATCCATTTTAATATGCTGCATTCACTCAAGTAACTACTCAATAATACTGCTGGAATCAGAAATATTTTCTATCTCTGACACCTGTGCAGTTGTGCAGTTTCCAGTCATTGTGAGGTTGTTTAATGTGATAATATTTTCCTTTGCTTTGTCTATTTTCAATGTATACTACTTAAGAATCAAGCTGTCAATGTTCAACTGAAAGAATTATGCCCTGAACTAATGAATATCCCTCTGGAATTCAGCTACTCCTCAGCAAGAAGCCAGCTTACCATGCATCCTCAAAAGTCTCTTTTGGGGGACTAAGTAGGACTACAGTGGTGTATTTCAGTTACTCAGAATTTAAATCTTAATGAAGTGTGGATCCATTTGGATAAGGAGCTGTCAGCACCACTCCAGGCACCAGCCCTCGTTGGCTGAGCTCCCTGGCCTTTCCCTGTTTGCAGAACCAAACACGGTGTGTTTGCCAAAAACCTCGGCCAGCTGGTTATTGATCTTGCCTATCTCCCAAACAACCTCCCTGCCTGGCTGGGGCACACTTACACTTGGACAGACCTCATGCCATCTGCAAAGCTGGCAAGTAGTCCATGGGAGGAGCAGGTTGTTAAATCACAAGCCAACCTTCATCTCTGGAGAGGGTTGAAGCAAAGACATTTTAGGGAACTCGAGCACTCTGTACATCTAATGCTAGCCCTCAACACAACCAAAACACAGAAAAAGGGAAGGAGTCCTTCCATCCAGGACTAAAATACATATCCAGGATATGTATTTTAGGATGTTTTAATTCATGTGGCTGCGGCTCAGTTCTTCAATCTTTAATGAGAAGCAGTTAGTCCTTCACTGCAGCCAATGGGTGTGACAGCTTCACACAGAGATTAAAAGTCCTGACTGTGCCACCAGACAGAACCTTCATCTCTGCACCTGTGGGTCTCCACAGAACCTGTTTCTGTCAGGGAAAAATGCAAAAGTGTGGGCTTCAAAATTTCTTTGCCATAGGTTCAGGAATGCAGTGTCAGAACAGCTTATTTATTTAATATTCTGATGCAGACAGCCGTGCTTATAAATAATTTGGTTGTTGTCCAGCCAGTGGCAGAAATGTGTGTAAAACTGGTTATGGACAGAGTTTGTGACCACAGATTGCAAAAAGGCCTATACCCACCTGGAGATGTTGTGAACAGAGTGAAATGCTCTTCACACACAATTTCACAGTCTTCTCTAGACTTTGAAACAACTTTTCTTCCTTATTAAATGTTCCATCTTTCGCCTAAAATAGACATTTGCACTGTTGTTTTGGCAGCCCAAAGGAGCCTGGCTAATGAAAGAAACATCCAGAGAACTGCTAGAAATATCCCTGAACTCCTCCCTTTGAAAACAGATCAACCCCTAATTCTCCCAAGCTCCAGCTGTAATTCAAAAAAAGTCAAAACCACTGGACAACATGGCAGAGAATTTCATTTTTAATCCTTATGGGAGCAGGGAGTTGCTTTACTACAAGGCTGACAGAACGCTTCATTTTCCTGTGTGCTGTTGCCCCACCTGAGGAGAGGACGGTGGAGGAAAAGGTGGGATGGATATTTCAGAGGGAAAGGTGGGATGGGTGTTTTGGAGGAAAAGGTGGGATGGGTGTTTCAGAGGGAAAGGTGGGATGGGTGCTTCAGAGGGAATGGTGAGATGGGTGTTTCAGAGGGAATGGTGGGATGGGTGTTTTGGAGGGAAAGGTGGGATGGGTGTTTCAGAGGGAAAGGTGGGATGTGCGTTTCGGAGCGGGCCGCACCCGCGGTGCCGGCCGCTCTCCCGCACGGCGGCTGTAGGTGGAGCTGTTATCCCAGCGCCGTGCCAGCCTTTCCTCTGGAAACGCCGGCAGCCGCCGATGGCCTCGGGAAACTTCTTTATGCCGGCTGGGAACACCCTGAAAACGCGGTCATTTCTGCCCGTCTTTTCCTGCAGGGGCTTCGGAAATCTCAAGTCACGTCTTAGTGGTTTTGCCGAGGGGGTGTCAGCGTGTTTCAAGACGTGAGTTGGGAACTTTCTCAGTCTAATTAAGCAGGAGAGACGGCTGAATCTCTAACAGATGCCTTCTGATACTAAAATGATCCTCAAATGTTTAAAGCTTAATTAGAAACAAAACCAAGAAAACATAAACCAGAAGTTTCTAAAGGAAAAAAAAAAAGGGGGGGTGGGGGAAGACGGAAAAGAAAAATCATATATCCTCTTAATCAAATTTAATTCCCTTTTTCTCTGATTTTATAGCCTTGCTGGGTCTGTCACATTCTGAATACAAAAATTTCCACTGTATAAATAAATGAACAGAAAAAAAATGTGTGGGTGATTTGGATCAGAGAAAGAAGAGAAATACTGATAAAAAACAAACCAGGAAAAAAATGGCATGTATCTTGTAAAGCCACATCTAGGAAGGCAAGTGACCTTGTATAATCAGCCATCTCATGCAGTGAGGTGCACTGGATATCACTTTCAAGGTCATCTATAATTGATTTTCTTTGAGATTTCGATTTAAGCTTTCCTGAAAATGTTTATCCTGATAGGTTTTGAATTGTAACTTTGAAATTATGAAGGAGGATTTTACTTTTGGCCACCCAACACCCATCAGACTCATCACAGAGTTCTTTGTAGTTTTGATGGTTCTAGGCGTTTGCACATGTAGAGGCAAACCCTGTGGCCTTTCCTAATTAGAGGTATTGCTCATCTTCCTTGGTGGATTGCAAACCTTAATGCTACAACATGAGCAAGATGGGCTGAACACGTTCTCAGCCCCAACGATAATTATTACCAGGGTATCTGCAAAATGCTGACCTCAGGCTGAGTTTCACAAAACTGCCTCTCACTTCCTCTCTGCTGAAGACCAAAAGTTTGAGAAACTCTTGTGTGAAAAAGGAAAAGGTGGAGAACATATTACATTATTTCTATTTCAATCACAAAGATCTTTCCTGTCTTCTGTGACAGTCAGAAAATGACATTATAAATTAGGCAGGAAAAAAAGCAGCACCACAAACTCCATTTCCAACACGTTTTGAAAAACACCCTGTGCAAAAGCAGAACTGAAGCTGTCAATGCAAATCTGCAGTTGGATGAGTAAGTACCTGAGGTTCTCCTCTTGTCAGTATTTTCAGATGGCTGGTGACCCTCTTTGATTTCTTGCTAATGGAGTGAATATTCAGTCGGGAAAACTTTTCCTTAAGGGTTTCATCATCATCATTCTTCCTATACTTCAGCACTGCAGACAGAGAATTTCATTACATCAATAGTCTGTATTCGCAGGACTTTTCACAGGGATGGGCACACAAATATGAAACCATTTGAGAGCAGACACTTTGATGTCATTTAGGGTAATCTTATGTGAAAATGCTCAATAGGAAAACCCCATTATCAACACTAACTTTGGGAATAGTGATGTTAGGGTTTCCAGCTGGCAAATCTAAAAAAAATATTGCTATTACTGCATCTTAATTATTATCAGTGTTTATAACTGCATTACAGACACTATAACATTAATTCTTTCCCTATTTTCATACTGGAGTTACCAGTCAGGTAGCAGAGTTTGCTGAGGACAAGGGACATTAAGGCACTGCTACCCTCTTGAAATTCAATGTATTACACAACTTGGGTGGCACCAGCTAAAATTTATGTAGTGAAATATCTGAGCTGAAATATGTCTTGTAATGGTTAGCTCAAAACTACAAATAAAGAGCTTTCTGTGCTCTTTTCTTACCTAAATCTTTCCTCCTTTTAAGTTCATTGATGTTCATATTAATGTTTTTCATAGCAAAAAGGGCATCTTGTAGTACTTCATGGTCAGGGTGAGAAGTAGGAGTTGAGTTCAAGAGCTCACGGAGTAACAAGGGATATTTCATCAACCGTTGCACTGGTTTGATCAATAGGGATCCCAGGTCCATTAGATTTGGCTTTCCTCTGTAATTTACACCAAAACAATGTCAGAAAATTAGAAATTCCTTTAATTGCAATTACCACTCAAGTCAAAAAATAAGATACATCTGTGAGAGAACAGGGGTGTTGTAAAGAAAATCCTGTCACCCCCTCAATGAGAAACACACCCCAGGTCTCTGAATTTTCTGTTTTCAGAACTTAGCAGACATTAGCTCTGAAACAATCCCACTCAGTCTAAAGGTGCATATGGTATATAACTCACACATCACAACACTCAGGAAGGGAGATGTAGGTGGAAGAACAAATAACAGGAAGTTTGACAAATGCGTGTGAGCAGGGCTGTTACATCCTGCTCTGGGCCCTCAGGCTCAAAACTGCAACATCTCCATGCTGTGAGTAACTGGGATGCCAGTCCACAGTGCATCCCTTCTCACAACACCCCTGACTTGGCACAGTGACCCTTAAGCTCTACAGCCTTTCACCTGTGGCTTTTCTTTGCTGGCTGCCAATCAGTTATTTCTAATGATGCCTCAGCTTCCAAAGGGTACCAAAGCTGGCCTGGGGAAATGTTGAACACACAGGATATCCACACAGTCTTGATCCAGCCTGCTGGAAGGCTCCTTTACATAAAGGCAAAGCGGGCAACTGGCCAGGGTGGCAGAAGGATGAGAGCAGGTCAGTCCCAACTTCCAGCATGGGCACAGGGATGCTCTGTGGCTCTAGGGCCAATCCCCACTGGCTGGGCAGGGGCAGCAGAGCAGCATCCCCAGGCATTCAAATGGCTCAGGCCATGAAGGCCCCCCCCAAGCTCTTGTGCCCCAGCCAGCTGAACTCACTCCCTGCTCCTGACAAATGCCTTTGCTTTCACTCTCCAGGCTGGAATGGGAGAGGCTGTGCAGTTTGTGGGCTGTCACAACAGCATCAAAGGAAACAGAGAAGGACTGAACCACATGTGCCTTCACCACCTTCCATGTGGCTGGTAGAAACGTGGGGTCTCTCCAGAACGGGTAACACCAGGTGGCCAAGACCAGGGCCAGCCCCTCCTGAGGTTCCAGCAGCAGGACAGACATGTCCACGGCCTCCCCTCATGACAGCACACTCCTCAGCAAAGCAGACACAGCTCCAGCACCAGCTACCTGGCACCTCCCCACTGAAACTGAACATGAGCTGCTGGTGACAGTGTGGAAGGCAATGAAGCAGAACAAGCTTTCCATTTGCATGCCCAAAAAGGCTCTTTTGGAGCAGAAAAGGTTTTCTGACATGAACTGTGCAAGAGTTAAGGTTAGACAAAGAAGGATTTCTGCATATGGAAAGATGAAATAACACAATGTAGAAGGAAGTACAAAAAATAGGGAACAGCCACATGGTTTTGCAGGCTGACAGCTATTGTTTTGTGCAACAGAAAGCATAAAAGAAAAAACCCTTCATTCCTACTTTTATATGTGTAAAAAGTACAAGAGCCAATCCTTACTTGCTGACTAATTAACTAACAATTTGAATGCCTTTGAGAAGAGACATCTGCATATTTAAACCATCTCTCTCAAACAGGCATTATCTGTAAAAAAGTTCTGCATGAAAAAAAATTAACAGTAGATGCCTTTTAAGGCTTCCTCATGTCCTGAAACATTCTCATAATTTCAATCCCCCTCATTTCCCCTGTATCTTACATTAAATAGAGAGCTGTTTTTCCTTCTTTCAGCTTCTGGCAGCAATAATGAAAAAAAAAAATCTTAAATTGTTATTGTTTTCTCTGAAAAGCCCTATGAATGCAAATCTATAAAAGCTGCCTCATGAATGGAAAAATCTTCAACTGTCTTCTCTTTATATAGTTGCACTTTGGACAGCTGCCCAAGTGATAAACAGCCCTCTGTTCGCTATCTGCATGACACAGTCTTGCAATATGGTGTGAGAGATAGCAGGTTTGTTATAAGATAATGACTCCCTGGGGCACTAAATGCCACAAAGTTCGACTCATCTAATTCTCCCCTGCTAGATTAGCTGAGATAGCCACTCTCCCTGGACAGTCACATTTGCAGTGCACCCTGTTAGGACCCACGGGCTGCTGGGCAGGACACGGCCTTGCCACACCATTCAAGCAGGAGAGTAACGCCTTGTGACATCTATTGTGCAGAAAATTAAGTTGATAATTCATTTGTGATGCCTCTTCAGCCTTCCCCCCACGTTATTTTGAATTTAGCAAGTATTCTAAGTCACATGTGACTGTACTAATCTCACAGCAAATTATTACCATAGCGCTGCAGTAAATGCAGCTGGCAAACTGCAGTACGGGCAAACTGCAGTGCGCTCCACGGCACAGCCTCCTTCCTGCCTCCCAACAAAATAAAGTCACTAATACAGACACATTCCCACTAGTTTAAAAAGCCCATGGTGGCTTTTTAAAAGGCAGGGAAGGCAGGATTAATTTCATTTGCTCTCACTACAAGGCAGCTTGGTCCAGTGGCAAACATGACAGCCAGCATGGTACAGCCAGGCTGAGGCTGGTGTGATTTGCAGCTGCCAGTTCTGAAATGGTGAGCAGGAATCAGGCTGCAGCAGGACTCAGAATCTTGGGCTTCATGGTCCACTATGCATGGCTTTATTTTAGTACAAGACATGTAGGGCAAATAATTCACTGTGCCATAAGTCTCTCAAGCAAACCCAGGGAATTCACTGAGGCTGCACAGTTGTTAAGCCAAGCAGAATTTAACCTATTGAGCTGCTAGCAAAGGGCAGCACTGTCTGGTATTTATGTAATTGTTTTCTTGATCATGCTTGAATGAAAAGCAATCTGGGAACAGCAATATCACAGACCATCTGGGGGGAGTTATGCTGTATTTTCCAGTTCAGGGGTAATCAGATTTTTGGGTGCAGTCCTGCCCAAGGGCTGTTGCAACTCTGCAACCTCTGATTTGTAGGTTATGGGACTTCTTGTGTGCCCTGCCTGTGAGGTAGCCAAGCTCAGGGAGGGTCCCACAGCTAAACCTGCTCATTGCACTCTGCACAGCTTTGTAAGAGTCCTTTTGAACTCAGAAAGTGAGCTGTCTCCTACATTCCACTGGAAACTGTTTGAAGGAGAGGAGAAAAACAGACATTCATATCTATTAGGGTTACACAAGGCAGAACAGCCAGTCTTGTGGGATTTCTGTATGTGTTGCTGCCTCACATGATCATATTGTGACCCTCTGGATATTTTGCATCTCTTGGAGCCACACTCCTTGTGGGATGGAAGTACACAGGAGTATCCTGTATCAAAACAAAATGCAGAGAAACAATTTCCTATCACAGACAAGAGCTTGAAACCCCCAAAAATAGAGTTTCAACATGCAAGTCTTTCAAAGTGTATTTTATGCAGATCCTAGTTATAACATGCAATTGACTGACTGGTTAACAAATTCTCTGACTTGACTTGAGGTCTGCTCCTCTCCTGCCACTATAGACCACACTTGCTCCTCCTTTCTCCTAACGCTTTGTCTAGGGTTGTAATCTTTCTCTTCAGTTCAGACAATCCCTCCTCTGACCTCTCACTGCAGGTAACTACAGGCAGTGCTGCATTTCAATGGACCAAACATGCTGGATGTCCAGAAACTGCAGCTGTGATAAATTCTCCTTTACAGCTTTTCAAAGATGTCATATTTGGCACAGAAGTGCCTTAACCACAATTCATCAAAGGCTGGGGGAGTTTTCTGGCTAAGTTGCAATGAGCTTGTTCTTTTCTGCTGTTCTTCCAGCCACTGTTGGAAGAAGATCCTAAAGTGGGCTTCTCACATAGGGCTACTGAAGGGGTTGTCAGCTTAGAAATAGCTTTACCTGCAGGCCTGCCTGAATTGTAGCAAGAAATTGGATTTCAAAGACTGACACTATACTGTTGACAAACACTCTTGCAAACCTCAGAGCATTCTGCATATGTCCTGGAAAATTCTCCAGGTTATACTGACACAAAAGGCTTGTGAAAATTTCCACATGTACAGCTTTAAACATACTAAAGAAAAATCATAGATACTTTAAAGATTATTTTACATGTAAAAAAAGGCATAGTACTTACTCTTCTTTATATCTCTTTCTGCAAAAGAGAAGAAAACAAAACATGCATTAGATTCCTCCTAAAATGATTTCTACAGACCAGGAGATTCTCAGATACACTTCAGTGACACAGGGTAGCCATAACTGGCAAGCTAACTTAGGTTTATGGCTGCTGTGTGTCAGCAGAACTGCACAAAGCAGCCAGAGGGTACTGGTGAGTCTGACCCTATAACTTTTTGAATGGACAGCCCCAAATGAGAAAGGATTGTTAGAAACCTTGCTTTGGCCGTGGAGACCCAGCCTTGTCCTCACACAGTTAGAGAAGGAAGTTTGGATCACTCTGCAAACAATTGTAGGTAACATCAAGCCATTAATACAAAAAGTAAAACTAAACATCATTCTTACACTTTACATACATTTCTGTCTACTCTCTTTAAACAGAAATGTGCTTTTAAAAGAAAAAGAATATATTTCAGCATTTCAGGGTGTAAGTCAATGAAGCTGTGAAGTTTTTTGTAGACTACAAATCAACTGAAACCTCTCAGGAGCAGGATGGTGTTGATACATATACCAAAAGCATCAGGGACTTAAAATTGTAGTTTGCAAACTCGTGCATGGAATGTTTTCTTATGGTATGAATACACTCAAATGCAAGAGAACCAAACAGCTCCATCTCTGCATCAGGCTTTCCTGACATCACATCCTCAGATACACTTTTTTGACTGCCTGCACTCTTATCTCCTGGCCCACCAGTGCCTAGCTGAGCATCTGGAAGCTGCTGCTTTCATTGCTTCTGCACTGTCAGCACTTTGTGTGCTTGTGACGTCCCTCTGCCCCTGTAATAGTTGACCAAGCTACTTCAGGCTGAAAGCTGAGCAGGTAGTTGCCAGCATCCTTTCATTTTTACCAGCTGCATTCCTTTGGCTAGGGTAGCAAACAACATCCCCAGTTTGCATAATCACTGCTGAAACACAGGACTCTACAGAAATTGGATTTGCACATGTCTCCAATGCAGACACCTACATTTTGGGATGGATTTTTTCCTCTTCAGTCAAAAGGAACAGGAATCTCAACATAGCTAATTAAATCTGATTTGTCTGTACAGATGTGCAGAGTGCCACTCTCAAATTGCTCCTGATATAGAACTTGTTTTTCATATGTCAGATTTTACTCAGTGGAGGAACAGAAGCCCCTACTAATGTCAGCTCATTTAAGATGTTTTAAAGTGGAACAATATTCTTTCCAACGGAAGAGAAAAATATGTAGCAAGTAAACATTTTTCAAAGATAGTCAGTATCAGTCCCTGCATTTGTTATGTCTCACAATGGAAAACAGCCTGTAACTTATTTGGTAACAATCCTGCACAGTTTTCTTCCTAGGGCAAATATTCTCCAGTGGGTAGAAACAGTTTTAGATGACCACAATTCTGTATCTCAGCATGCACTTTCAGGTCTTAATACCTGAATTGACTGCAATCTTTAGGCACTGGAAAAAAATCACAACATAATATACAAACACCAGTGCTTTTATTGTTGGTTCCTGTTTAAAGGCTAATCAGAAAAAAAAAAACAAGGCTTCATTGTAAGGAAGTCCTTGTCACTTCCTGCTGCCAAAGGAAGTGTTGGCTCAGCACAAAATATCCTTTCTCTTCACAAAGCCCAGCTGTGAATTTGGGACAGGAGCACCTCTTTCTGGCTCTGGAATTCAAGTGGCAACATCAGCCCTGGGATGTACATGGATGTAATTTTTTATCTTTATTTCCTTCCATGTCCCCTTGCCTCAGTAGCATAAATAAATGAATGACAGTAGTGGCTTCTCTTGATTAGTCAGGAAAGATTATTTTAGGCATCAGCACCAAAACACCGACTTAGGGGAAATACCTGGCCATCCAGTAGCCTGAAGGACTGAGTTTATATGAAAATTTTTCTTTCAACTTCCAGGGTAGCTAAAACTTGAGAACCATGCACATATACTTTGTTATATATTTAGTAGCCAGACATGTTGCACAAGATAAGCTTCATTTTCAACATAATTTGTCTTCAAAGCAAACATTTCTCTTATAATATTATTAGCATTTTCCTTCACCATTCTTTCCAGATTTCACTTGGACATACTTCCCATCTCCTAAGTCTTAACAGATCTCTGCAGACCAATCACAAATTAGGGTGTGGTTGAAATATCTGTTGCTGATGTACACTCCTTTATTTGTGACAACTGCAAGTGTGCAGCATGGGCCATTCCTGGAGCTGGAGCCAGACCTCTGGTCTGAATCTGTGGCATATTCCCTCCCAACACCTCTGTGTGGTGCTTTTGGGAAAGTGAGGGGCAAGGGCATTTACGGGTGGGAAGAGAAGCGCTCTCCATGGAGTGGATGAGCTGGTCCCTGCCACTAGCTGCAGGAGGAAGCTGTGCTGGAAGACAGATGGATCCGGATCCATTATTTGGCAACATCCCCAGTTCTCCACACATTTTCCCGAGGCGCTGGCATTGGAGCCAGTGGCACAAAGCACCTCCCTCTGGTGGGAATTGGCAGCTTGCTCCACCACTGTTTCCTCTCAGATATCCCCTTCATGAGGAGTTGGGAACTACACAGCAGCTCCAGATCCTGGGGCCTTGTAGCAGCAGCCCAGAACTGCCAGTGCACTTGTGTAGCTCCATAACAGGCTGTTCCAATTCAAGGAGCAGACTTGCTGAAGACAGGGGGCAGCAAGTTTCTGGGAGCTGGAAAAGGTGTTCCTAATAGGCTGTGATATGATGCAGCATTTTTTTTCTTTTTTTCGCCAGTATGGGGCACTGAAACTAAGGAAAGAGCAACCTTTCTTGTGCTATTTTTGGCCATCTTAGAGAGAAAGAAATCTAATCATGGCCCCTGGCTTGTCATCTTTTCATGAAAGCAGCATAAGCCAGAGCTCCCAGCAAGCTTTATAAAACTCCGGATTTACAGGGGACCTTTCATCTACATCCATTTAAAATGTTCCCTGCCAGGCAACTGACTATGGACGGAAATCATCATTTGAAAAGATCTTACTTTAAGGACTGTACACAGTCTCTTAAATGCTGCTTCAGTTCTTCATCCTTTTCATAGTATTCCAGCATGGTGTGTGCATCATCATGGTGATAGCAATAGATTTTATATGTGTCTTCTAGTGGGCCTTTAATCTGCAAGAACACTTCCCCTGTTAAGGAGAAAAACAAAGCATGTCAAGTCAGACAACAGCATCTCAGAAGGAGTTTTATTATTCCACCACATTAGCTGTGAGCTAAAAAGGCTGGCTTCCACTTTACTTCCCTTAGAAATGATCTTGCGTGTTTATGTGCATTATTTATTACATGTATTTCTCAGCTGCTCATCTTTGTCATAGCCAGGCACCATTGTATCAGTGTTAATGCACAAAAATTCCCTCAGGGGAAAAGCATGAAATCTCTATACCTCACACCCCTTCAAACACAGCCTCCTAATTCACTGCCCCAGCTTAATGCCCCTTCATTGGAAAACACACAGGAGAGCTTAACTAATAAAGGGAGACCATTTTTGTGTCATGGGCTGGCAGGAGGGATGAATGTGAGCCTGTTAGTTTTCCTTTTGACTTTTTTTCATGAATGTGAACTTAAATGGGTAATAACAGGAATAATGACTCTATCTTCCATTAGCCATTTCAATTTTATCTGTTTTGCAAAACCCTGAAATGGCAATTGTTATGACCTAGAATAGAGAATTTTCTCCACACAGCAGAAGAAAAACCTCCACCCTCCCCTAATTAAATAAAACTACCATAGATTACAGCCATTTTTATATAATATCTAGGTTTATATGCAGCTGAAGACGGAGAACACTTCCATTTCCAGTCCTCCACACCACCATTTTCCCAGAAAGAAGAATTGGGAATTTTAGAGGCACTAAAGTAGTCCTACACTCATTTCCCATTTACTTCTGGAGCCTAATTCTCTCAGCCTAAAACTCTTGTGTCTGGTTCTGTGCATGTAAGAAATCTGAGCAGGGACAGCATGCTTCACCTCTTCTGCTGAGATATTAGTTCAATTCTTACACACTTATGCAGCAGCCCCCGATCAGCATGTTTGGAAATGCACATTATAAACAACAGCAATGCTGAAAACTCCTGCAGGGCATTTACTGAAAATTATATCTATGTGGCAACCAGTCCAAATAGATGTTTATAAACATTCCTGTTGAGTTACAGCAATGATTATTAAAGTTAAAAGCTGAACACTGCATTAATTGGGAGCTCTCTATTCATTCACAGAGCGAGTGCTGAGCTATCAGGCATCCTGCATGTTTCATCCTGACCGGAGTGCGCTGTTCCATAATACATTGCATTGAACTGCTCCATCTTAAAGTGAAAAATGATACAGTTACCACAGTAACACAGCCCTGGGTTTTCTCCCATAGCAGCGAAGGTTAACTGGGCTGTCTAATGCATGTTGGTTTCAGGGTGCAAATAAGGGAAAAGACAATGAGGAGCTAAGACCCCCACAGTACATTTTAGTTACTGTAAGGGCACCAGCATCCTATAGTTAAACGCTCTTCAGCTGTCTTCTCTGCCTTGTGCTTACTGCTAATGCTGATGGCTAACAATGCATATTACATCCTGGCTTTCCCATGAACTCTATACAGGTCTTTATTAGCCAGCAACCTAAGGGGAAACCTTAACAAGCCTTAACCTTGATCCTGTCTGCTTGGCACCCGATTCTAGAGATCATGAGCTCTCACGATTTTTGCTAACATGAAGCAGAACTCCAAGTGCTTAGCATGGTCTGTATTATGCTAAGCCCTCAAGTGAGGTCACGTAGCCTTACAGCTCATTTCAGCATATACTACAGGCTGAAAATTAGCTTCTCCAGGAGGAAAGTGCTGGGCAAGTTCTGTTCACTGACGTATTGTGGCACAGCGACAGATACTGCCATTGATGCTCAATGATGAGAAAAATCATGTGCTGATTTCATGAACAGGGCCTTTTAACAGCAGGTGGATTTCTAAAACCTAAAGCCTGTCTTGGTTCTGAGCTGTACAGATCAAATCAGATGAGTTTTGGGCATATCACTGTGGGACCTTGCTTTATGGACCAAAACCACATTGTATTTGGTACAGCTTTAAAAATACTCTGAGAGATGCAAATCTCCTTGATGCTTCTGGAGTGTGTTGGTCATCAGTCTCAAAGAGAAATTCCCAGGAGGACATCTTGAGTAATGAAACAGTGAATTTTCTCCCTGTTGCTCTCAGTGGTGCTTCCAGTGCAGACAGCAGTAGGAGAGGGAGGAAGGAGTCTAATAGCTAGAGCTAAGTCTTCATATTCCTCCATATACAGAGGAATATGAAGAATATGCATCCAGAACAGAGAGGAGAAAAAAAAATCAGGAAATAACTACAAAAGGTATTCAACCTATTTTAGCTCAGATTAGGAGGTGGGTTTTGAAACCAATCACTCATTAGCCCTTATCTCCCAGGCTTTGGCTGTGTGGTGGAGCAGTCACAGTGACACAAACTGGATCCCTCTGAGGATGATAATTACCAAAACACACACTCCAAGGGCACATCTTATGCAGTCCAACCATAAGGGGCATGTCCATCCACAAGCATAGGCTACAGCCAAGCTGAAGTAAGAGCTCTTAAAATGTGTAGTATGGATACCATCTCCTTAGCAGAAACTCTCACTCTGCAAGTCTGCTCCTATTGGGCATTACCACTTGTCGATGTGGACATAGCATAAAGTGTGGAGAACATAGACTAAAATAAGACAGGAATATGAGCAACCACATTGTTTTGCTTTCAAAGCAGTGAATTATCACTTTTTTTTGAACCTCACCATGACTGGGTTGCTTCCAAAGTAAGATGTTTCAATGCAAGATTTTTAAAGACATTAAAAATGACAGAGTATGATGAGTATAGTTTTCCTGTAGACTGGCTTCAACAACTTTTACACTGAAGATCCTGAAAACAAAATTACTACTTTGATGCACTTTCAGAGGACAATAAATCTAGTAACTTACTTCTTATAGTGATGCAATTATTCTCCCTATTTTTGTCTCAGCCTTCAGAAGAATGTCTCACACCTTACTTGACAACCTTTTTCCTGTCATAAATTAGCCAACTCTGATCAATGATCCCCTGCATTTTCACGGTTCTTTGTCTGATTCTGGAGAAATACCTAATAGGTAGATGAAATTGTTTGTCTTTACTTCTGAATGTGGCAGGGAACTAATAGCATTATTCTCTTGGCTGTGAGAAAGGCACTTCCTGCTAGAATAGAACATTGCTTATTAAGAGTATGACTCATCATGATGCACTTTTACTGAAATAGTGCCAAACAACACAGACGCATCAAACTACGTTAAGCTGTTGCCTTGGCAAACCAGATTGAGACGTGTTAGGATTAATACTTTTCCCAAGCCTCTTATGCTTTAATATCCTGTTTCTTAGTAAAGTGGCAACTGATATTTTTTACCCAATTATTTGAGAGAAGAGGGGGACTTTCTATAACGTGGTACTTGTGGTATGTGGTCAGGTTAGGAAAGAAAGAACCTCTCTTGACCTCTGAATCACAGCTGGAAGTTTTTTAAACAGAACTGTTTAATTTTTTAAACTAAACAGTCTGGCTTTGCACTGAAGCAAATTCAGAATTCTCACCTGATCCCTTAAGGTAGCTCATCCTAAGGTGCCTCTGCACTGACAAAGCAGTCATAGGAGAACTGATGTGTGCTGGTAGCTTCTTAAATCTCTCCAGCTGTGCCAGAATGTCACGTGAATCACAGCCTTAATGTTCATGACCCAACCTGCAGAACTTGTGACTGTTGTGACATATCCAGGGCAAACCTATTTGCTGAAAAAGCCTGTGATCCCCACAGACATTCCCACACAGAATCCCACAAACTTCAGATTCATTACATCTTTCTCTACTGTCCATGTCCCTGTCAAGCACATTTACCACCTCTTACAGGAACTGTATTACCAGTAGATACATGTTTAGAGTGTTTGGGGTGGGTTGGGGTTTGACATGCTTGTTATTCCAAACATTTTTAATGGTTTTTGTGAATGGCACAACTCTGAGTATGCAAAATAAGAGTTTGAGTCAGCACAAGTGGATTTAGGTAGGCAATATCAAACTAGATGAAACATATCTTAGCAGTAAGTTGTATAACTCAGTGCAACAGGTTTTACTCATTCTAAACCCATTTTCTCTTTCCTTCCTTCCCCTCAGCATTCAGATGGATTAAAAAAAAAAAGCATCCTAATCATACAAGTACAGTACAGCAACTGGACAGGTTTCACATGTCATTTTTCCTGTGTCATTTTGGACAGCTTCTAGCATGCCAGCCTCTGAGAGGGGTACTAGCTAAGTCTGATGAGTAGAGGACAGGAGAGTGTTGTGTTTATTCTTTCACGTAGCTTTGTAGAACTCAAGAGGACAGTAAACATACCGATTATTTGCATGGGTGGTTCCACATCTGTTGTGGCTTCTTCCAGCAATGACAGCAGTTTGGCTGATAGTTGATGGACCAATTCAATGTTGCTAAACAAGCCATCCACGTCAAAGCGAGCAATCTAATGGAATACAAATATTAAGCAGCTACTGACAAAGGATGAAGAAGGACGTTGTGTGTACTACACAGCTTCACTTGCTATGCCCTGAGTGTTCAACACTCCAGGAAGCACCACTTCTGCAAAACCTCATATAAACATCCTCCTTTTGACTTCAAGGACACATACACAGTTTTCACATTAGTATAATATGGTTGACGCAGTTGACAAAGTGTACATTATCAAGTGTTTTTAACCTTATTTTGAACTATCCCTAATTTGAAACTGTTTACCTAGGAAGGAAATAAATATTATCATCTGAATAAAGAAAAGATCCCTAGCTGGCTTTGAAATGTTTGTTTACTTTCCCACTGGGGAAAACAATAGTTGACAGTGGGTTTGATTCCCTGATTACCCCTCACTACATACCTCTCACTATTATCAGTAGCCACTACATAAACTGAGAGTTTGGCACTTTGGTGCCAGCTATCAGGTACAAAGACTTCTAGATAGCTGGTGCTATTTTAAGTTAGTTGTCCTTTAAATCCAAAGTCAAGTCATATAACTTCCACTAAAAGAAACACATTTCTAATTCAGGATAATAATACAACCTAAAGAACCTGGGCACACAACATGGATTTCAGTGAATTTTATCAATTTCTACCAACAGAAAATTTGATTCTGTGTCCCTCCTCATCTTACAGGAAGTAAAAGATTTCCAGGACATGTACTTTTCATCGCACAGCAGGGCAATAGTCACTATTTGGGGATCATTGGAGATAACCAGTGGTAATGTGCTCATCCTGAGAACAAAGATGAGACAATTTCATCACCCATATTGATACTCTCTGAACCTACCTCTCCATTTGGAAGAGAATTGCTGATTTACATAGCAGCTTACCAGATGCCAGGAGGATCAAATTGCATGCTATTGCAACAAAATCAGAAATATGCTTTCAGTATTGATGCAGTTAATTTCTTTATAAGCATTATAGGGGCTAAAACATGTTTTATCCATTTGGAAATATGAAACAGATTCATTGCCTAGACCAATTTTCTAAACACATTATAAACTTTCAATATGATAGTTTATTGGACAACTAGCATTAAAAACATATAACATTCCTGAAAGCCTTTCAAAAATGCAGAGGTTATTAGATTAGGACAGTTATAATCTCTAAATTACTTTTCCTGTATATATCTAGCACAGGACTTCTGACCTCCTCCCCGGCATGTCTACATAGTATTTGGAGCTACATCATGCATGGACACTTCCACACATTAACACAATGACAAAGGACAGAATCAAAAAGAATGTTTTCAGTTGGGTGAAAAAGAGTGATGGAATACAGCACATTTGTCAAAAATCTCAGCCAGTTCAACCAGGCAATACTCTTGCTCAGTGCTGGTCAGGCTGGAGAGGAAGTCAAGCAGAGACTACTTCTACGTGGATGAACAAGTGAGGGAGGAAGAAGTCAAGAACTCCTTAAAGTTATGTCAGCAGATGCCAGCTCTCCTGAAAATGGGTTGGAACAAATTCTGAGTTTCAGAAAAGCAAAAATGTCCTGCAGGAGTTTTAGCAGCACAGGTTAAGAGCCCTGCTAATGTCACCTAAAGACACTTTGGCATCTGCACCTGTATTTTGTCACCAGTTTAATAAAAAACCCTACATAAAGATTACGTGGGTTATGGTCTATTTAAAATTATTTTTATTCTATTTCTGCAGCAGATATCATTTGTACAGCCTCTGTGATGCTATGTTTCAGGCCTCACAGACACAAATCTTTCTCTGGACAAGCTCCTCTATTTCCAGCACCATTTTTCTACAATGTTGAAGAAAAGGTGTTCTTTGAAGTCTCAGCTGAAAAAGAAAATAGGTATCATTGGCCTAATAAGGTCTTTCCCATGAAAGGTAGTTTATGAGCCTTCTTTCTTAAATGTACCTCTTTTGTGTGGAATACAAATATATCAAGTCCTCACTGGCCTGTCAAGCATGATATTTATCCACCACAACTGTCTGAAAGGATGGATAAAGTTATCTTAACAATTGAATTTAACCTTGATGCAGAGGTTCATGCCATTCCAAGTCTCTACTGTGGAAAAAATCTTTGCTTTGGAGGTAAGTATCTGCTGTGGCACGTAACCAGGGTTATAACTACAGAGCAGAAGGGAGAGCTGGAAGCTGCTACTGCAGCCCATAGGCAGGGATGTAATATCCAAGCTGACCTCTGGACAAGTTCCTCAATGCAGGCTTTATGCAAGTGCAGCACAAATGGTCAGGAGCATATCTGACCTTCCACGCTCCTCACCAGAGCCCTGACACATCACGTCGCAGACTGCTGGCTCCAGACCCACTCCCAGCACCATGTCACTCTTGTGCTGACACTTGTGCTTGCATGGAGATTGTCTGCAAGCAGAACGTGGCTGAGCTGAGACCTCGGCATCGCCGCCTCATCCTCCGCCCCCGGCACTCACCTGCATGTTTCTCAGGGGCTGAATCACTTCCTTGATGCAGAGATCCAGGTCGCTGATATAGTCTTTCTCTGTCTGCAAGAGTTCTGCGATGATTTTCACCCTCCTGGCCATCATGCGTCTGCTGACTTCTTCTTCTTCTTCCTCTTCGTCCTCCTGCAGTGGGGTGGCAGGGGTTGAGGACACTGCCTGTGGAGCCATTTTTTCTGGTAAAAAAAGGAAGAGATTTGTGAGGAGTGTCATAATTCCACATGCTCACCCAGCTTGCCCTGCATGACCATGGATGGTGGACAAATGGCCATGGCAAGCATGAAAATAAGCTTAAGAAATGGCAAACCCAAATTAGACTGAGTGTCATCCCATCTCTTTCTTCTAAAAGTGGACAGGGGTATGCCAAAGCAACTCATCCATTTGGTGTTAAGGGGATAACCCATCACCAGCTCCCCTGGTTTAGATGTTTGGTATCGGGCAGAAATTTTCTATGGAGCATGAGAGAGTCTAAATCTTGTCACACTGAAATTCAAGGATAGCTGATGCGCTGCTACTCCTTTGAAAGCAGTCGTGGTCTGACTTCTATTATGATTTGGAGGATGGTAGAAAATGTGCTCCTGTGAAAGAAAAAGGCTGTTTACCATAAAAAAGCTTCACAATAATAACCTTTGTTCTGTACAATGTAACTTTGAGTCTATTCATGGGAAATTGAGGACTGCAAGTACTGGATGACAAACTTTCAAGTGAAGACAATGTTACTAACAATGATGATGAATCCTCCAGCTCTGTTTAAAAATATTTTTTTGAAAGAGACAAAGGAATTCAAGGAGAATATGAGAAAACCTCTAAGGATCAATAACAACAGTTTCTTGGAACAACAGAGATCATTTGGATTAGGACATTCTTCACCGTTTTTCAGTACTTACCACCTAGGATACCTATTTTGTTTCAAATACATGAAAATGCAAGTGACTCTTCTACAGATGGGTAATTTATGTACATTACAGGACCTGCATACAAACTACTTATCTGTAAGGATGGTATTCCCCCTTGCTGGTCTGCAAGCCAACCTGCAGAGATCCATGTCAGCTGTAAAAAGGGCACTGACAATTCCTATTTTTCATTAAGAAACACACACACAAAACCCAAAAACAAAACAAAAAAAATGCAAGTCTAATATTTCAGAAGCTATTCTGGTGTTTTTCTGCTAGCCACAAGATGGTGCAGAGTACCAACAAAGATGGACATATCATTAGCCTGCTCAAGTCTGCATCACTCAGGCTGAGCTTTGACAGCCCCGGCTTTTATTGCTCAGCAGCAAAGGCTGGGAATCTCTGCTGACGGTCAGACTGCTACACCTTCATGTCAGCTTCTTGTACAGACTGTACTGAAGGAGGTAATAGAAAGCAGTATCAGGAGCTTTGCTCACTGATTATATTGCAGTTATTTGAATTGATTGTTAATGGTAAGGTCATGAGCACTCCAGTGAGCATCAAACAGCACAACTCGCCCCTACAACACCAGCCAAGGGGGTAGAGGATAGCCCACAGCTGGACCTGTGGGAGCCAAGCACCATTCAGGACAGAGAGATTTGAGCCATCTTCCAACAAGAGGTGCAAAATATGAAAAATCAAATATATTATCTTTGCCCATCCCTTGTACAATTATGCTGGCCACTGATATTCAGAAAGGACAGGTTTTTATTAATGAATCTTGCACCAGGTATTCAAGTGAGACTGATGTGACCACAGATAGTCTAAAATAGCTGCTTTTGGGATGGTATGTCTGTCTCTGCACCACTAGTTTTAAACAGTGAGGAGCAAGAACATAAACAGATCTGGGTGGGGGAATGGAAAGCAGAGGAGTAGGGGAGCTGTTTTCTCAAACTTTTTCGTATTTCGATACACTTTTCAGCTTGGAGTTTTTAGCCTTGAAGTTTGTGTATAACACAGGCATGAACATTTTGTCCTCAAGTTTGTACAGACACAATGAAATGGAAACATGAAGAGAATGTCTTCCCTCTGCAAGGCCTTGGCTATCAAAAGAATTTTAGGCTTAACCTTGCACTGATGAGTTTGTGCTGGTGTGATTGCATGAACTGCACAAGAGTTTGCACTGCTGCAGAGTTCATCCACCAAAGGTGCTGTGTGCTGAATATTACAGATTCTGCCCTATAGTGAGAAGGAGAGCAAAACTGGTACCAGTATCACTTCACAACTCCCTCGGAGAAATTTACTGCTGAGGTTGCGGAACGGGACCACCTTGCCTGCTGCTGGCATGCTAAAGCAGCAGGTACTTTTTTGTCTAAAAACTTACAGTATGTAACCACATTTGTAAATTAACAAGGAACCACATGAACAATAAATTTCTATTTCACTTTTGCACCAAAATCAGGATTTTTCTTGAGATTGGGTGTGAAACTGTTTGTATGAATGTAACTGTGCGTGAAGAGTTCAGGGCAGCTCCTGAGAAAGCACAGAGAGGAAGATCTCAGAAGTGTAGTTTTGCCTTAGACACAGATATTATATCAGATGGAATTTTAAGGTAAACACAAGATGCTGCACAAAAAAACTTTCTAATCTTTTATATTGGTGGCCGAGGAGGCCATTATATGAGCAAAGTAAAGCCACTGTATTTCACTTCAGGCTGCAAGTCATAATCCCTTGAGAGGCTGCTCTTTCAGTTTGTGTCATTAGATAGCCCTGATCAAATTTGATTCTTGAATTATGTCAGAGCTCATCTATAATCATTATTGCATGATACATAATAATGTCAGGAAAGAAAAATTATTCTCAACAGGAAGAAGTAATCACGAGAAATATCAGTTAGATGCTGTTTCCTTATAGAAAACATGTTTGTTAATAAATGTTTCCTTTAGTTAAATGTAATACAATTTTCCATTTTCACTCAATATGTTCACTTTTTCATTTCAGGCATATCTGTCTCTATAGAATGCAAAAGCAAGATTTTGAAGTGACGATTACAGCCAAAATGTATGATTTCATGTTCAGCTGATTGCTTTTGACCAGTTTGAGAACATTAGTAGTTAGCTGAAATCCTTGTGGAGTAAGTGCAAGTTTAATGATTCTACAAACAGTGAGTGCATATCTGGAATATAATCAGACTCATTTCTACCTGGCAATGTGTACTAGGCCTGGAACAGCTGAAGAGAGGATTAGCAGGAAAAGACATCGCTGAGGATTAACTGCTACAGTAAGAATTTGACTCATTTGTCCTCAGAGATACCAGGTATAGAAAAATGAAAAAAGAGCCTGTTGAATAGATTATTAAACTGTTATGTCTTAAGCCCAGTTTACAAAAAACTAACTGGTACTTTTACTAGACATAAGAATAAAAAGTAGAAGGTAATATTTGTAATTAATGCTTTTGTGACGTCAGCTATCTGCAGGAGTTGCCTTTCTAGAGGACATTCCTTTGGAGATGACTTAGGTTTTTCTACTGTGTATTGAAGTACATGACTGTAGTTGCATGAAACAAGAGGTTCATTATGTGATGACAAGGACAAAACCTATAAAAGCAGATTCTTGCAAGTGTGAAGTCTAAAGATGTCCCCCAGATGGAGACATCCACAGTGTGGTGAGGGCATGGAGGAACAGAGCTTGCAATGTGCAAATGCAGCAGCTCTCTTCTAGGCCCAGGGGAGGTACTGGGGGACTGTTCCAATCTGCTAAGAGGGAGGAGAGGCAGGTTTGCCTCAATCCACAACTGCAGAAAGAAACCAGGTGTTAAACATACCTGAAAGCGAGATTAAAACACAAACAAAGTTAAATGCTGGGATCCAGAGTGATAATGTGATTTTTTTTTTTTTTTTCATAGAAGAAGAAAGAGAGAAAATCAGAAAAGTAGGAAAATGCCTACTTATAATAATTACAAGAAGCACAGGAAAGGGGTTACCACCACCATGGGTCCAGTGCTGGCCTGCAGAGTGCGATGGGGAAGATCTGCGCGAGTGCAGCGGGTCTTTCTCTGGTGAAGTCTCTCCAAGAGCAGCCCAGTGACCCAGCGAGGAAGCAGCGCCACAGCAGCACCAGAGTGGGATGGGGAGCATGGGCAGCCTCACTGGAGCAGCCAGGACCGCGAAAGACAGCGCAGACAGCAAAGATTCCGGCACTGTGTGGATTTTTGCAGATCAGCCCCCCCAGTGACAGTTTAGGCGTTTGTTTTTAGAGGGTTTTGAAAGCAGCAATCCTCTCGTCCACTTCATGAAGTTCATTGGCTGGCTCCCTGGTGTATCAAAAAGTTTGCTGCTTGCTTGCTAAATGTATCAAAAGTTTGTTGCTCACTGCTCTGGTGTATCAAAAGTCTGCGGCTTGCTTAATGTATCAACTAAAAGCTCTATGAATAACTTTCAGCAGGATGCCTCATTTTCTAAAATAAAGCAGTTTCTAGCGGTTTGTTTTAAAGGTAACTTAATACTTTAATTTTTAAACCATAATCTTCAAAGAGGTAATGGAGAAACACTCCTTAAATTTTACTCAGTACAGGGACCCACAGCAAGCGAACGGAGCAGCAGTCATAACAGGCCTGCAAGATCTCTGTGCATAAATCTGCCTGGTTTTCATGTCTAGAGAGTGAGCAGCTCCAAGAGGTCTATTCTAGCCATCCTTCCTCCCAGGTAAGATGCTCTGATTGGATATTAGGTTTGCTCTTGGTGTGGGGACCTAAATTTCTCCCCATCCAGTGCTTCCCATGTGGAACCAAAGGAACTAGCACAGAATATAGGAACAAGTACAGTGATGCTGGGGTGTGGAGTGAGTTACAGACCTTTTTGTTACCTAGGCAGCATTTGAAAGATACCAAAGGCATGCAAGTTCTGCACTCACACTGCGCAGATATAAGGATTTTGCCTGGCACAAGGGACTGGTGAAGGCATAAGTTATCAAGGTATAACAAACAAACTACAGAATTACTCTGTTTCCACATGTTAAGCATGAGTTTTTATCACCCTGGATAAATTATTCCTCTGTGAAAGCAAGTCCTCAGATAGCCTTTACCCTCAGATAACCTAGCAATTACACAAGGGAATGTACACCAACTTTTATCAGCTGGATTTGGGAATGAAATGCAGGCAGTCAAGTCCAGAGACTGGCGCCATGGCAGCTTTCCTCTCCCTCCTCATGCTGTCGCTCTGGCTCTGTTCTCTACACGCCTGCATCCACTGCAGAAGCAGTGGGAGGCTGGGAAGGCTGCAGGG